TCAATCGAAATCTACAATGAAACCTAAACCTTCAAATATTCAATTATTATAATTTTCCTTAATATCGACGCCCAACTCGTACATTAGGGGTTTACAAAGTGATCACTTATAAGTGTACCGACCACTTATAAGTCATTTCCACTTTTAAATGACACTGCGCGAGCATGCGCAGTAGCTAGTATTTCACTTATAAGTGATCGGAAAATAAGTCTCCTGGATTGACTTTTTTCTGAAATAAGACACTTATTTCGCTTGTTTTGAGCATCAGCTGCCGTTGAAATTTCACTCACTTAAATTTGCTGCAGGGTACTTTCTGCTCAATAAATTATTTTTCAATGGAGTTTTAATCCGTATTCAAGCTATTTAAAATAGTGCATAATTGAAATTGGTTTAATTACGATAGTGCCGTGAAATATTTAAAATGGGGAATTCAAATGAGAGTGAAGATTAATTTTCAATCATTCCACGTCACAAATATCATGTAATTTATATATTAGGCAAGAATTCAAAGGTTGTACCTATTGTTGAAGTTTTAGGCTTTTCAAGTTACTATGTTTATTTTTGCAATGATTTTGACGTTTAATGCAATTCGATCGCCTGAATTGCATACAACATAAAATTCAAACAAAAACTGGAGCATTCATAGCTCACCCACTTATAATTGGTTTATTGAAATGACTTATAATTTGCGGGGAAACAAAATAAGTCCATTGTAAGCCCCTATTGTAGTCGTACAATAACTTATATTTTTCTCCGGAAATAACGAATCTTTCATTGATTTCTGCTGTTGAACTTATTTACAACTGATAAATTGCATGATCATAAAATCATTTCAAGTTATATAACAATTACACCTTAATTTTCAAGTGGTTATAAATATTCTAAATTTTATTACACATTGTAGCGACGCAGAATAATGAAATAATTAATATTTTACTTATTTCTGATGCTGGAATTATTTATGCATTTCTTCATTTTTCGTGGCAAGTACTTATGTATTTGTTGTTGATGTGCTTTTAAAGAGGGATAAAAAATTGACTCAATGCATATTCATAAAATTATCGAGAATTTTACGATCTTGTTCCTGCTGCTAATGCAATTATTTGCAATTGTCTGACTGCATGAGCATAGAATCATCCAAAATTGGTGATTTGACCTTAATATTTAAGCTGTTAATAATATTCGATTTTTTTAAATATCGACGTATTCATACAAAAAGTTTACAAATATTTACAAAATAAATACAGATATTTTTCTCCCCGAAATAATAATTAATCTTGCTGATTTCTGATTATTTACTTGTTCATTCGTCATTCCTGGAAAGTATGTATTTGTTGTTGATCTGCTTTTAAAGAGGGTCGTTCCCTTTTATCCGGGTGGATTGAGCCGTGTAATAGTTTCCCTGTCGGACTTACTTCCACCCGGGTGACCTCGGCCCCCTCCACGAAACCAAGCCAAGTGAACCATCCCTAATCCTGACAGAAGATCAAAATCCTCCCATCATCCAAATATTAAAATTGATCTGAAAATGGAGCAATAATAAGGATGACATATTGTGCATTGTGTGATTAGGATGTCACGTAAAATTGGAGGGATTGAGATTTATTTCGAACAAGTTTGCGTGGATTTTGATGTGGAAAATAAGAAATATGAATACTTGTCACAAATGCAATACAGAAATTTTGTGTAGTTTAATTTAACGACATAAATTTCTGTAAAATTTGGGAGATTATGTGAACAGATTTTTTATTTTGCATAATTTTGGGTGGATTTGAACAGGAAAATAGGAAATATTAAAATGTATGTAATGGAGATATTTTGTGTAGTTTTTAAACTCAAATTTCTTCTATTTAGATTACAGAATTCCAAAAAAAATGAGTGTTAATAAATAATCATGTGTAAATTATTAATTGATCTGAAAATAGAAAGGAACAATAAAGATGACATATTGTGTCTGTGTGTGATTAGGATGTCACATAAAATTTGAGGGGATTATTGGTTGGACAGATTTGCAACATTTTTCATAATTTGGGGTGGATTTGACAAGAAAATAAGACATTTCCTTGTCCCAAATGTACATATTCCAGATATTTTGTGTAATTTGATGAAATAAATTTGTGTAAAATTTCAAAAATTTGAGGGAATAGATTTTTTGGTTTTTCAGAATTATGAATGGTTTTAGACAGGGAATAAATTAATAATATATATTAAATACTTATCGCAAACCTAATTAAGATATTTCGTGTAGTTTTTTAATTCCGTAAATTTCTTACAATACATAGTCGGGAACACTCAAGTGTCAACAGCCGATTGCTAAAAAACTACGCCGCAGAATTAAAATCTGATAAGTGCATTAGATTCGCCATGCGATTTACATTATGATTCACTATGGACTTTGTAATTTTTGAACATCTGGATAAATATACAGGAAATTGAAGAGAAGCGGGCGGCGATAGTTTTTCTCAAAAAAAATCGAAGAAAAACAGTGAATTTGACATGTGCTGAAAAAGTCAAAGGTGTACTTTAATTTAGCCCAACGGACTATAAAACATTCATGGGGACCGAATCGACAATGAACAGTCGAAGAAGAATTTTTTGAAAACCTCCAAGGACCACACCCATCATGAAGCCTCTCAAGCCTGGCATCCGAAGAAATTCACGACATTCCAAGGGAAACCGGGCTCACTGCTGACAGTGTCGATGCAAATTATCCAATGAGTGCTCAAATTGAAGCTTAGGCTTAAGGCTTTGAAATGTGGTACTTGCCACATCCTGATCGTACCCCAAAGGAAAACCAGATTAAATATATGCAGGAGTCACCTCAAGCGGTACGCTCCAGAAAAGTGAGCAGGATACTTTTTAAAAATGAGGAGATTTTAACATAGGAAAAATCTTTTAACAAGCGAATTGTCCTAATATACGCAAAATCGGTCAGAGACATCCCCCGATATAGATAAAAGGTCAGAAAGTCACATTATCCAGGTTTTTTGATGATTTTGGCAGGTGGGAGCTAATTGGGGTAATTTCTCTACATTTTGCTGAAAATTGGGGGGAGGTGGGGGAATCAAATTTCTTAAAATATGTTTTTGAGTCCGTGGTACATCCCCTAAGTGAGATCCAATTCAATGGAATCGACGGGACCTCTCAGCAGGACTCAGCACGAATTTATAGTGCAAAAAATGACCCAAGCGTAGCTAAAAAAACGAATTCCGGTCTTTATCTCCAATCAGAATTGGTCATCATCCTTGATGGATTTGAACCACCGGAATATGAAGAATGGTCAAAGTTAGGGGCAAAGGTGTGTTCTAAGCCCCGTAGAAGTGCGGAGGCTTGGAAAAAATTTCTGACCCCGGAATGCCACAAAATGTCCCTGGAATCGGTGCGTAATTCCATCGAGGAGTGGTCGTCTCGTCTTTAGCGTGGCATTGACGCAGGAGGAGGAAATTTTTAAGACTAAAAATTGTTTTTGAATTGAAATTTATCTGGCTTTTCGGTAAAATAAATCAAAAATTGCTAAGCTGAGATTTACAAAAGTAATAAGGCTATATGTCATTGACACTTGAGTGTTTCCGACTATGTAGAATTCTTTAAAAAAATGTTAATAATCACGTGTAAATTTGGAATAATTTACTATTTTTATGGCCAAAAAATCCCAAAGTAGATAGATATTTTGCATTTACAATGCGATGGTGTGAAGTGTAACCCTCCGATTTGGTTGAAATTTCGAAATTAAGTGGTCCATATCAATACAACCAACGTTTCTTCAGGCGGTTTGTGCGATGGTCAGAATTTGGCAAAAAATTTGAGGTTAAGGGTGAAAAATGTGCAATTTTTAGCACAGGAATTTGAGTTTGCTTCTTCCGCCTGGTAAAAATCGCTCGTTTTTCAACTTTAACATCAAGTATTTTGGCAAATTCTGACCATCGCACAAACTGTCTCAAGAACGTTGGTTGTATTGATATGGACCACTTAATTTCAAAATTTCAACCAAATCGGAGGGTTACACTTCACACCATCGCATTGTTGGTCAAATTTGCAAATAATGTATTTTATACGAGCCCATTATATTTCATGTTTTTGGCCTATATTTTGAATTTTGGATTTTGAATTTAAAATGTATAACCAACCCAGTCATGCCTTATTAGATGCTTCTGTTGCCCTGTACGGATCTAACTATTATAACCAACCGTATAATATTTAATATGTTTTGTTATTTGTCGCATAAACTGAGCAAATTGTGTCATTACACAAAATTTGATATTTCTTTATGGAAAAATATTTGAATCTGCATTTTTCTAGTTTTCATTTTTTGTTAAATTGTAATGAGATTTTGGTCTAAGTTTTTTTGAAAAAAAAATTTATTTAAGATTGTTTAAGAGTTAGAGTTGCCACTTCAACTCGGCTTGACTCAGCTTATTGAGTGAGTCGAGTCAAGCCGAGTCGAGTTGACCTCAAGTAAGCCGTCAACTCAATGAGTCGGCTTATTGAGTTGTGAGTTGTGAGTGAGTTGGACTCGGCTTGACTCACTCACTCAATAAGCTGGCTGGCTCCGCCTCCTCGTACTTACACACATGCACAAACAAATTCAGTTGTCTCCAACTTGTAAACATAGAATGCACGTACACGTATGTACGTATGCTCCGTCAATAGCTGCCTGCACTCGCTCGACTCACTCGACTCACTCAGATTCGTAATGAGTCGAGTCAAGCCAAGCCGGCTTGCTTCTGACTCGGCTTGCTTCGACTCACAACTCAATGAGTCGACTCGCTTTGACTCACAACTCAATGAGTCGACTCGCTGGCAACTCTATTAAGAGTTCAAATTTGCATTTAGTACTTTATAATTTTTCGGACTTTGGAAAAATCTCGGATTGTGTAAAATGAGAAAAATTATTATATCACGATTTTCCTAATCTTTGTCAAATTGAAATTTCTAAAATTCCCGTTAATTTCCAAAATATATTTTTTAAACTTACGAAATACTGTTTTAATCTATTCCAGGTCATCCCTACTTTTTCAACCAGCTATCCTGCGGCCTGGACACGATTTCCTTGGCTGGAGAATTCATCACGGCGACGGCCAACACGAACATGTTCACGTACGAGATCGCTCCCGTTTTCATCCTCATGGAAAATTTCATTCTCAAAAAGATGCGAGAAATTGTCGGATTTCATGCCGGCGATTCGATCCTAGCGCCAGGTAAGAACATATCGTGGGTTATCATCGCACTTATCAGGATTTGTATTTATCATCAAATGTTTCATTTAATCACGACCTACGGTCAAACTTTGCTGTGGGTGTGTCCCCTAATTTTCACAGATCGCAAAAAAATTTCAAAATAGTTTTTTTTGTTTATAGAAATAGAAAAAAGTTCTAAATATTTCCGCTATTATTTTGAAAATACGGTTAAATATTTTAGATATTTTTTTTCAAAAATTACTACATTTTGTACATATTTCAATGATATGAGACGAATCTTTTTGTTTTTGCTTAAAGAAATTCGACCACAAAATAATCTGGAGTATTAAATTCAGAAATACTAATTTTAGTAGATTTTTTTGTGCATACATATTTTGTACATACATATCTTGACGTTTTTTTCATAAATATTTCATTGATTTTTGTAAATGCATATCCGCCCTCCCCTAATAAATAATATAATCCTTCAGGTGGATCAATCTCCAACTTGTACGCCATCATTGTCGCGAGACACTGCATGTTCCCGGACTACAAGAAGAACGGACTTCGCTCCCTTCCCAAAGGATTGGTCATGTTTGCTTCGGAACATGTAAGGCCCAAAATTTACAGTGTTGGGCAAATTAGAATTGCTGAAAGTGCAGCATTTTAAGCAATAAATTTCCAGAATTATCAAAGCTGCAAAATACTAGAATTTAGATTCAGAAGGCAAAAATCTTTTTAAAGAAATTAACTTTTCATCTGTCAAAATATTTAAATTGGTTTTACGATTTTTTAAAACTAAAATATTTTGGCTTTTTGACTGCGATAAAACATTAATTTCTTTTAAAAAAACCTACTCCAAGCAACTTTGCGGGGCCTTTTAAGATGGCATTAATACCATCTTGGTAGTTAATGGCAACACATTTGGGTGGAAAAGACCCCTACTGGCCAACTACTTGGCCGATCATGCCTATCTCCGAACTCATCCTTACTTTTGACCCGAAGATGAAGTGTGCAAAATTTCAAGTCGATAGCATGTGTTTAAAGAGAGTTATCGTGCGCACAGACGTACGCACAGACGGACGGACAGACAGACATCTTGACAAATCTATAAGGCCATCTTAAAAGGCCTAAAACTGCATTTTCGTATGACTGTTGAATTCTCCATGTAGATTCTCGATTTTTTTGTGCCTGGAAATCCTAACGAGCTTAAAATTCTGTACAGATTTTGACAAAGCATGTATTTAGCCCACCCTTGAAAATTTATAACACATCGGATAACATGTTATCATATTTAATAATGTCATCTTACTTCTTACAGTGTCACTATTCCATCAAAAGTGCCGCAATGGTGACCGGACTAGGAACGGATAACTGTGTGTCGGTCCCGTGCGATGAAAAGTGAGTGAAGTGCAATTATTATTCCTATTTGCGCCCAATGTTATAGCATAGAGTAACAAAAAGGCAAGTTACTCGATAACATGTTATCATAATGTTTTTTTACAGGGGTAAAATGATCCCCTCCGAGTTGGAGAGGCTCATCCTGGTCGCAAAAGAAGAAGGGAAGCATCCCTACTTTGTCAACGCGACGGCAGGCACCACGGTTTTCGGAGCGTTCGACCCCATCAATGATCTCGCTGATATTTGCGATAAGCACGGACTCTGGTTGCATATTGATGTAAGTTGAGTTCCCTTATTTGTTAGGTGAGATTTTGCAGAGATGCAAATATGTATGCAAATTAGGAAAAAGAGGTTTGCAAATTGGGGGAGTTATGCGCCAGGAGGAGAAAATTGCAAAAAAATCATTAGGTAAAATTCAGAAGATTGATTCTAGTGCGGACGTTTTTAAATATGAAAAATTTGCATAGTGCAAAAAACAGCGTGTAAGTTGTCATCTATTATTTTTTATACACAAAAGTTGACACTTTGTAAAATTAGTAAGAAAAGGTTTGCAAATTGGTAGAGTTATGCGCCAGTAGGAGAAAATTGCAAAAACTTCATTTGGTAAAATTTAGCAGATTTAATTCTAGTACAGATGTTTTTAAATATGGAAAATACTTATGCATCGTGCAAAAAAACAGGGTGTAAGTTTTGATCCATATTTTTTTTGTACGCGAAAGTTGACACTTAAAATTAGTAAGAAAAGGTTTGCAAATTGGTAAAGTTATGCACCAGAAAGTGAAAATTGCAACAAAATTATTTGGTAAGAATCAAAAGATTGGTTGTATAATAAATAGAAAAATGTGTATAATGCAAAAGAAACAGCGTGGAAATTTTGCTCCATTATTTCACGCGAAAGTTGACACTTCGCAGATTATAAAAAGTTTGCAAGACGCGGTGGTAAAGTTATGCGTCAGGAAGTGAAAATAGCAAATAAATATATTATAATAAAATTCACAAGGTAGATTGTTTAGGGCGGATAAATAGGAAAATTTTGCGTAATGCAAAAAATGGCATATGTAATTTTTAGGGTAAACATAACCACGGTGCAGAAAAACTCGGGTAGATTTTTTGCAATTATTCACATTACAAGAATTTACAAAACCTGATAAGATTTGTGCACAAGAAATTTACAGCAAAATTTCGATGTTTTTTTTCGACAAAAATGGCGAAAAAGTTTAGAGTCTGTTTTGCATACTCAATGCAATGTGCCAAAATAATTCGCAAAAATAATGGTAAATTTTCAATACACTATCAGACTCGTAATATGTAAATAATGAGGAAGAAAATGAATAATAATATTTATTTCCAAGATTAAAACAAAAACATTAAATTTTATTCATTTAACAATTTGTGGACTATTTTTCAAGGAACTTTAAACTTTATTTATAACTCTGAGCTTTCTATAAATTTACAATAAAAATTAAATTATTTAATTTGCGAAATTTGGGCGACAATATGAAAAAATGTACATAATTGATAAAAAAAAACAGAATACAAAGATAGATCTGCGCAGAATCGCTATGCAAAAACGAAAAGTAAAGACAAGCTCAACAAACCGGACATGCAATTTAATTAAAAAATATTCATAAATATTGCATAAAATATTTTGGATTTTTCGCCATTATTTGCACGGAAAATTACTAAAAAAATACAATAGCTTAAAATGGAATTACAAAAAGTTAAAGAGAATTTTATAGAAAAACATTTTCTACAAAAATTATTATAAAATATTGCACAAAGTTCGCCATTTTTCGCACGAAAAATTTCACTAATCTGCAGTCTACATACCGTTTAAACTAACTCAAAAAGGAATTTATGAAACCATTTAAAAAAATAGAGACGAATTTTATTAAATTTTCTAAAAAAACTTACAATCTTTTTCTTAGTGAGGCAAATACCTAACAACGAAAAAATTTACTAAGTATGCATTTACCCCACCCAAAAAAAGTGACATAAGTCGATTTCTCGGCCATTTCTCAACCGATTTTGATGAAATTTTGCACAGATCATTGTTACAGGATTTAGAAACGATGTACTAGTTGACTTGGCGAATTTTTGATTTTTACCCGAGTTATGGGCGAAATGGAGCAAAAATTTGCACTCGGAGTCACCTTTCCATCCATTGTTCCATTTCAGAGCATCACATTGTCCTAAATTATTGGAAAAAGTTACGCTTATTCCTTCTGATCATTTTAAGACCAAGTTGACCGAAATCGGTTAAGAAATCACGACGCTATTCAATTTTGAAAATTAAAAATTTAGTAAAATTACTGTGGATGCAAGTATAATGCGGTGCAATAATGTCGTTGACAACCGACTTACAAGTTTTAAATAAACAAGGTCCCAAAAAATGGGAAATCTTAGTGAGGCAGTGCAATCTCAACTCAGAAATAAAATTAGATTGCAGAATTTTTGCATCACCGCTCTGAATATCATTTTCACTGGATGCACTAAATTTTGCTTATAAGAATGAATTCTCCAATCTTAATTTGCGAATTTAATGCGTTTTTACTAGTGAAAAAGAAATGTGCTAAATTAACTGAGATCAAATATAATGGACCATTATGTTTTAGAAATACACACCCTACTATTAATGGGGTGTATTTCTGAGAGCGGTGATTCAAAAATTCTGCAATTTAATTTTATTTCTGAGTTGAGATTGCACTGCCTCACTAAGATTTCCCATTTTTTGGGACCTTGTTTATTTTTACACCATTTAAATATTTCAGGGCGCATGGGGTGCAAGTCTTCTCCTCTCCAAGAAATATCGCCAAGGTCGATTTGACGGGGTTGAGAGGTAAGTAGCACGAAAAGTTTTTATAGAATTTTAAGAAATATTTCGAACACACAAAATCGTAAATCAGCATCCATCCATCTTTTCCATGTGACAATCAAAGTTTCCAAATGGCACTGCGTATTAAATACGTACGGCTCAATCTCATGTCTGCATAATCAATCAGGATTTCTGTTCGTCTTTCTTGTCCGATCTGATCTGAATACGGGGACCGTGCAATAAAAATGTCATCATTTTAACAAAGTCATGTCAACCTTGTTACGTTAATAATCAGATATGGATATGTATTTACGAAAAATTGTGGAATAAAAATTTACAATAAAAACTCCACAATATTTGCTAACTATGCGCAAAAAAACACAAGATTTTTGTCAAAAATTTATATTTTTGAATTTGCTCACTTGAATTTTTTGTGGTACAATTTCTTTCAGCAACAAAATTTCATTTCACATTGTTGAAATATTTGTTTATAAAAATAATTTAATTGTAAAGATTAATTTAACTGTAAAAGATTTAAGTATTTTCAAATAATGGTGGAAACATTTATAAATATATTACGCTGAAAATCTAGAAATATGCGACAATGCCTTTTTTTAAATATGAAAAGCTTGAAATGGATACATATCCGCCCTCTGGTAATTATAGGTCAAAGTTCACCCACATCGTTTACGCACTGTCCTATCTAGAAGAAAGTGCATACTTAATTACCCTCCTCCTCCCTATCAAAACCAACCACACCACACTCTCCATAATTTCCATCATCAATAAATTTCCAAACAGCCTCACTTTTTGCCCTTCACAAAGTCACAGAATGAAACGAGGGCCTAATTCCACTCGGAGATGCAAAGTCACACCACTTTCACTCTCACTTTGACATTGTCCCTGTCCCGCTGAGCAGAACGGGAAAGTGTTCACTTTCATCGGGAGTGATGTCATTAATTAATTAATCTTCTTCTCCTCCTTCCCTGATTAATTGATCCAATCTTTTAATTATCCAATTAATTAAAAGGGTAACCTTAATTGATTAATTAATTAATTATGTACATATGCAACGAATAATTTCCAATTATGGGGGGATTAGTGGTACTATTTTGTTTATTATGGTACATTTACTTTTAAGTAAATCCGGTGGGATTTCGGGCATTAAGGAAGGCATTATTTGTAGCAGATTTATGTATCTTGCCCCCATAAAATGCAGGCACTTGACTCACTTTTATGGGAAATAGGAGGGGAAGAGAAAGTAAATAAGATTACGATTTTCGTCCAGGAGAAAGTTATTATTAGAAGTTTACGTATAATAACTTTAGGATTACGAGCAGCCTGCATTTTATTGCGTAAACCTTGTGCACCGTTCAAAATAAATAGTTATTTCTTAAATGGTTTCAGATAATTCAGATCCATATGGGATGTACTTAAATATGCAATTTATGAAATGGTAAAAACTGCAAAATTTTCAACTTTAAATTTTATTCAACGTAATTTTTCAAAAAATTTGTAATAATTTACTGAGATTTTTTAAAATTTGATATATGTGACATATTATGTAATTAAGAAAGTAAATAAGGTTACGATTTTCGCCCAGGAGAAAGTTAATTTTGACGTAAATAATTTTGGGATTACGAGCAGCCTGCATTTTATTGCGTAAAATTTGTACACCGTTCAACAGTAAATACAGTCAATGGAAAAAGTATTGGCAACCCCCACGCCAGCTAAATAAAATTGGCTGTAACCTTGGAATGCATTATACAATATGCATGAAAATCTGTTCGCATTTAGCAAATATAATGTAGTTTTCGATTATAATCATGTTTTATTGAGTAAAATTAGATAAACAAAGTTTTTAAATAATTTGTTGGAAAATTTGCAAAATTAACCCGCAAAAAGTATTGGCAACATGTGGCCAAATTAATTACGCGAAACAATTTCTTAATCACCTACCACATTTCATTACGGTAAGTTAATTAGGTGACAAAATATGACGATAGCTACATTTTAAGTCAGCAGTTATGTTGTCTGGAACCAAAATGGCGACACCAAACGAGCTATATTTGGCGCGGCGAGAAATATTCATTGCTTTTTCGCAAAAATAATTTGGATATCGAAAAATCAATGCAAAACATACTTTTTCATATTTTCTATTGGAAATGTAGCCAAGAAATATAAAATGACAATTCTAGTATCCATTTTTCCATGATGCGGAAGAAAAAAGTCACCTACGCCCGAACGCAAGTGATGAATCAAGCAACAAATTACTTGAAATCGGAAGATTTCAATACCCAAAACCAATTAGAATTTGAGAACCAACTGTGGAATCAACATTTCATATCATATGGTGATCAATCAAAAATCATGCCATGGGGTTTCAGGGTCCAGCAGCCCTATAGAAGAGAAGGCCCCCGAAACGAACCAACCCAAGGTATTTAAATCAGCTAAATACCACCCTAAATAGACTTCCAATTGATGAAGAAGGGTCTAGTGGTCTCATATCAGTAAATTTAACTATTCGGTGCGGGTTGGATGTTAGAGTTTAGAGGATGCAAAATGAGGCTCTCAAAAATGAATGCTGCCGTCTGGGAGTCAAGCTCGGAGGAGGATCGAATATGGTTTGGGGTTGAATGACTAGGTCGTTGCGTAGTTAGCTGGTCACTATCGATGAAGTTATGACCAATGAGGTCTAATTAATCATTCGAAACGATAATTTGAAAACATTTGACCTAGGAAGTAATTTCATATTCCAAAAATGCAGTGGCCCCAAAACATGCATCCACATTAACGATGCACATTTTTGGGGACCGAAAATATTAAGCTTCTTTCGTTGGCTGCACAGTCTCCCGATGTGATTCTGATTGTCCGGGATGAGAAAAGAGGGACTGGTGGGAAATCACTCTACAAAAAACGGGCTTGTCAAAACTTCGAAACAAGATTGGGAAGCCATATCCAAAAGCGTTATAAAGAACTTTGTCCAGTCAATTCCAAGGCGTATTTCTGCTTCTATTGCATCGAGGCGAGGTGCTACGCGGTACTGGAAGCAGTTTATCGAAACAAGATTGCCGTATCTTTGACAATGATTTTTAAATTTAAGGGTTGCCAATACTTTTTGCGGGTTAATTTTGCAAATTTTCCAACAAATTATTTGAAAACTGTTTATCTAATTTTAATAAATAAAACATGATTATAATCGAAAACTACATTGTATTTGCTAAATGCGAACAGATGTTCATGCACATTGTATAATGCAGTCCAAGGTTACAGCCAATTTTATTTAGCTGGCGTGGGGGTTGCCCATACTTTTTCCATTGCCTGTAGTTATTTCTTAAATACCGTTAGAATATTAAGTTCCATGAGATATACTTAAATGTAAATTATAAAATGCTAAAAACTGCCAAAAAAAATATATACAATTTACCGTTGGCTTAACTTGTGCACCGTTTAAAATAAATATTTATTTCTTAAATAGTTTTAGATTATTCAGGTCACAGGTTCCTGATGTTGATTTGTATGATATAAACTATAAAATGATAAAATCTGTAAAATTTCCAACTTTAAATTTTATCCATCATAATTTTTCTATTACTTTATTTTCATAAAATTTATGTATGTTATAAATTCCTGAGATTTAAAATTTTAAACGAAAATATTAAGAAATTAAGTAAGATTACGATTCTCCAGGTAAAAGTTATTATTAGAAGTTTACGTATAATTTTAGGATTACGAACAGCGTGCATTTTATTGCGTAAAACTTGCAAACTTCAAAGAACATAAAGTTCAAATTATTTTCTTAAATTACTTGGAATGCAGAAATGTATTCAAATATAAAGCGATAAAAATTGAAAAATTTTCAACTTTTAGTTTTATCAGGGAGATTTTCTCCATTACTTTTTTCATATGAAAGAAATTTTTATAAAATTTGTGTTATAAATTGATTAGATATTTTTAAATTTGAAACGAAAATAGTAATTTCTTATAAGAAATTAAATAAGATTACGATTTTCGTACAGGAGAAAGTTATTATTAGAAATGTACGTAAATAACTTTAGGATTATGAACAGCCTGCATTTTATTGCGTAAATTGTGCACCATTCAAAATAAATAGTTATTTCTTAAATGGTTTTAGATAATTCAGATCCATAGCGGAGATACTTATATAAAATTTATGAAATGGTAAAAACTGCAAAATTTTTAACTTTTAGTTTTATCAAGGAGATTTTTTCCATTACTTTTTTTCATGTTAAAGAAATCTTTGTAAAATTTGTGTTATAAATTGCTTGGATTTTTTTAAATTTGAAACGAAAATAGTAATTTCGTAAGAAATTAAATAAGATTACGATTTTCGTCCAGGAGAAAGTTATTATTAGAAGTTTACGCATAATAACTTTAGGATTTTGGCCAGCGTGCATTTTATTGCGTAAATTGTACACCTTTCAAAATAAATAGTTATTTCGTAAACAGCCTTAGATTATGCAGGTCCATGGGATATACTTAAATATAAATTATAAAATATAAAAAAAAACTGGCAAAAATTTCTATAAAATTTATAAATAGCAATGTAAAAAAAGAAAAAAAAACCTTATTTTTACAAAATTGCCTAACTTGTGCACCATTCAAGAAGAATATTTATTTCTTAAATAAGTATAAATTATATAGGTTATTACGACGTGGGCACAAATTGTATATCAATTTTTAAATGATAAAAATTGTACGATTTTCACAAAACGTTGTAAAAAATAAAACATTATTGACTATTTTCCATTCGCTGCATAAATTGTGTGCCTGGTGCACCGTTCAAAATAGATATTTATGATGAGGTTAAAAATTTGAAACGAAAATAACGATGGATTACGAGCAGCCATACTTGTTCATTTTCATTCATTTGACTAATTATGATGGTGAATAAACATGAATTTCCTGTGATTTGAATGAAAATGAGTTACAGATTCAGTAATTTCAGGCTGTGAATGAAAGGATTTCTCACTCATTTCATTTTTCACCCTATGCTTAATACATGGGGCGAGTAAGAAATGAAGGCTGATGAAGTGAAATGAAATCAATTTAAACGAAAATGACTGAATGTGAATGAAAATCTTCAATCAGAAATCGGGATGACTGACTTTGAATGAAATCTAAATTTTTGAATTGGTATGATTATGTACAATTTCGTTACAAAAATTGCGCAACTTTTGCACCGTCCAAGATATCAATTTCTTAAATCAGTTTAAGTTGTGCAGATCAAATATATATAAGTGCGAGCATAATTTGCATTAAAATTTTAGAAACTACAATGTTCATATATATTCATAAATTATTTATAACAAAAACTATGCATAATGAAAATACTTTTTTACACCGTTATTTATTTTAATTAAATAAAAGAAAAATTATTTTCATAAAATTGCCTTATCTGTGCATCGTTCAAAATACATGTTATTTCTTAAGTAGGTTTACATTATTAAGGTTATTGGGCTGCTGGATTGTAGGTAGAATTCGCATACAAATAATAAAATGACAAAAACCATAAAATTTTATCACAAAATTTGTCATAAAACGGTGTGAAAAATAAGGCACTAAATATTTGCACAAAAATTGCGTAAAACTTATGCACCGTAAAAAATAAGGCACTAAATATTTGCACAAAAATTGCGTAAAACTTATGCACCGTTCCAAATAAATATTTATTTCTTAAATGCTTTTAGATAACTCAGATTCATGGGATATAATAATGATGCCATATATTTGTATAAAACTTAAAATGATAAAAACTGCAAAATTTTCAACTTTAAATTTTATTCTACGTAATTTTTCTACTACTTTTTTTCCCACTAAACAAATTTTCATAAAATTTATAAAAAAACTGTGTAAAATTATAAAGAATGTTTTCCATTGCACAAATTTCGTGCAAATAATTTCGTACTTATAGCATAGATAATTGTGCTTATAGCGTAACTTGTGCACCGTTGAAAATAAACATTTATGTCTTAACCGGATATAGATTATTCAGGTCAATGGGATGTAGAAATGTGTAAATTGAACATAAATAATAAAAATTTCAAAATTTTCATAAAATTTATGCCGTAAATGAATAATGGTGTAAAAAAGAAAGCATTATCAGCTCAAAATTTTGCGTAACTTTTGCTCCGTTCAAAATAAATACTCATTTGTTTAATAGTTTTAAATTACTCAGGTATCTGAGGTGAGGAGTACACGTTGCAATATAAATTATGAAATGGTGAAAACTGCAAAGTTTTCAACCTTAAATTTTATTCAACATAATTTTTAAAATTGTGTAAAAGTAAATAAATAGTTATGTTTTCTTAAATAGATTTAGATTCATCAAGTTATTTGGGTGTAGAATCATAGATATAATTTGCATATAAATTTTAAAATCATAAAACTGCAAAATTTTCATGAAATTTATCTTATGAGTAAATAACTGCAAAAAATAAGGCATCATTTTCACAAAATTGTCGAACTTGTTCAAAATAAATAGTTATTTGTTAAAACAGTTCATTATAATTAAATAGGTTAATACGACCTAATATTGTCGGTATGTATAAAGTAATATAAAATGATGAAAACGGCCCAATTTTCATAAAATGGTGTAAAAAAATAAAGCCTTATTTAATATTTTCGCTTCAATGCATAAATTGCTTGAGAAACTACATAAAAATAGCACGGATAAAAAAATTGCGAATTATACCGCCGCTTAAAGAATTTTGAAAACTCGGTCATTTCTAAAAATAAAAAGGTTGATTGTCCTTTTGTGGTAATACAATTTGTAAAATTGGGAAACTCAGAAATATATGAAAGAGTTTACCAAAACCTGTATGAATTACCTCTTCAATATTTACATTTTATTTTTTCGGTATAACTTGTAAATTTCAAAATTTCGGTAGAAAATTTAGAAAAATTTTACTACCTAAATAAGAATTTACCTACTTTCTGCGTAACGTATCTATTTTTGCACCGTTCAAAATAAAAGTTTCGTGTTTTTTAGGCAGTTTGTAAGATTTTAAGTAATTAAAATTTAAAATTTAAAATTTAAAATTAATGTTTTTTTCTTTATTCTAGGGCACGATCTATATCTTGGAATCCGCACAAATTGATGACCACTTCGCTCCAGTGTTCCACCGTACATTTCAGGGAACGCGTAAGTTTTCTGGCTTGTGTGTTTACTATTTACTACCGTTCCACAATACTGTAAATTAGAGGACTCCCAGCGTATGCTCTCCGATTTTGAGCAAACTAGTGTCAATCGATGACAAATTTAATTAGGATGAAATTTGCGAAAGACACGACCTCCCAATGGGCACGTTTGGCAGAGATATTTGCATCCCAAGAGGAGAAAATGTGCCGTAAATTTGGAAAAGTGTAAAATGTGTCGACTTTACCGCTCGTTTTCTCCTCTTCGGATGCAAATATCTCTTTTAAGAATTATATTATTTATTCAATTATGTGACGAAAATACTATCAACTATTAGGCATGATATGTTGTAGAAATGATAATGTAAAGGACTGATTTTACGTGAACAAATAAATCCTAATTATTATTGTAATTATTTCATTTTGTGAAATTGTATTGTTTAATGCCGTTGAAATTATTTTAAATAGATTTGATTAGTTATAATTCCAAATTAGATCGATCGACGCTGTTTTGTAAGACTTGCTAAAATAAATTGGACACAAATTTAGGCCAATTTTAACGCTTTCTTCAAAGAGGAGAAAAAAAAGTTGACAAATTTCAAAATGTACATTTTCCAAACATAATTTTCTCCTCTTGGGATGCAAAAATCTCTGCCAAACGTGCCCATTGGGAGATCGAGATTTTCGCAAATTTCATCCTAATTAAATTTGATTCACACTAATTTGCTCAAAATCTGAGAGCATACGCTGCGAGACCTCCATTTGTTAAGTAGTGTAACCCACACATTTATGTACAAGTTTCTTAAATTTTCCCATTTTGGAAATTTCTAACCCTAATTTTCTCAAGATTTCGTACCTATTAAGATTTCGGAAAATTTTGGTACGGGAAAGATCAGTTTTTTAAATTTCTAAACTGACATATTTTCATTTCGTAAAATGCATTTCGATCACAAAAAATTTCGTACTCCATATTTTATCAATTTGTTAGTATTAATTGAAAAAAATCTAAATTCTGTAAATTGGACCTCCGCAGGGAATCTTGGCCGGGTGCAACTCGATGAATGCGGATTATCTCTTCCAACAAGATAAGCACTACGACGTGCGATACGACACGGGCGACAAGGTCATCCAGTGCGGACGACATAACGACATTTACAAACTGTGGTTGCAATGGCGTGCTCATGTAAGTAGAAAAAAATACATATTTCGTACAAAATTTGGTACAAAAAGACACGATTTTTTTGTAATTTGATAAGTTCTGAAATTTCCTAGATTGTATACAAATTTCGAAAGACACGATTATGATTTCTTACATTTTTGTTTATTTTGTGAATTTGTATCCGGAATTATCCCGAAATTTAGGAGTTACATTTCGCAAAATTTTGGTTGGGGAAAGATCCAATTTTTATTTCTGTTGCAACATATTTACTTGTGCAAATTTACTCGTGCAAAGTGCACGCCGATCACAAATTTTTGCAATATTTCGCACATATTTTAAACATTCAGATCCATTCAGGGGGGTCATTTGTTTATATCTCTAAACTGTACATCGGATAAATTTGTTGTAAGAAATACACTTTTATGTCAAATTAATTATCGTAATATTTCGCACATTTCGTACACTTTCAGGTTCCTGAAAGTTCAAATATTCAATTACGAACTGATTATCTTGCAAATTTATTTTACAAAATACAGTTCTATCTCAAATTTTTGCAATATTTCGCACATTTGTTACACAGTTATATAATTTCGAGAAAGCTCCAATTTTCATTTCCAAACTGATTACGCGACAAATTTGTTATTAATTAAAATCCATTTCTATCCCGAATTTTCGCAATATTTCGCACACATTTCGTACATTTTTTTTTACCGAATTTTCATTTCCGAACTGCTTTTTGTTCGACACATTTTTATTTTGCAAAATACAGTTCTATCTCAAATTTTGGCAATATTTCGCACACTTTGTACACATTTACATACTTTCGAGAAAGATCCAATTTTCATTTTCAAACTGATAATCCTACATATTTATATTCTTTAAATTTCATTTCAATCCCAAATTTTCGCAATATTTCGCACATTTCGTACCCTATCAGATCCGATTTTCATATCCAAACTGATTTTTACCTTAGAAATTTTAATTTTTTTAAATTCATTATAATTATAAAATTATAAAATTCACACATTTTCGAAATATTTCCCACATTTGGTACCCGTCTAGATCGAATTTTCATTCCCAACCTAATTTTAACCTCAAAGATCCATTAATTTACAAAAACCCCCTAAATTAATTCCCCCCATTTTCATTCCATCCCCACAGGGCACCAACGGTCTCGAAAAAGCGATCGACCACATGATGGGTATCCAAGAATACATGGTGGAACGCCTCAAATCCATGCCGGACAAGTTCCACCTCGTCCTGGAAGACCCCGAATGTACGAACGTTTGCTTCTGGTACATTCCCGAACGTTTCCGCAGCATCCCGCACTCCGTTCAGAAGGAGCAAATGTTGGGCGAGGTGACCCCCACGATCAAGCAGCGCATGATGAACGCTGGCACGCTAATGATCGCGTACCAACCGCAGGGCAAAATTCCCAACTTTTTCAGAAACATTATTTCCAACCCGGCCGTGAAAAAGTATGATATTGACTTCCTCATCACGGAGATTGATCGATTGGGACATGATCTCTAAATAATTTTTGCAAAATTTTGAGGAGAAAAATTTGCACAGGTTTTTGTTTAAATTTGCGATCCTGGCTCGAAATCTGTTCTTCTGCCGAGAATTACTTAAAAGAATTTTGTTTTGGAGGAGAGGATTGCAATTTTGAAATAGATAAATCAATTGCAGGAAACTTTGCAGAATTTTGGGGACAAAAAAAATCTGAAATTTTGCACTGTTTTTTTTAAATTGCAATCCTGGCTCGAAATCTGTTCCGCCGACAATTAAAAGGATCCAGTTTTTGAGGCAGGGTTACAATTTTACATGAAATAAATCAAGAAACTTTGCAAAATTTTGGGAAAATAAAAACGAAATTTTGCACTCTTTTAAATTGCAAACCTGTTCTTCTGCCGACAAAATCCCGTTTTTGAGGCAGGATCGCAACAATTTTTCGCACGGATAACTTCTTATCAATTGTATTTACTTAATTGCCCCTATTTTTAAGTTGGAAAAGTATTTAAGGGAAGATTAACTAACTACTAATTAACTAATTAAATGCGATTGGTGGATATGCAAATGATATGTAAATTAAATATATACCAAAAGATTATGGAACGAGTAATTAAGCGTGCTTAGGACGTACCTGCGAAAACTGCTGCAAACTGGTAGTGTGTAAACCATTAAAGAAAACTATTATGTGTTCTAAATATTTAGAAAATTGAAGAGAAAAATTATGACGACAGAAATTTTATGACAGAGTATTTAAAAACCTGGGAAGGAATTTTGAAATTCAGAAATATTGTTTAGGAAAGTGTAGAAAAGGATTGTGCTGGACATAAATTTATGTAAATTGCTGAGACGAAAAGTGATGAACAGAAAGAAGAAGAAAAGTTGTGATAAATTGAGACAGGAAATAATCATGAAATGGGAAAAGTGAGATATTTAATTATGTATCGTAATTATTTAATTATTTATGTAATTAGAGAAATAAGATAAGTTGGGGTTATCTAATTTGTGCATACATATACGTTTCTTGATCCTATTGGAATATTTGCTCGAGATACATATGCCGACTTATCGAGAGTATAATGGTTGCGATAAGGTGGAGAAACGGGGAGGAAAAATAGGTCAAAAGTAATGATTCTGCATATAAATTATATAAAATTACGCAAATTGCACGCTTTTTGCTATCACCACGAATTGCACAAATTTTGCACTTGCTTTCACCACAAATTGCACAAATTTTGCTATTTTGCTTTCACCACGAATTGAATAAATTGCACAAATTTTGCACTTGCTTTCACCGCGAATTTCACAAATTCTGCTATTTTGCTTTCACCACGAACTGCACAAATTGCACAAATTTTGCACTTGCTTTCACCACGAATTGCACGCTATTTTGCTTTCACTTCAAATTGCACAAATTTTACTACTTGCTTTCACCACAATTCTCTCTCAAATTCGCACAAATTCACTTCTCTCACAACTTTTTGCACACTATATTTCCTCCTAAAAAAACAGATAACCCCTACTTATCTCTATCTCTCATTCTAACAGAAAGTCTGCCGGTTTGGACAATATATTAGACATACATAAACATTCCTAAAAATCTGTTAACAGCTTGTGTAAAAAAAGGAAACCCGTGGCTGAGTAAAATTTACATAAATAAATCTTACTCATCCCCCTTCTTACCAAATTATAGCCTTAATTGCATCGTGTCGTCCCCCACAATTTCAGCCTCGTATAATTAATTAACTAATTAACTAATTAATTAATTAAACTAAACTAAATCAATAAAAAAAATCATCAACGTAGCAGAGCAATCAATCAGCTTTATGGTATCGTAGCAATATTTGTATCATAGAAATCTAGGCTAGTTAGCAATACATAATTAATTAATTAATTAATTACAATTAATTTACTAATTAAGTAATTAATTATACTAAAATTACTAATTATAAAAGAGAGGAAAGAAAATCATCTACTTAGACGAGATGCATCTGTATCACTACATAATCAGTTGTGTATCATAGACAATAATTAATACAAATTTTAATCGTAATTAATTAGTGACTTAATTACGTAATGTTTTATTAATCCCTTAAATTAATTTACATAAATTCAAAATTAATGGGCCACTTAATTTACATAAATTTTAAATCAATGTGGATGAGTAATTTGCAAAAATTCTAAATTAATGCGGAAACTTAATTTACATAAATTCGAAATTAATCTGGATAACTATGTAACTTTCAAAATTTTCCCCAAATTTTCGAAGATTATTTATTTCCTAAAAATTACGTAATCATTTTTAAAAAATTAGTTAAAAAATGAATACTATTTATTTCTACAAATTATATATTAACTGATAACCTAACTATGTAAATATGTAAGTAATAACCACTGATAACATCTTATCAATACATACATAAATCGACTATAAAGAGAGCGATTTTCCACAAAAATCCTCCTCTCGACACAGAATCCAAGTCTTCCAGTTGACAAATAATTAAATATTTAAATAACTAATTATACTTTAAATGCTGTACTGACAATAACACGTCGTCGTTACAAGGTCCCGTATCATGTCGACTATCGTGACAATAACTCAGTGACAACTAATTAGCATAAGGTGTAAATTTACATACTTAGATAAGTGAAAAACTGAGAAAAATCCGAAATTTGTTTACTCTTTTTTCAGAAAATTTCGAGACAAATCCGAAATTTCCTGAAAAAACCAAACAAATTTCAGATTTCTCTCTGAAATTTTAGCAGGAATGAACTTAGAAAATGAAATTTAGCCAAGAAAAATATAGAATTTCTATCCGTCGTAAAAAAAAGTAGAATTGAAATTTGGTCCAAAAAAATGTCAAAATTTTAAAATAGACGACAATATTACCAAGAACCTTAAAAAATTGTCTTCGTCTTCCGTAGAAAATACGAAAAATTAGTGGAAAAACTAAAATAGTAAACGAATTAGAAAACTGTAATTTAATGTAACACGTGATGTGGTGGTGATGGTGGTAAAAAAAATTGTAAAAAAATTATCGGTTTATTACATACGCCAGAAATTTATTTTATGAAAAAAATGTATGATTTTGGTTTGTATTTTTGTTAACACAAATTGGCATAAATTTGCGACATTTTTGTATCATAACAAATTTTATGTAATTTTGATTCGAGTAATTTGTAATTTACTTTGTTGTATATGTTAACCAAGAGTGTACCATGAATCCAGAATTTGCTTAGATTTTGTAGAAAGTAATAAAATTACTTTTAAATTGTTGTATTTTTTAAATTTTTGGGGGAAACTTTGGAAATTATTGGGTTTTTATGAAACCTATTTAGCATAAATTTAAAAGGATTTCATTTCATGCAGAATTTCATTTCGTGTAAAATTTCATTTCATGCAAAATTTTATTCCATGCAAAATTTCATTTCATGCAGATTTTTATTTCATACAGATTTTCATGCAAAATTTCTTGTACATTTCATGACCTGACAGCATCTGAATTAATTGTAACGCATAACACGATTCAAGAAATACCAAAAATATGCAAGCTTTTTTTTAAAAATGTGCAAGCTTTAAAAATTATGTATGCAACCATTTCAAAAAAATATTCAACCTTTTCCAAAAATATGCAACTTTTTCAACGAATATATACAGTCAAAACATCTCTATCAATTCCGAAAGTGCCAAAATAATGCATAATTCAAACCCCAAAGTCGTTTTACATAATAAATTTATTACAAAAATTGTACTCAAGTTTTTGTACCCTCCTAAACTAAATACACGATCTGCGTTACAATAACAGTAAAAGAGTGGTTAAAAAAAAATAAACTATCGGATATGTAAATAACTACGCATTCGTATCGTCAAGCTAATTTTACTACTAACTTTTCGACAAGTTTTGTCGTCACCCCCACTAAAAAAAACTCTACACTAATCTACGTATCTTCTAAATCACTAAATAAATAAGAATTTTACATGTCAATGATTCATTCATAAAGTCAGTTAAATACATAATTTCAGAGAAAATGTAGATTATTCAGCAATGCGGTATTCGCCTCGTTCAGCAGGGCCGTTCCGGTCAGCATGGACAATTTGCGGGCGTACTGACAAGGCGCCGGAACTGCAACTGTGCCCGTCCAGTTAAAATAGCCATGACACACTTTGAACGTGAAACGCTGCATTTGGTCCGCTGACAGGCCAGACGTGTCGTAAATGACGTTGAACGCCACGGGGGACACGGTTCCCTGTCTAGCCGTCTGTGCCACAAGGTAGAAATCGTATCTGGAAATATATTCATAGTAAAAATTAATGCCAGCATTGTTTTTTGTTAATGATGTAGTAGTTAATTCATAAATGACCAATTAAATCGCATAATTAACGCAGGACTGGACGACGAAGCACCATAACTTGTCAAAATCGTCACATTTTAAATCATTTCTCGCCTCTGGGAATTTATTTTAAAATTCTGGACGACAAATTTGCAGTCAGTGAGTTGTTTAATGGAATGGCGTCGAGTTTTTTGAGCCAGTTTTAATGAGTTCCAATTTTTCTGAAGGCTTCTTAAACTTGAGATCTCCTTCAAAAAGTGTCAAAATCTGGAGTGTATATTTCTCAAAAAATTGGCAACGACTTTTGCTCTACAAATTTCCCGTCCAGAATTTTAAAATAAATTCCCAGATGATTTCAAATGTGTTGATTTTGACGATGAGGCATCCACTCCTACGTTAATTTCAACCAATTAATTATCCACTCACTTTTCCGGGCAGGTGATCACATCATCCACAACCGAGCCAGGTAGTGGGTTTAGCACGCAATTTTTATCTCCAGTTGCGAGAAAGATTCGCGTGTTAATGCGTCTCGTTACAATGATCATCGTAAACTTGGGGTACATTTGGTTCGCATTTTTGTAAACTTCGGCCATAGCACTCTGAAAAGAAAGATACATAAATCATAAAAATAAAATTAAATACCGATGAGAGACACGTTTCATTAAAGTAAAACGCACTTTGATAGCTTCCACTTCAGTGTCGACAACAACACGAAGTTGACCATCTCCGACCCCGTCACGGTAGAAAATTATCCTGTGAAGATAAACCAATAAGTTAGATTTTGGGATTGAAAAAAGCAAGAAAATTGGAAATACAGATTTTTTTAAATTCACCTGCTCGGCAAAACTCCGTTCCGGGCTCCATACGCTTTTAAACATTCTGGAAAGAAAACAGAAAAAAGATTGCGACGAAAATCTATCATTTTCACAAAAACCCAGAATGTTAGCTCGAGTCGGGTTGTTACTAACAAGTAATAATTTCGAGATGGATTATACAACTTTTTTTCAGCAAATTTTGCCTTCATCGTCGAACGTAAATTCTGCTTTTGAATATTCCACGTGGGTGCCAAATTTTAATTTCAAGACGGAATTGGAAAAGTTTTATAAAAAGACAGACATACACCCCTAACGGGTACAAAAGCCCTGACTCGGGCTAAAAACTTGGCATTAATTATAGAAATCATTAAAGAAAACGGACTTATCATCGCCGCCCCGATTTCACCGCCCATGTTATTCCCCTGTTCCAATGTGATAACTGTTGAGAAATACGACGCCAAATTTGCCGACGTTGTGGCCGCAAGTGCTCCATAGCTTCGCCCAGTTCCATGATGGACATCGAAGCCAATAACCATCAGGCCCTGAAATATTAAGTCAATAATTTACATATTATTAATTAATTGCGGCGGTAGTTATTAATTTATTTGTATAAACATCACCTCGAGCGGATTGACCAGGCCCCACGGTTGCCCACCCAGCTTGGCGTTCATTTGTATGAGCATTTTCATGCAGATTGATCGAAGATTCCGGCTTGTCGTGTTCTTTGCCAAGAAACATTGCGATGGAACTGGAAAAATAGGACATTTCGATAAGTAATCTGCCCTTACAAAAATGAAGGTCTCCCATCGTATGCTCTTCGATTTTTAGCAAATTAGCGTTAATCGATCAGGAATTTAATTAGGATGAAATTTGCGAAAGCCGTGATCTTCCAATGGGCACGTTTGGCCGAGATATTTGCACCCGAAGAGGAAAAAACGTGCAGCAAATTTGGAAAGTGTAATATTTGTCGACTTTACGGTGCGTTTTCTTCTCTTCGGATGCAAATATCTCGGCCAAACGTGCCCATTGGGAGATTGTGTCTTTCGCAAATTTAATCCTAATTAAACTTGACATCGATTGACACTAATTTGCTCAAAATCAGAGCGCATACGCTGCGAAACCTCCATTGTTAATTAGACTTCAAATAATAATAATGATGTCCTCACTTCCGCGCTGGATGGTACATTGGACTTTGACTGCTGCATAGATATCCGAGTTTTCATGCGGCAAAACGATAAATACCATTGCGAGATCGGCCTGCTGACCACTGAAACTATTCACGACGGCGTTGATCTGATTTACGTATTCGTTTCTTGAATCGTTATTCAGTCGTATGCTGGAAACCAAAAATTTGTAATCATAAATTTCCACCATCGAAATATGTACTTCTAAAAGCCAAACAGTGTTTCGCTTTTGCGGGTTTGCTATATTTCTTGCACTGCATGGAAAGCAAGCCACGGAAGAAAATGCGAGGTGCCAGAAATTGGAAGACAGATCAAGAAATATGCGCCATCTAGCCACGCGCCGCATACCTGTTCACTTTCATTCATTTGATTCATTATGATGGTGAATGATACGTTGTGAATGAAAATGAATTTTCTGCTATTTGAGTGTAAATGAATGAAGGATTCAGTCATTTCAGATGAGTGACTTTTGAATGCAAACTAAATTCTTGAACAGGTATGGTACAGCGGCGGGGCGCAGTTTCTTGCGCCTTGCATTTCTTGCAGATTCGAAACACTGCTTGCATCATTTTTCTTACGGCAAAGGCGGCGAAACTTGAAATCCAATCTGACGACTGACTTGGCGCATCATGGTGACCAAAGCGTCAATGTTTTCCGACTGTCTGGGAGGGTACATGAGGGCCCAGTGGATCAAGGGGATTGCCAGGAACATCTTTTCATCTGTATTACCCAAGCAAACGTTTTTTTAAATGAGTACAAATCACAACTAGTCTATTTACTCCTCAACGCTGCGGTCCAATCTGCATCGTCGCCAGGCGAATAATTACGGCCATCAAGAAATCGAATAAGTTCCTGGCTCAATAAACGACCCTGCACGTCTACCGGAACCCCCAGAATCCGGGCTCCCCAACGGAGTAAATATTGTCCCACCTAAAAATACAAAAATAGATTTATAAATTACAGGGGTGGACAAACTCGGACAAAGTACAATATTTTGAGCTCCTTTCTTCCCAGGGTTTGGATTTCCGGGGGTATTACACCTACAAAAATACGAGAATCTACGTGGAGAAGGCAACTGTCACAGGAAAATACAAGTTTTGTGAAGAAATTAACTTTTCATCGTCGTCAAAATTCATTGTTTTCACGATTTTCTTAAAAATAAAGTATTTCGACAACAATAAAAAGTCAATTTCTGCACAAAGCATGCATTTTTTAGCCCAGCTGTTGCCTTCTCCACGTGCATTCTCCTCTTTTTATGGGTGTAACAGCCTTGAAAATCCAAACCCAAACTTGTCCTCAAAATCTTGTATTTTAACATATTTCTAACAAATTATCAAACATTTAAAATCATCAATCCCACCCCCAACCCAACTCACCAGCGGATTTTCAATCATACTCCGAACAAACTTCACAATCTGATTAATCCTTCCTTGTGCCGGCAAATGAAAATGGGTCGCCAAATCCTTCATCAATTTAAAGTTCCTCCTCATCTCATTATCGATCCCAGTTTTGTAAGAAATATCCGGCGGCAGTATCTTATCCCCTGTATGCCCCCGACGAATATCTCGTTTCGTCGGTCCGACCACCAACATCGGCTGCGACGGTTGAATATCGAGCCCCTTCTTTTTAAAATACTGTAAAAACGACACCTGCGTCAGGACCCCTTTCACCCTCGCTTCAAAAGTGTCGGTCGGTCGTTGATCCCAATTGATTCCCGTGATTTTATACGTTCTCGAGTTGTAGATGGTCATCACCGTACTTCCGACGATCGCGGCTTCGCACTCTTTCCGAAAATCGCCCCGAGTGCTGTCTCGAATACTTCGAATCAGCGTGTAAACACTTTCCGTTCGGCAGACCTTAAACGTCAGGTCGACGTTGAACAAGACGTCGTCCTCCATTTGACGAATCGAGGTGACGAATCCCGGCCAAAGTTGGAGTTTGTGGTGGAGAATGTCGATTTTCTGGGTGGCGTCGAAATAGTACTGGCCGAGGCGGGTGAGACCGTGGATTTCTTGGCAGGATTTGACGAGAACGTTGTACAACTGGGTGACGACGGGTTCTCCGGGGTCGCATGGGCGGATAAATTGGATCGTGACGGTCCACTCTTGTTCAGGATGGGAGGGGAAGGAGGCGGTCAGCGACATGTGTTCGGGAGGGATGATGTGTGTCGTGAAGAGTTGGACGCCCTCGAATAAGTAGGGGCCGAGCTGGTCGTCTAGGGTGTGGAGGAGTTTGGAACGTTTTCCGATCGTTTCGATTTCTGGGGAGAATGTGACCTTGTAAAGGAAAAACTCGATGGTTTTCTTCATCTGGAATTTAAAATAGTTGGCGAATAATTTTTGGGGGGTGCCAGATGTTCCGGTTTTTCCCAAGCCGTCCGGTCTGGTTCGAACGTGGTCGTAACCTCGGCCGAATCCGTACCCTTCTCGTCGTGGTGGGGGTGGCCCTGCATTTATAAACAATCATAAACTAAATGTCATAAAATTAATTGGGCCTAAATTTTATTAACCACGTTTAAAATGATTACTTGAAAATTAATTATAAAAGTCAAGAAATTTAATAATTTCTTCTTTGTTTACTTACCCACATGTTCTTGGGCCTGCGCCTGCTCTACAGGTCGCTGTCGAACCTCCATTTTGTATTTAAAACAATAGCCTGCACCAATTAATTGCACATATTAATTAAATATTAATTATTAATATGCAAAACACAAAAACTGTCTGTTCCTGCTCGAGGGGACATTTGTAAACTTCACAACATAAAGGGGTGGGTGGTCAGGACCCAATGATATCGTGCCTATGTGACACATGTTAGAAAGGGGGTTGGTGGGTGTCAAAAAAACAAAAATTTGCGTTACGAAGTTTACGAACGTGCCCCTTACAACATAGATAAGAGATCTAACCACACATACTTATCTATCAATTGGCACATGATACAAAGCGACCTAAACTTTACCAAATTAATTTAAAAGTAATTAAACAAAACTCACCTGTTCTGGACGAAGACCAAAACCAAGACACGGCAAATTAATATTTTGGCTCGATCAGAGTCTCGTCAACCTGGTCGAGAATCGAACACACTAAAACTAAAGTAAATCTGCTGGCTGCCACACTTTCCTGTGATTGCTTGATTGGTTCGTCTTTATTCTTTAGCAAGCAAGCAAAAAAAAAACGTTCCAGTTACTCCACAGATTTTAAGAATAAGAGTTTCCATTCCACCCCTCGCAAACTGTGAGTCGCCGTACTTCATTAACATGCAGTCACCTCATTCTTTCATTCATTCATAAAAGTTAGAATTTATATGGTATCAAATTAGGTAAATTTATTTTGATGCTCTTATCTATCACCACAACAAATATGCAAATTGCGTTATAATTAAGATAATTAAGAGTGTATGTACATAATGATAAGTTTTAAGAATGCTCATGTTAAAAAAATCTAGGCTGACAAGCACACACATTTGATTTTATTCTATCTTATCTTGTACCTTCTCCGATTTCGTGGTCCTTCTTCTTCTTCAGCTTGACCCGAAATTGAGAGGTCAGTTCATCCTGTATGACATCCGGTCAGAAGGAATTTTGTGAGATTTACGAGTTAGGAAGAATTTTAAAATAAGAATAATTGGAATTTAGAACATTTGCATGATTAATATTAGTTAATTTATAATTGTGAAAACTATAAACTTTTGTTCGGTCGGAAGGGAAGAGATATAATGTTCAATGTGTAAATGTGGATTTTTAAATAAAACACAGGAATTTCTATTTTATAAATTTTTACACTGACACGACTGATTTTATTGGACGCAGATTTTTATCGAACTAATTTTGTGACAGGTTGTTTTTAGATCTCCAACAGTAATTAAAAATAATATTACTAATAAATATAAAACAATTTCGGAAAATGTATTGTTGATATTCTGGGGAAAGTTTTGAATACCAAAAATTTTATCTTATCATGTTGGTAAGCTTTATAAAAACACGAATTATCGAAACCCAACCTAATTTAATGAATGTGACGCTTTTGCACACAGCCACCAATCATATTCAGAACGATCTTCTCGTCACGTCGTGGCGTTCCTCGGAGTTTCAATGACCTTTTCAATGACCACCACAACGACAGACGGACCATGTCCACCAAGCGGGGGGACAATTCCACCCCAACGTCATCTGACATTAGCAAACTTTTCTACAAAGGTCACAATTTTTGCTGACAAAATTTCGGACGTGGGAAAAATAGCGTATTTTGACCTCAGTTCTTGCCAGGGTGGATTTTCGGGGCTGTTATACCCACAAAATGACGAAAATCTACATGGGGAAGGCAACAGTTGTACGAAAATATGGGTTTTCTGAAGAAATTAATGTTTTAAACGCGGTCAAACACTGTATTTTTTTAAATCATGAAATCAATGCGGTTTTGACAGCGATAAAAAGTTAATTTCTGCACAAAACCTCTATTTTCATAAGACTGTTGCCTTCTGGATGCAGATTCTCATCTTTTTTTGGGGGGGGGGTTAACGCCCGTGGAAATCTAAACCCTGGCAAGAACCGAGCTCAAAACACTGGATTTTGCCCACTCTTGCAAAAATTTGCATACATTTCGCACACTGCAAATTTTCCTCCTTTGTTTCTCACAGATCTCCTCCCCCACAACCCGACTTCCGGTTTCCCCCCTCTCACCACCTTCTACACCCGGGTGCTCTCCCTAATTCTCGACTACGTAAAAAAATCCAGTGATAGGAACGAACCCGTCTTGGAATTCACCACCCACCCGAACTCATGAAACTGATGGACTTCTCCCTCCCCGATGAGCCTCGAAACCTCGCCGAAATTCTGCAGGATTGCGAAACCACGCTGAAACACGTCGTGAGAACGGGACACCCCCATTTTTTTAACCAGCTCTCCAACGGCTTGGATACGATGTCCTTGGCCGGCGAGTTCATCACGGCGACGGCCAACACGAACATGTTCACGTACGAGATCGCCCCCGTTTTCATACTCATGGAGAAATTCGTGTTTAGAAAGATGCGAGAGATTATCGGGTATACGAGAGGGGATACGATCATGGCGCCGGGTAAGAGCTTATCTTGTACTGATAATCAGTGACCGCAGAAGTGCGGGTACGGAACGGAAGGATAATGTGTTCCCATCATCTGTCCTTGCTATATAAATCCCTCCCTCTCCTATCCTGCAATGTTAATGTCCTCCCCGGATGTCCCCACAGCTTCCGCGACCTGTGCTGACAATGGAGGTCTCCCTACGCATGCTCTCCGATTTTCAGCACGTGTCAATTGATCACGAATTTGATTAGTATGAAATTGAAATTTGCAAAAGACGCGACCTCCCAATGGGCGCTTTTGACAGAGAGAAATATTTGCATCCGAAGAGGAGAAAACGCACCCTAGTGTTGGAAAGTGTAAAATTTGTCGGAATTCGGGTGTGCTTTCTCCACTTCTGATGCAAATATCTCGGACAAATTTGGAGATCGTGTCTTTTGAAAAAAAAATTTTTTTATGAACTCGGACAAATGTTTTTTGCTGGTTTACTAAAATTTAATCTAATTTAAAACTAAAATTGATCAAATCTATTTGAAAATAATTTCAACGGCGTTAAACAATAAAAATTTACAAAATCACATAGAAGACGAAATGAATTAAGAGATATTTGCGTCCGAAGAGGAGAAAACGCACCAAAAAGCCGACAAATTTTACACTTTCCAAATTTTCTGTGTGTTTTTTCCTTTTCGGATGCAAATATCTCTGTCAAACGTGCCCATTGGGAGATCGTGTCTTTCGCAAATTTCATACTAATTAAATTTGTGGTAGATTGAGACTAATTTGCCCAAAATCGCTGGGAGACCTCCATTTTGAGTTGCCTTATCAATGATAAGTTATCATTGATGATATCTTACCCAGGTGGCTCAATTTCCAACTTGTACGCCGTAATTGTCGCGAGACACTGCATGTTTCCGGATTATAAGAAGCAAGGGATGCGGTCGATGGTGAAGGAACCCATTATTTTTACTTCCGAGCATGTAAGAAACATCAAGATTTAATTGATAACGACTTATCTTTAATAAGACACACTTATCAACATTTTACTCTTTTAAATAGTCGCACTATTCCATCATGAAAGCCGCCGTAGTGGCAGGATTCGGGACGGAACATTGTGTAAACGTTCCTTGTGACCAGAGGTACTTATCGAATTTATTACAGTTCTGGCTTATCGGTTGATAATGATAAGATGATATCGCTTTCCTTTCAGGGGAAAGATGATTCCCGAGGAGTTGGAGAGACTCGTCGTGAAGGCGAAGGAGGCAGGATCGCAACCCTTCTTTGTCACCGCGATGGGCGGGAGTACCGTTTTTGGAGCGTTCGACCCCATCAATGACATCGCCGATATTTGCGACAAGCACAACTTGTGGTTGCATATTGATGTGAGTTACGTTTACAAATTTTTGCAGAGGAGATTTGAAATTGTGTTCAGAAATGCAAATTATGCAAAAATTAGAGGTTTGCAAATTTGACAGAATGATGCGCCGGAAGTAGATATTTTTATAATAAATAATTGAAAAGATAAATTAGGTCATTATGAGAAACTTTTGCGCATAAAAAGTGCGAAATTTATTCACATATTATTAATTGTCTGGGTACATTTATGTGCGAAAACTTGGTGAATTGAGAAAATATTCAATTTTAAATATGCAATCACATCAAATTACAAAATTGCTCATTTTAAGAGACAAGATTAATAAAAATACGAATTTTATATCGATAAAAGACGTAAGGATAATAAAATCGAGAAGGAAATAATTTTTGCGAATTTGTTTAAGAATTTAGAAATATCATCTGCCACACATTTTAAACAGACAAAATTGTCTAAATAATTTAAGTGGCATTTCACTATTACTATTATTATTACAAATAATAATTTAGGAGGAATTTATTCATTTTTTTAATTTCAGGGGGCCTGGGGTGGAAGTCTCCTCCTCTCCAAGAAGTATCGTCAAGGTCGATTTGACGGGGTTGAGAGGTAAGTTGTTATCAGAGGGCGGATATGTATTTATTTTCAACTTTTTCATTCACTTGATGACCGATGGTCAAACTTTGTGCTTGTGTTCACTAACTCGCATAGAGCACAAAAATTTCAAATAAACTTTTAAAAATTTCAAAATATTTTTACACATTGTCGCATATTTCGAGGTTTTCAGGCATATAAATATTTCCGCTATTATTTAAAGAATGTGGAAACCTTCATATTTTTTTTAATACGTACATATTTTGTAGATAGGTATTTATGTAAACGATGTGGGACGACATTTTTTTGCTCAAAGTAAAGCAAAAAAAATCCAGAGCATTAATATTCAAAAATATGAATTTTGCGAAAATATGATTTATTTCGTACATATTTGGTAAATATTTTGGCGTTATTTTTCGTGAATATTAAATAACCACATATTTCAGCAGCAATTTTTCGTGAATACATATCCCCTTACAAATTTTCCGAAGAATCTTACCTCTTTTTGTGCCTATTTCGAAAATATTTTGGCGTTTTTTCTTAAGAATTACATAAATACTCCGATTAATATCATTAAACTTCCTGCCAAAATTTGCATAATATAAAATAATCTTTCCTTCAGGGCGAGATCTTTAACCTGGAACCCTCACAAACTTCTCACCACGTCGCTGCAATGTTCCACCGTCCACTTTAAGGAAAAGGTTTGTCGTCTTATCAGTCCCCTTAAAAATACGCAAAATATTGACCTAGACCTAATTTTACAGGGTCACTTGGCCAGTTGCAACTCGACCCACGCCGCCTACCTCTTCCAACCCGATAAGCACTACGACGTGCGGTACGACACGGGCGATAAGGTCATCCAGTGTGGGAGACGGAACGACATTTACAAATTGTGGTTGAAATGGCGTGCTCATGTAAGTAAGCAAAATTGCGAAAAATGCACATTTTGCACAAACAACAACATTTAATTTGATAACTATTGCAAAAATTTTCTAATTCGTTTGCAAATTGCAATCACATTTCGAACAAGTTTTTATTCAGGGAAGATACGATTTTTTAATTTGTTATAATTTTTAATTATGCAAATTTCGGTTAGCAGTATTTCTCTCGAAAGATCGTCTTTTTTTAACCTAACCTAACTTGGTTAGACATCACATAAGTATTAATTTTTATTTTGTAAAGTTCATTTGGATCATAAATTTTTGCAATTTTTTGCACACGTAATCGATGACAAAAATTAGGATGAAGTTTGTGAAAGGTACGATCTCCTAATGGACACATTTCGCCGTGATATTTGCATCCGAAGAGGAGAAAACGCATCCTATAAAATCGACCCCCAAATTTGCACAGAAAATTCATTCGTTAATTTTATGTGCAAATTTTAAATTACTGAGGAGGGGAGCTTGCGAGGTTGATAATAACAGATCTTGGTGCCCTTTGGATATGTGGTAGGGACCTATGAGTGTACTAAAACCCTGAAGTAGTTTGACTCCATGGCCACATTTGCGCCCGCCACACCCACTCAAAAATGTCCAAAAAACGCTTTCACCCCAGTTTTCACTCACTCAAATCCACGCCAAAAATCCAATTTTACTCGGATTTTGAAATTTCTTTCACCATTATACTCCCAGATAGTTGCTTTCTTCAATCCAATGTCAAACTCAATTTTTTCGAAATTTTTAGTATTTTTAAAATTTAAAATTCTGAATGAGCATTGTTGTAGTCATCAACAAAACAAATTATGTTTGCGAAATAATCATCAATAAAATTGGGTTTGATATTGGATTGAAGAAAGCAACTATCTGGGAGTATAATGGTGAAAGAAATTTCAAAATCCGAGTAAAATTGGATTTTTGACGTGGATTCGAGTGAGTAAAAACTCGATTGAAAGCGTTTTTTGGGCATTTTTGAGTGGGTGTGGCGGGCGCAAATGTGGCCATGGAGTCAAACTACTTCAGGGTTTTAGTACACTCATAGGTCCCTACCACATATCCAAAGGGCACCAAGATCTGTTATTATCAACCTCGCAAGCTCCCCTCCTGAGGGTTAGTCTAGATTACAGAACGTGTAGCAATTTTCCCATATACGTTAAATAATGGCGCCAATTCCAAATATTCGAAACTTTTCTGGAAGCTCGGTTCAAGCTGCACCGCGACTAAAAAGCTCAATTTCGAAATTTTAAAGATGGGTCCAAAAATTGACCCCAAAGAGCTACATGCCGTTAAAATAGTTTGCCAGCCAATAATGACGTACAAAACAATACTAAACCAACTCCAGAATGAAAAAATTGTCATTTATAATGGCCCAATATCTAAAATAAAGGATTCAGTTGAAAAAAGGAACCAGGCAAGAAATTTGATGGTGCCACACTCGTCGAACGCATGCTCCCCGAACTGTAAGAAACCCGACGCTCGTAAGAAAAATTGATGTGGACAAGGCAATAATTTTTTTCTCAATTCAAAATCAACTGGCAACGAAGTGTCAGGTCCCTGGGCGTACACTGAGCTGAATTATTCACCAAGATATGCACAGCTTCAGCGAGGATCAGAAGATATGAGGTCGACGCGAAAGTTTTTCTCTGACAGCGCTCGGATTACCGCCCAGTACGCAGCCATTCTTTTTTTAATATTCGGAATTTAAATTATTTTGCATAAAGATAAAGTAGTTACGTCCGGTTATGCGCCTTCAGTGCTTTAATTCTGATTTGAAACTTCAGATCGACACTTTTTTCAAATGGACATAAAATTTTTTTTATGCATTTTGCAAACTTTTAGATGAACAGTGGTTCAAAGAAAATCTGCTGCCGGCTTTAAAAGCTATGCTTTTTGGAAATGATAACTTCATTCCTCATGAGAAAAGGAATACGATGAAATCATTCAAAATATCCAACAACGAATATTTCGCCCAAAAATTAATAGTTTTCGACACGTTCTGTAATCTAGACTAACCCTAAGTAAACAAATAGTACTTGAAAATTTGATCGTTTTGACGACGATATATGTAATGGTAATTATATGTAACTAGTGTAGAAGCCCGTCAATCGACGTGCAAAATAGGCCCGTCGATAAGCCCGTTGCCCCAACATTAGTGAAGTTAGCCTCTCCTGTTCTCTCTGCAGAGTGGAGAGAGAAAAGGAGAGGCTAACTTCTCAAATAAGCCACCGACCCAGCCAGCCAGCAGCGATACACTCGCCTGCTTTATATAGTTTAGATAGTGGTATTCACAGTAACCGATTATAATCGTGAGGACGATTATAATCACAATCGATTATAATCATATACCATGAACGCACCAGATTATTGTTGTATTTTGATTATTTTGCCTAAAATATCCAGCAGGATTCATTAAATGGTATCATAGCAACGGCTACTTTTTCGGACGCTTTAAAAAAATTGCATTTGGATCAAGGATTATAATCCAAATAATCGTCCTCGGAGAGGATTATTTTTTTGACGATTATAATCACATTGGTTTATTTTTCCCCATAGAGAATTTTTCGGTGATTATAATCGATAATGATTATAATCGCAATAATCGGTTACTGTGAATACCATTACATATATGTAATTTTCATGTAGGTTTTCTTTTAACCTTATAAAAACTAATTAATTTTGACCTGGATACCATTTAAAAACGGAATTAAAAATGGTTTCTATTGCATTTGGGGGCGGATTTACTGGGGGGCAGAATACCATTGAGACCGACTTGTGGGGCGGTGATAAAATCAGTTGGGGACTGAATTAATGCAAACCGATTTTGAATATTCTACTGATGCAGTTATGATTTATTAGAGACCTGGAACTGATTCGACAACAAAAATTAGAACATAATACATTTTTAACATGAAATTGCAACTGAACCAAATGAACACACGATATTAATTTTGATAAAAAGATCGGATTTGATTTTGATAGTACTACAAAAATAAACTAAACGAATAAATCGTCATCATTCATGTCATCAATTTGATGACACTGATTTTGGGATGCATTTTATATTTTAAACAAGTTATTAGCTATAATTTTGTCCTTCAGTGTTCTGTGACTTGTTCCGATCGGTGGTGACACTATTGCGAATATATTAGCTAAAGAGAACGTTGTGATAATTTAAAAAAAATATGAACTGTATCATATTTACAACATGATACAGGTCAGAGGTCAACGCCGACCAATTTATTAGCGGCGCCAATGTTGGATAATTTTTCGGGGGCGCGGCGTGACCTCTGATGCACTTCCTCCGAGTTCCTCCCCCCACTACAACTACAACTCTAAAAAAATTAGTTCAGGCTTGAAGAAAAACCAACGACAAATAAGGAGGAAAGAATGGAACTGAGAAAATTTTCTCGGTCATTTTATTTTTATTTTTTCCTACACCTTATTGATGTAGCCCGGTCTCAACGGAATTCTGTAACCATACACCTTATTGGTGGAATCCGTCGCCAACGAGAAAAAGTTGGCCTACACCTTATTGGTGTAGTCCGTCGCCAAGAGATCGAAATCGCCCTCCACCTTATTGGTGGAATCCGTTTTTAAAAGGTTAACAAATAGATAAAGACATCAAATCTACCTCCAGAATTGTATTTTAAAATAAATTTCCAAAGATGAGAAATGATTAAAACTGTGGCAATTTTGGTGACGAGTCATAAATCACATGTAGCTTTCGCATGCTTTCACATCTTTGTGAAATAGTTGCACTTGATTCATAACTTTTAAAGTTGACAAATTTTACACTTTCCAACTTCACTGCGCTATTTCTCCTCTTCGGATGCAAATATCTCTGCCTCACGTGCCCATTGGGAGATCGTGTCATTCGCAAATTTCATCCTAATCAAATTTGCGATCGATTGACACTAGTTTGCTCAAAATCGGAGAGCATACGCTGCGAGACCTTGATTAATTGTGTAAATTCTAAATTTCCTCAAAAATTCAGGGAACATCCGGCCTCGAAAAAGCCATCGACCACATGATGGGCGTCACCGAGTATATGGTCGCCTGCTTAAAATCCCATCCCGATAAGTTCTACCTTATCGTAGAAGAACCCGAATGCACCAACGTTTGCTTCTGGTACATTCCCGAACGGTACCGAAATCAGCCCCATTCCGCCGAAAAGCAGGAAATCCTAGGCAAAGTGACGCTCCAACTGAAACGCAGAATGATGGAGAAGGGCACCTTGATGATCAGTTATCAACCGCAGGGCAAAATTCCCAACTTTTTCAGAAACATAATTTCAAACCCGGCCGTGCAGAAGGACGATATTGACTTCCTCATTGACGAATTGGATCGGTTGGGACGTGACTTGTGAAAAATTTTAGAAAAAAAGGAACAAGATTTTAAATGTGACGTGAACAATGATAATAAAAATGATGGAATTTTGCTCAATTAATTTTTAAATAATATAATGAAATGCCTTTTAATTAAGTTAAACACGATTGACGCCATAATAAAGAACTATTGACTGAAGAATATGGATTTGTACATCACAAAATAACTTATTTAAGATAAGACACGATGACTTATCGACATAAATTGGTCAAAATCAGTACATTTTTAGTAATTTCTCGTTTCTGGGAATTTATTTTAAAATTCTGGACGACAAATTTGTAGTCAGTGAGTTGATTAATGGAATGGCGTAGCTTTTGAGCCGGTTTCGACGAGTTCCAATTTTTCTGAAGGTTTCTTAAACTTGAGAGCTCCTCCTTCAAAAAATGTCAAAATTGTACAGGAGGTCGTAGCCAATTTTTTAAAAGAAATATACACTCAAGATTTTGAAACTTTTTTGAAGGAGGAAATTTAAGACACCTTCAGAAACATTGGAACTCGTCGAAACTGGCCCAAAAAACTCGTCACCATTCCATTAATCAACTCACTGACTACAAATTTGTGATCCAGAATTTTAAAATAAGTTCCCAGAGCCAAGAAATGATTACAAATGTGATGATTTTGACAATTTTGATGACGAGTCCTACCTTAATCTACACTTCTCGCAATATTAAATAAATACATATAAATAAATACTTTAATTAAAAGCGTATTTAAATTTAGCCACTGAATTAATTAATCCAATTTCATCCCTCCGTCGGTATGATCGAGGTCGATGTCTCCAATCACTTCGGAAATGTGAGATCTCTGGTTTCCATTGACGGAACCCATGCTTGATTCGCGACTTCCTCCTCCTCCCCCACCGGGCATTGTACCCATTCCACCAAACATGTTCATAGCGCCTTGACTGAGACCTATAAATAAATAAATAAGATCAGGACACGAATAAATAATTAACACAGTAATTAAATAATTAATTAATTAATCGTTATTTTTGTAATTTCAAAGATGGTCAAAACACAGTGTTTTAAGCTCCTTTCTTGGATTTGCAGTGATGTTACACCCACAAAACGACGGAAAATCTACGTGGAGAAGGCAGCAGTCATACTAAAATACTGGTTTTATGATATTATGATATGATAAAATTGACATTTTATCGGTGTCAAAATGCATTTTTTTCACGATTTTTTTTAAATAAAGTAGTTTGACCACGATAAAAAGTTAATTTCTTAGCAAAAAAACGTATTTTCGTGTGACTGTTGCCTTCTCTAAGTAGATTTTCGTTTTGTGGGTGTAACAGCTCCGGAACTCCAAATCCTGGCAAGAACGGAGTTCAAAATACTGTATTTTAACAATTCTTAATTTTTACCTGTAACTGCCGTTAACACGATATTTAATGTGACGAGAAACGAAATTGTAAACACGACCAGGGTCCCCGTCACCACTGCGGCGGCCGTGACGTAAACCACGGTGGAGAAGTCATGTCCGATAATCCAAGATAAGAAGTAGCACCCGATAAGATGGACAATTCCGAAGATTCCAATTCCCAAAAATCCTAGTTTTATGAAGGAAGTTAAAGCCCCAATGCCGCCGCTGCCACCAATCGAAGAACCTGAGGCTAAAGGATAAGACGTTATCAATTATAAGTTAACACTATTTCTAAATTTGTAAATAATTGAATTTAAACTAAATAAATTTGAAATTACCAGATCCACTGGACGTATTCATTTTATTCTCCTTGTTCCCGTTCAGGCCAACTTTTTACGTTATCTTTTTAGATAAGCACAACCAGTCTGGTAAAAAGTATAATTTATTTATCACAAAAAGTATTTTAAGTAAGGAGAAAGAATTAATTTTAATTAAATTTAGCGATTAAAAAACAAAGTCACGTTTTCTGGCTGGAGAGAATCAGATCCAAAATCAGATCCCGGCCTGAACATTCGGGGTTCGTTGCGAAATATCGGTGCGTATCGCATTTCCACGTCGAAATTTTGGCGAAACTTCGCAAAAAATATACATCATTATAATGAAATGTAGTGATTAATTAATTATATTTAGAAGTTAGCCCATATATCGTTTAGATTTATTACAGTCTCAATTTCTTGCCTCAATTTCCCGTCTCAACTTTCTGGCTTTTCTCGTCTCAACTTTTTGTCTCAATTTCCCGTCTCAACTTTTTGTCTCAATTTCCCGTCTCAACTTTCTGCCTTTTCCCGTCTCAAATTGGTGTTTCAATTTCCTCTCCAACGCACTTCTTGCTTCAATATTATCCACTGTTTTTTAAAATAATAATTATCAACTTCACTCCTCAATTTTCGGGAAACCAAATTTCGGCCCTTGGCATACTAGATAATTTCAGTGCAATGCATTTTTTAAGTACACACTGGATTCCGACCTTAAAAGGATTTTATCAATGTTAAAAATTTAAAATTTATGGTAATGGTCGACTTGGATTTTTATTTTTGTAAACTGGTTTTCGAAAAGTTTTAAGCAAATTTTAGCATCGGTGAAATTTCGAATTATTCCAAATTTTATTTATGCTTGATGAACATTTCAATTTGTGACATTAATTCTTAAAACAAATGAAATTTCCGGAAATTGTCAATTCTCATTTTTTCATATTGTTGTAAACTGCTCTCTTAAATTTTCGAAATGTTTATTTTAACTCTCAAATTATTTCAAATTTTATGTATGCTGGAGCAATTCAATGCACGACTTTCTTAAAAATGTTGAAGAAAACAATTGAAAAAATGATGTTTAAAGAATGTTGAATAAGTATGAAAGATTTTGAAAAAAATTATATTTTAAATCCAAATTCACACTTTATTCACCTCATTTTTTAAAAGATCAATTTACAAATTTTTGAAAAACAGGACAAAAAAATCTACAATCTTTTGTACACTCTCGTCGCAACGACGCCCTTGGCGGAGAAGACGGCCTTCATTTCGGTGGGGAAAAATTCTCTGGTCGTGGTGGCCGCCTCGTCACCAATTTTTTGGACGTGGACCAACTTGTCGCCCTCCTTGGTCATGGTCGACTTGGATTTGCGCCCGTCGGCCGTCTCCTCGTCGAATTCTTGGCCCAGGGTGAACACAATTTCCGTATTTTTCAGGGCTGTGAGCGTCTTGAGGGTGTATTTGCCCCCACTTTCGCTAATCTCCACGGTGGGCTTGGCCTTCTCCGCGAGGTTTCGCTGGATCATGCCGACACCTGGAAGAAAATTGGGAATTTATTTCCTGTTCATAATTTATTTGGATTAGTTTCCAGAAATGATGTAGAAAGTGTTTCGTTTTTTGCGGGTTTGCTACATTTTTTTGGACTACAGAGCAAGAAACGCAAGAAACATGCATTTTTCTCGGCATTTTTGCGCCATGCATTTCGCGCACTTTGCAAAAATATTTAGCTTCAAGAAACCACTTTCTTGCCGTTATTTCTTGCAAGTGGTTACTTATTGCAGCCAAAACACTGCATGTAAAAGTTGCAATTTATTGCATATCGCGAAAAAAATGGCACACTTTTATCTTTATGACAGATCCATCCAACAAAGTATAAGTTTCAAGTTCAAGTGTTATTTCATGTAATCGTGTAATCTATTTATTTAATTTTAGCCTTGTCGCGATTCTAAACGTCAACTTGTAATCAATCACAATGTCCAGGCAAGAAATTCGCGATAAGACGAGAACTAATTGAATTTTACATACTTGAACAAAGTTTTTTTCGCTTTTTATCTCTTTGCATGCATTTAATGAATGATGGAAACTTTAACTCTTAAAAAACAGTAAATTTCCAAATAATTTTACTTACCGACAGCCTTCAAGTATTCCCCGAAGTTGTCGCTGGAGATCATTTCGTACTTTCCGACAATAGACATTTTGAAGTATTTGAGTTTCTGAAAGAACAAAAAAAAAAACAGAAAAACTTTTAGTGCACATGTCAGAATCCAGGACTAATTCGCAAATCTATTCCCCATAATTTATTCGCATTTATTCGCAAATTTAATCCCAAATTTATTATTTATTCCCTGATTTATTTGTAATGATTTATTCGCAAATTAAATCCCTAATTTATTCCACATGATTTAATCGCAAGTGGATTCCTAAATTTATTCGCCAAGATTTAATTGCTAATTTAATCCATAATTTTTGTTCGTCAAGATTTAATCATAAATTTAATCCCTAATTTAATCCCCATAATTAAATCACACTATAAATCTAACTCCTCTCCATACATTCAGAACCACTGACTGAGTAACCTGATGGATGTTTATTTTATTACATTTTATTACTCGCCCCCATAAAAATTAACGAATTTATAAACTAACAAGTGTTAAATTACTTACTTTTTTACGACCAAAGAGAAGAATCCAGTCCGACTAATGGAGAGACAAATCAGCAAGTGAAGAGGAAGTGGGTCCACATCACAAATTTATATCATCGCCAATCCCACCATGGAAAATTGCATCTTGTGCAAATTACAATGCTTTTTGTCACACTTAAACAAAGTGACGATACATACGTTAACATTAATAAACTAACATGATCATCAGTCATCATCATCACCAAACCAAACTCCAAACCACGGATGCAATACTACATTGTGCCAAAAAGTCGGTTTAAAAAAAACACGGTACAAACTGCAAAGGTGCAAGTACAACACTACTTACTTAATTACTTATACTTTGTAATGTGTGGTTTACGCCAGTGGCCGCGGAAGCGTGGGTGGGGACAGGGGGACAATGCCCCCAGGGTTGTTCGATGTCCGCATCATCTCCCCATCTTATATAAATCCCGCCCTCCCCCCATCCTACAATGTTACCGTCCCCCGATGTCCCCACGGCTTCCGCGGTCACTGATTAGACGAGTATAGCGTGCTTTTATGCAGTGGCCGCGGAAGCGTGGGTGGGGACAGAGGGACAATGTCCCCACGGTTGTTCGATGTCCGCATCATCTCCCCATGTTATATAAACCCCTGCCTCCCTCCCCCCATCCTACAATGTTAATGTCCCCCGATGTCCCCACGGCTTCCGCGGCCCCTGATTTTGTGTAATGTGTGGTTTACGCGATTATTAGCATGACTTATTATCTTTCTACTGCTTGACTGATTCAATTGAATGAAAGTGTGTGACTGAAATTGGGATGAGATCGCATAATGGCCTTTTGTACTTGATGATTGATAATTACTGCTTATCTGTATTTGTACATACATACAATTTTTGGACCTTGAACAGGACAAAAACCGGTGGCTTGGGTTTTATGTCATTGTATTTACTTGCACATGAAGATGTAAAAAAAATAGGCAAGTCCAGTCCAGTCCAAGTGTGATATATGGTCATTAATTAGACATTACCTGGTCATTCATGTAGGAAAATTACGGAATGAGTGATTCATTCAGATCCAGCAAAACTTAAACTTTGAGACGAATCGTCATTATCACGAGATGATTTCATAATTTTCAATTGTGAATCGAATTTACGAAATTTTGAAAAACAAAATTTACGATTAAATAAAATTTACTAAAAATATATGTAAATTACAAATTCAGTAAAATATATTCTATCGAATTTACATATGATAATGAGGAATAAATAGCCATGAATACGAATTTATAACAAATTTCTGAAAAACGTAAAACCACAGCGTCGAAGAGGGAAATGTGTAAAAGGTTTATATTATAAATGCTTATAGATAATTGTTTCTGAGCAGTGAAAGTTTATATTTTTTTTACAAAAGTTACGAAATATTTAATGAAAATGAGCAATAAATAATCGCAATAAATTTACGATTTACTTATATTATGATAAATTTATGAAAAACTTATGAAAAATGTAAAACCACAGTGTCGAAAAGAGGAATCTGAAAAGTTTACGTATAAATAATTAGTAAGTAGCGTTAGCTACTTATTGTGATCGTTTTGTCCGTCCGTCTGTCCGTCCGTCTGTCCGTCCGTCAGCAGGATAACTCCAGAACGAGTCAAGATAATCAAACGCGGTTTTCGCCATTCTGCTTCTAATTTTTAGTTCTCGGCCGAGTTCGAAAGTGGGGTCAATCGGACCACCCCCCACAGCGCCGGGGGGTGTGGTCCAAAATTAAATTCAGGTTAATTTTCATATGGGGTGTCATTTTAAAGGAAATTTGACCGCGATTTCAATGACGTTAATGTTTTTGACCTCATGACCTTGTGGACAAGGTCACAGGTCAAAAAGATACTTAAGTGTCATATTGGGTGTCATTTTAAAGGAAATTTGACCCCGATTTCAAGGACGTTAATATTTTTGACCTCATGACCATAAGGACGAGGTCACAGGTCAAAAAGATACTTAATTGTCATATGGGGTGTCATTTTAAAGGAAATTTGACCCCGATTTCAAGGACGTTAATATTTTTGACCTCATGACCATAAGGACGAGGTCAGGGGTCAAAAATACACAATTGTCAGATATGATGTCATTTTTAAGGAAATTTCGATCGTTCTGACGCTACTTTTTTATATTCGTTTGTAAGGGTTTATTTTATTCAGATGCAACCACCGCTACATGGAACATTAAAATTAGCATGAATTTTACATCCAATTCATAACAGTTGTGTCATATTATAATAAGTAATTAGTCATTTTAACTATTAACTAATTTTATGTATGATTAAGCATTAAAATAATAACCCAGCCAGACTTGCACATTTTTAGCGGATTAATCACCACAGATTTTTTTGTATGACATCTTTTCTTACATATTTATTGCATGATACATAAATGTAAAATGTGCATACTGGAAGGAAATGTCCGCGTCATCGCCGCCCCCTCGTCGGAAAGCTATCTTTTGTAGTAATGTGACACGTTAATTAATGTGAAGGATAACCCATCCCAGGTTAAGATAAGCTAAATATATGAACTTGACTGGGTACGTGCATACATAGATAAGCTGTGTATGTATGGACGCAAACCATGTTCAACCCAGATTATTTTTTGACCATGTTACTCTGAAATAGAAACCCTTTAGAAACAACATTTTGCACAAATGCGAAAAATTCAGTAAGTTTTGGGAGCCACAAGTTCGCTAAAACGCTTAGTTTTCCAGCGGAATCTGTGCCTTGCCGGAGCATTTGCGCGTTTGCGCGAACTTGTGGCGCCGAAAACTTACTGATTTTTTTCGCGTCTGCGCAAATTCCGTACTAAACATTATTTCTAAAGAGTTGCTCTTCCAAACTAACATGATAAAAAATAATCCGGGTTGAACATGGTTTGCGTCCCCATTACAAAGAAAAATCTGTCACTGTCCGATTTTTGGGATTAGTTCATCTCATTCATCATAAAATTACTTATCCGTAATTCACCTTCGATTCGATTTAGATCAACGAAGCTGATCAATCATCTGATTTAAAAGGTGGATTAAATATGTCGTATTTTTTCCTGTTTAAAAATTTTGTAATTTGTCATTTTTAGGGAAATCCAAATGTAAATTTTGAAACTTTCAATATTTCCAAGATTTCCGAAAATAATTAACCATCTATGTAATTTAAAAGGTGGATTAAATTTCTTACTTTTTAAGTCAACTTTTTAATTCATTTGTTTTCATTTTTCATTCATTTTTTTCCATTTTTAATTTTTTGTGAAATCTAAACGTGAGACTACAATGACGACATGGAATTTTTTTTTATTTCTGAAGTAGTAATTAATTAAATAGGTTTGATTGCTTCGGTTTAAATTATTTTTCAAGAGTTTTAGTAAAGCTTTATAATTTCATAACTTTCAATATTTCCAAGATTTCCGTAAACAATGAATCATCTAATCTAAAATGTAGCTTAAATATGAATCGTTTTTTATATTTCCAAAAATATTGTTATTTTTAATTTTTACTGAAATGTATAGTGAAATTTTTGGAGAAGTGTGAGACTAAAATGACTAAAATGAAGATTTTAAGATTTAGGAATGAGTTAATATTAAAGTACACAGATAGTATTGAATTTCTCCAAAAAATTGTAATTATTTTTCTGTCATGAGTTTTATTTAAAACTTAAAACTCAATATTTCTCAGATTTCGAATAAATTTTTTGTGAAAAAGCATATATCAGAATAAATTAAAATTATGTAGTAGTGAAATTAAGTTATAGAGATACAAGATTCCAGAAAAAAAATTTCGCACAGTTTGCAATAACTTCGCACATTTTGCATTAATTTTGCACATTAATTTTGCACATTTCAAAATCTTCTCTTCTACGTGACTCACGTAACGTGAGAAATGGTGATACCGAAAATTGTGGTACAATTAGTAGTAAAATTACAGAGATATGTAGAAAATGTACATAAAAATTGACACATTTTGCAAAATATGTTTAATTTTGCACATTTGTCGAATCTTCTCTTGTGGAAAGTGATGATACCGAAAAATGTGATAATGTAGACAGGGTGATACGGCTAATTAATTTCCGCAGAGTAAATATGTACCCATCAGATTAGACACCAATTACATAACAATTGGTCAAATATTTATCCATTTATTTCATGTTCGACTCTCTTCTCTTCCTGGTGACAAAATGATACGAGAAGTGTGTCACACACGTACACACCCCGAAAAAAATTTGCACTGATTTATGCACATTCATTTCTTTTGCAAATAAAGTAAATTGACACGACACAAATAATTATATCCACATATTTGCAAACTTAATTTTCATGATAGAGATTTTGTTCTCTATTTTTACAATTTATAACAATTTTCCATGCTAAATTTTGTACATCTTTTAAATACCTCAGATTTGTTTATTTTCAAGAACATAAAATAGGATAAATTACAAAAACATTGCAAATTTTTAGTGGTACAAAAGTTACAAAAATTACAAAAAAGGGGAAAATTATTTTCATTCTCATTTTCCTATATTTCAAAAGCCCTTTTTACACCTAATAACTAGTGATCTCAACGGTTCTCGGTTCTCATAGAACCGAACCGGAACCGATGGCTCGGTTCGGTTCCGGTTTATACGGAGAACCGAACCGAACCGAAACTTTTATTACCGGTTCGGTTCCGGTTCCAAGTCTTAGAGAACCGAACCGAACCGGCCGGTTCGGGTTGAACCGAACTACATACATAAATACATTAGCGAAGTTGATCATATTTCCGAAAAAGTTTTACGAATTTCCCGAAATACACCTAGTTTCCAAAATTAAATTTTGACGTGGCCGTACCTCCAAAGTTCCCAAAATGAAATTTTGACATGGCCACACCCCCCAAGTTACCCAAAACGAAATTTTGACCTGGTTACAGTTACATCCACAATGTTTGCAAAACCAAATTTGGACTTGATGACACCTCCAAAGTTTCCAAAATGAAATTTTCACCCCCAAAGTTTCCTAAACGAAATTTTTACCCCCAAAAGTTTCCGAAATGAAATTTTGACGTGACTGCACCCCAAACTTTCCAAAATGAAATTTTGAATTGGTTACACCCCCCATGTTTCCAAAATGAAATTTTTACTTGGTCACACCCCAAATGTTTCCAAAATGGAATTTTGACTTGGTTGCACCCCAAACTTGGAATTGTTTTCTAACTTCAATAATACATACATAAGTGGTTTTGCTTTTGACATGTGTTAGAATTTGCTTGTTTAAATACAGATAAGTTATTGGCTTGTATGTGAAATTTCATCAGAAACACGTGAATTAGCATTGTTTGTTGTTTATTGCATATTAATAACACTACCGGTTTGACCCGAACCGCCGGTTCGATCACGGTTCTGGCCGGTTCCGGTTCGGTTCCAGTTAAAAAAGTTCGGTTCTGTTTCGGTTCTTCAATTCTGGTTCTCGGTTCCAAACCGGTTCTTCCAAGAACCGAACCGAACCGAACCGAACCGCACCGTTGAGACCACTACTAATAACGGAGATTTACTTATTTTTGTAACACCCATAACCCAAAACGGGGTACAAATTGCACAAATTTCCCAACCTTCATTCCACAATTGCAAAATTCTAAAAATTGATTTCAAATTGTATACAGCTTCAAATTATTTGCGATCACCGTCTCATTTTCATTAAACTCTTTAAAATAACTTTTTTTTGCATCTGCATAATAACTCAGATTTGTCTATTTTAGCCTATCCAGAACACGAAGTAGGACAAACATTGCAAAAATTAGCAAATTTTCATCCTACAATTATAAAAAAAAATTAAAAAAAAATGTAATCCAAATTGTATAATTATTCACGGTCACCATCTCATTTTCATTCGCATTTTCATTAAACCAATAACTTTCCTGTTTTCATTTTCAACTTACTTATTCACCTCAACTTTTTTTTCTTGTCTTAATTAACCATCTCCTCATTTTTTGCCGCATTAACCACCACGTTTTTTGCCAAATTTACCACCACATTTTTTGCAAAAATATCTAAACCACTGTCGTCGTAAGTACGTACCTACTTGTCCAATGCGAATTTAGAGATCTAGATTCAGGCCAGGCCAGGTCACACATGTCTCTCTCTAATCTGTAACAGGTCAAGTTAACATTGTGTTTTTTTTCTTCAAGTCATATTTATTTACGTATTGCGTAACTAACTATCTTGTGATAATTACTTGTGGCAAAGTTAAGCATAAAATAAAAGTTAAAAGCATGTGCTTGTGCATGTAACGCAGGGAAGCATGACTTTTAATGTATGTATGTACAAGCAGTAGCCAAAACAGAAAATTACAAGTTCAACGAGGAATGGAGGTCCCCCAGCGTATACTCTCCGATTTTGAGCAAATTTGTGTCAATCGTCCACAAATTTAATTAGGATGAAATTTGTGAAAGACACGATCTCCCAATGGGCATATTTGGCAGAGATATTTGCATCCCAAGAGGAGAAAACGCGCAGTAAATTTGGAAAGTGTAAAATTTCTTCGACTTTTGGGTGCGTTTTCGCCTCTGGGATGCAAATATCTCGGCCAAACGTGCAAATATCTCTACTACACCTTGGGAGGTTGTCACAAGTGTAATTAGTATGAAATTTGCGAAAGACACGACCTCCCAATGAGATATTTGCATCCGAAGAGGAGAAAACGCGCCTTAAAGTCGACAAATTTTACACTTTCCAAATTTACTTCGCGTTTTCTCCTCTTGGGATGCAAATATCTCTGCCAAACGTGCCCATTGGGAGATCGTGTCTTTCGCAAATTTCATACTAATTAAATTTGTCATCGATTCACACTAATTTGCTCAAAATCGGAGAGCATACGCTGGGAGACCTCCATTGTGAGCTATTCCAAATCCAGGCAAATTCCCCAAAAGCATGCATCGCAGTTAAACCAGTAAAAATGTTAAGATTTTAATAATTAACAGGCTTACAGGCTATATTTACATATAGTTTGTGGGATGAGCTTCACCATAAGTATTCATTCCTGTAGGTAAGTAAGTAACCAACTTAATAATAAATTTTGCGATAAGATCAATAGCATGCCGTGTCGTATTAAATAAAGAGCACGCCAAGTTTAATTAATTTTCTGATATGTACACCTGCCTACAAGAAGACTTTCCTACAATAATACTAATTATAAAATACTAATTATGTATCACAGGACGGTTATGTATTTATGAAAAATCGCAAAAATCTCTCAGAAATATGTATAAAGAAAAACGAATAAATATAACATTTCTGGCATTGTTTTATCAAATTATGTTTAGAAAATCTTGAAATTAAACACTCATAATTTTTTAATTTAAATTTTTCGTCTTTGCATAAAATCGCTGAAATACTGTTAATAATATGAAATATATGAATTAATTATATGAATTAAATTATATGAATTAATTTTAAATATGTACATATAAATAAAAGGCAGTAATAAAGGGTATTTGCAAATTTATCTGAATCTTAAAAAAATTATATTTTTTAATAGCTGAACGAAATACTGAATTTAGGAAAATTTTGATTGATTGAGAAATAATTTCCCTATATATTTCTTTAACAGCTGAATATTTACATGTTTTTGAAATAATTCCTGGTGGATTGGATATTTAGGAAAACTTCGAAAGACAGATCAAGGAATACTTATAGAAAATATATCGAAGTTTTATGTAGTTATCCATGCAAATACGTTACATATGTATGTAGTCGAAAATGAATAAATATCCGTACAACATACATAAATACATACATATATAACCTGCACAGATAACAATTTTAGTACAACATGAACAAAGATGTTTTTTATGCATGTCTTTAATGCATAATTTCATCGCATTTTTACCTCCAATTATTAAATCTTTATTAAGAATTCGTACATCAAATCCACACATGCACACTTTGAAACCATCTCATCCGAGCAGCTTCTGTATAATAATACACAGATTTTACTGACGTGCGATTCAGCCAGCATGACCAACTCACCACCTTCTTTACCACGAAGTGCATTTGACGAACCAATTCTTACTTATGTAACAAAGCAATACGTTAAATAAGACTCAATCCACCTGCAGTACAGTAAAACCCAAGCGATCAACGTCACCGGCTAATGGTACCATACATCGTATGCATGCAAAGTGCAAAATACATACAAATCTTGGTGCAAAGTGCACCTCCTTAAACTTGATCTCTTTCTTCTTGACGCTTGATTTTTTTTAAGTTGAGATCCTGACCACGCTGAGCTGAGGTCACTGCGGTGTGGTGGTGACCAGAATATTTGTATTTAGAACTCAGTCACCACACTTGAAAAAGCACGACTGACAAACATCGTCACTTGTGGCGTGGGGTACGTTTAAAACGCGACGAAATTCGTATGCACGCCACAGTTGGATAAAAGTGCTCCTTCTGTGACCTTCTGTGCCATTCAGCGTGATAAATAAGTTCGAATTTAATAGTTCCAAAAATTCTAAAAGTTCCAAAAATGTGGGGATTTCAGTTTTTCCTAGTTTTTCTTGTGGCAGGAGTGGTTTTTGTAACGGGACAAACGTTAGATGAAGATCTCACGTTGACACATAGTGAAAAATTGACGCTGGACAAGGTACGTAATCAAATCAGTGCGAATTTTGGGGTAGACAGACTGGATTTTTTTGCAATGAATTGACCAGTCTGAATTCTATGATATTTTTGCAAGCTTCAATTTTTACAATGATTTATTCCAGTTCAAGGAACGAGTCAGTCACAAATTACCGCACAAGTATATGCAAGAAGACATTTATTTGGTGCGATGGTTGAGAGGTGGGTGAATTAGTCATGTGGTACATAATTCGCAAAAATTAAGACTATTTTTCCCTTACAGCAAGAAAATTCAATGTGGAAGCTGCTGAACAAATGTTGATGGAGGTAAGTACGTAGCCAAATTTTTGAACGCCCACCAGATAAATAAATACCTGAATTTTTGCAGCTGCAAATTTCCAAAATTTGTCATGTGTAATTTGCCCTACCGTACACATGAATAAATAAACAAATAACCCCACTACAAATTTTCCCAAATAAACAGCTTACTAAAAATTGTATTATTCGATACACTATTTAGAACGTCGCGTGGCGTTCCAAGAATAAGATGGACTCTGTAAATGAGGAGGATTGGTCCGATTTGGAGCCCGATTTCCGCTACTCCATCGAAGGCTGTGACAACGAGGGGAGACCTGGTAAGAGATTTTTTGCAAAAAAAAAATTCCCAGCAGGACCAGCGTTTCATTTCTTGTGGATTTGCTAAATTTCTTGCACTGCAAAGCAAGCAAGGCAAGAAATGTGAGGTGCAAGAAACTGCAAAAAATTAAGAAATTGCAAGAACCAGCATTTCGTTTTTACTGGTTTGCTAAATTTCTTGCACTGCAAAGCAAGCAACGCGAGAAATGCGAGGTGCCAGAAACTGCAAAAAACTAAGAAATTGCAAGAAAGTGCGCGAAATAAGCGCCATCCAGCCACGCGCCGTATGAATTATAGCAACGGGGCATAGTTTATTGCGCCTTGCATTTATTGCAGGTCAAAATATCGGTAAAAAAACACTTTTTTGCCACTATTTCCTGCAAGTGCTTCCACTCGAAACACTCATTTCAGCAGGACAATCAAGTTCTAATTCTATATTTCCTTCTAGTCGTCTCCGTATTTCTGGGCGACTGGGACATCCGCAAGGCCATCCTGGCTGGAAAGTCGAAGCGTCTGATGCGCTACATTGACCACCTCGTCGAAGAGGTGACCAGCCTGGTTAGATCGTCGCAGGAGAGAGGGATGAACATCACGCAGTGGACGCTAATCCTGGACATGAACAATTACAACTTGGCGCAGCATGGGTGCCTCCAATGTATGAAAAATTTGCATACAGTTTTTGTGATAAATATGTATTAATTGTTCCCCCAAATTTTGCAGGTATTCCAATTCAGCTCCACTTTCTCCGCACGTTGCAACAACACTATCCCGGCGATGTGCACAAACTCCACGTGATCAATAGTAAGTGGGAGAAATGCGGATGAGAAATTTGCAAAAATGTGTAAAATTGAAGCATTTTCGTAGAAAATTGCAAATTCTGTGCATGAGAATGAAAATCTTGCATGAAAATACACGAATCAAAATTATGGCGAAAGAGCATGCAAATTTTCATGCAGATAAATACATTTATACGAGAAATGTGCAAAAATGAAAAAAAATTCAGGCATTTTTATAGGGAATTGCAAATCCTGTGCATGAAATTACGCGGAACGAAATTATGGCGAAAAAATCATGCCAATTTTTATGGGGATTCGAATTTTTACATTTTAGTGATTTCAAACTTGATATAACTTTTGCACGTGACGTATTCTTGTACTAAAAAAATTTTTTGCACACTTTTTGCACTGAAGCTCTCAAAATGCTCGCAAAACCTAAAATGCTAAAATAATGACACATATTTTTTGTGCCCCACAGCTCCACAAGTCTTCACCCCCGTGCTTCAACTGATGAAGCCCCTGTTTAGCGAAAGGGCTCGAAAAATCCTCACATTTTTCGGCCGAGACAAAGAAGAATGGCAAAACGTCCTCTTGCGCGACATCGCCAGGGACAAGCTCACCCAGAACTTTGGAGGCGATAAGGAAAGCCCCTATGAAATGGAGCATTTTAAACAGTTAGGATATTTCCAGTGTAGTAATGATATCGTATGAGAACTAAAGAGAGGTAATTAATTTCTGTGATTAAGGTTTTTATTAGTTTAATTAGTAATTAATTAATTAATTAATTGATTAAGTTAATACGTGTGATCGCTATAAAAGTACAATAATAAAAATACAAAAGAGTTATTCAACCTGTACATAAAGCAGTTTTACCCTATATTTTATATATTTCGCTTACTCGTCGCCAAAATCAACACATTTTTAATCATTTCTCCGCTCTGGGAACTTATTTTAAAATTCTGGATGACAAATTTGTAACGCAGTTCGTTCCCAACTTTTTCAAAAATATACACTCCAGATTTTAACACTTTTTGAAGGAGGAGATCTCAAGGTTAAGAAGCCTTCAGAAAAATTGGAACTCGTCGAAACTGGCTCAAAAAACTCAGCGCCATTCCATCAATCAACTCACTGACTTCAAATTTGTCGTCTAGAATTTTAAAATAAGTTCCCAGAGGGGAGAAATCATTAAAAATGTGTGGATTTTGACCATATTGATGATTATTTTACCACAATTTTATGCAATCTTCCTACCAATTTATCCATGCAAAAAAATCATGAATTTCGCAACATCTTCATCCAACCAAACCACCCCCGCAAACATAACGTAGCATCAAATTTCTGTATTGATCCTTCCTCCAATCCAGTCCAGAGAGTTCAAAAAAACCAATTTTTTTCCCTTCCATATCGATCTATTTCTCGATCAATTCACACAATAAAAACTTGATGAAGCTGATCAAACCCATAATAGCGGAGCCATTCAGCTATAGTAGAAAGCACGCCTTCAAAAGAACTCGATTAACCCGAGACTTCTTGGACATGATACACATAAATACATGGTTCCATTGGAAATAAGAGTCCTTTGTGGACAGAAACGTAAAAAAACGAGGCAAGTCAAGTCAACACGTAGACTCGTGGTCTAACCTACTTCCTTCCTTCAAAACTATTGTATGAACTATAGTAGTATCATTAATGTTTTATAGTAGTGGATTGGATATCGCTTTAGCAAACAACCAACCAACTTATGGTCAGAGGGCGGATATGTATTTATGTATTTATTTTCAATTTTTTCATTTGATGACGACCGACAGTTGAATGGTGTGGGTGTATCCCCTAATTCGCATAGAGTGCAAAAATTTCAAAATATTTTTTACATAATTGGTACATATTTCAAGGTTTTCACTTTTCAGATACATATATGTATAAATATTTCCGCTATTATTTTAAAAATTCGTAAATTTTTTACATATTTTTTTCAAAAATGCATATATATATATTTTGTAAATATTTCAATAATTCCAGACGAAATTTTGTTCCTTTAAGAAATTGGACCACAAAAAACCCAGCGTATTAAATTCAAAGCTACAAATTTTGCGAAAATTATAATTTTTATAGATTTTTTCGTACATGTTTTGTAAATATTTTGGCGTTATTTTTTTGTAAATATACACATTTTAGCGAATTTTCATAAATAAATATATATCCGCCCTCTGCTTAGTTATGAGTCTCTCTCAGCCTCAAACTAGTAGTAAAAAAGCCTGAAAGGATTACCATTACGTCTGAATATGAACGGCGTTATTAACTGCTGGTTGAGTAGCTGAGATGGAAATTTGTGCAACGTTCAACCTTCCACTCATTTTATGCGTTATGGAGCTATCTATTTGTACTTATGTACATATACGAAACGAAGGAAGAAGTTAATGTCTCTACCACTTTCGCTTTCATGACCACTTTTATTCATTAATTCTGGGCTCATACTATGCAAGCGCCAGGCGCCAAGCAGTATATGCAGTACGTTCTTTAACAGTGTCATCTTCATTATTGCTTTTGCCTTTGCCATCCTCGCCTTGTTGTTTACTTACAATTTTTATCTTTCAGTCGTCCCGTCACATCACATGTGCTTTGTGCGAATCTCTGTGCGAATGTGGAGAAGATGTAAATCTTTACGCAATTTTCTACCATCGTTCTACAAATATTTGCCAATCTTACAGAAACAAAAGTTAAAGTTAGCAAATACTCGAGCTTGTTAATATCTCGTAAAGTTTTGTGGAGTTACTAAATATTAAATACGAATTATTTGGTTATTGTATGCACTCAATTTTTGCAAAGCGTGCAAAATTGAAAACTTTGGGATACAAAGTTACATCGCAAATATGTGGAATTATTAAACACAAATTATTTCGGCTAAAGCGTGCAAAAAATTATTCGGTTATTGTAAACCCTCCATTTTTCTCAAAGCGTACAAAATTGAAAACTTGGAAATATGTACAAATATTCGAGCTTGTTAATAACTCGTTACGTTTTGTGAAGTTATTAAACGCAAATTATTTCGACAAAAGCGTGCAAAATTGAAAACTTGGAGAGGAAGAAGGACAAAGAAGAAAAAAGGTAACTATTTTCCGCTTTGTTAAATATGTATTATTATCACGGGATGCATATTAATGACAGCAGGTAAATAATTCCAGCAAGTGATTCAGTCAGGAAGTCGTTTTAATTTTAATATATGTAACAACGACCCTGCCTATCTAACAAATCCAAACCTAACAAATGCATCGGCATCAACTAATTGTCGATTCATGCAGGAAGCTGAATGAATTGGTTTTGCGTTTGCGTTTGCCTACGTGCAAAGAAGATCAAGAGGTTGCATTGCTTGTTTAATAAGACGCCGTCGTAGTCATTGTGACCTTGTCATTTGGCATTTTTCTTATATGAACGTATATATCTTCATACGTACACGTGTTAAACCATCCATTATCCAATTATTTTATTGATATTAATTTCTACGTGTGTGTATGTACATAGCTTCAGTGGCCGCGGAAGCGTTGGTGTGGACAGAGGGAAAATGTCCCCACCATCTGCCCATCTTAGATAAACCCCGCCCTCCCCCCATCCTGCAATGTCAACGTCCCCACATGTCCCCACGGCTTCCGCGGCCACTGGTACACTACACACGCTAGGCAAACAGTTAGTAAAGGACCCCTTATCAAAGAAAGAAACACTGTAAAATTAAATGATACTTATTTATGACCATGTCGTAAAAAATTATGGCTTTGATTTGACACTACGCGCACGCAACCAGACATCGTTTATCTTGTTTCGTAAAAATGTATGTATGTATTTGTTACAAGTTTAGTTTAGTTGAAGAAGAACGCACATGAAGAGTATCAGTAAAAATCTGGAATTTTCCACTCTTTACGAGACCCCAAAGGTTTGTGAGTTACGAACTTTTACATAATTTTTAGACATATTTTGCAATATTGCAAATATTAAAGTAATACAGACCAGACATGTGCCATTTTCTTGTGTAGTATTTAAAAGTGCAGAATATTAGCAAGTTTAGTCAAGTCTAATAATACGTGTCTTACACGAGGAGTACAAAATAACGAATTTTTCCACGCTTTTTAAGACGCCAAAGGTTTGTAAATTTCGAATTTTACATGCTTTTCGGAAATATTTTGGGAAATATTTTCAGACATATTTCGCAATATACAGTAGTATGTAGTATGTATTTAGCAAATATTAAAATAAAACGGAAAGTGAGCAGACTGATAGAATTCACATCTATCAAAGTCTACCCACTTTCTGTATTCATAATTTTGAATTGCCTTTTTCTAAAACATCCAATTTTCGTCGTCTTAATCTAACTAATGACACATTTTATTAATTAATACCGTACGTACATAATTAATTAATCATACCAACAATTAAGTAAGCACAAATTTAACTAACCCCAACTTTTCGCAAATTTTGTACAATTAAGCAATCATGCAAATAATTAAGTACTCCCAAACTTAAGTAATCCCGACCTCTTGCAAATTTCTAACTAGATAATGATGCATTAAATTAATAATTAATCCCGTAAATAATTAGTTAACCACGCAAACAATTAAAGATTAACATTAATTAATCCCGCCCTCTCCCAAATTTCATACCTTTTCATAATTTCCTGAATTTTATTCACAATCATCTCACTCATAAATAGTACAAAATACTTGTAAATTTTAAACTAATGATGCATTGAATTAATTGATAACGAAAATAATTAGCAGGTAATCACACAAATAATTAAGTAATCCTAGCGTCTCACAAATTTCATACCATTTCATAATTTCCCGCATTTTATTCACATTTATCTCACTCATAGTCATAAATAGTACAAAATATTCAAAATTCCCCCCCTTACTCGGCCGCGGTCCCTCTCGCCGACCCCCCAAACGCGCCCCCGATCATCCTATGAATCCCCGTCAATTCATGGATAGCCTTACAAAAAAGCGCGTCCACTTCTTGCACCCTGTCCTTTCCCGCCATATTTTCCTCCAGCGCGGCGCTCAATTCGCGGTTGGCCTTGTCCAGCAAAACTTTATAATGATCTTCCAGCTGTTTCTTGGTATAATCAAAGGTCATCGGATCACCTTGACCTTGATTGACCTCGCCTGACCTCACAATTTTCTCAAGACGAGCCTTCTCCCCCAGCAGCGCGGCGTGTTTGTGGTCCAAATTATTATTATTTTGGGTCAAATAAACATTCCTCAAGAGGTCACATTCTCCCTGAAGGTCAAAGTTGATTCGCTTCTTCTCTTCAATTTTCCCGCCCAGCTGCGCCAGCGCTTTGGCCAGGGAGGCATTCTGACACCGGAGGGAATCCAGTTGAATCTCCCAAGCGTGATATTTCGTCACCGTGTCCGCCAGAGATTTCGTGAGGGACATGTTTTCCTCGGAAAGGCGAGCTATTTCTACAGCGGGAAAGGTGGAAAACGGTCAGTTTGGCGAAAAAATTTCGCGATGAAATAATCCCATTTGGCGAAAAAAATACATTTCTTTCCGTAGTTAAAAATGTATCTTTTCTCGAAATAAGGTCACATTTGGCAAAAAAAGTTGGAAAATAGTGCTTCAAGACGATCTCTGTATTCTAATTTTAAGTAATTTGCATGAATAAGCGCAAAATTTATGTTTCGCCAAATGCAATTTTTCAGACTTTTCGCCAAATGTGACATTAATTTGGCCATTTCCCGATATTTTTTAGCACATTGGCAAAAATAGATTTTCGCCAATTTCACTTTCGCCAAACTGACCGTGACTCGAATCATCGTCCATCTGTAACGGTGGCGGTAGCGGTGGCGGGAGCGGTGGTGGGGCAATCCGCAACATCATCCCCACGTTATCGTGGGCCTTCCTCGGCGGTAAAATGACCTCGATCGGCTCCGTCTTCAGTCCTAGGCGTCCAAACAATTCGCGGAAGTCGGGGTCCATATTATTTCGCGGTGGTTGTAGCGTCGTCGCTTTATTTAGTCCCCCACTACCCCCACTCACCGCGACTTTCGCCTTTCTCACGCAATCCGCAAAGTCCTCGAGTTGCTGTTCGGATTTGAACCCGATGCCGAAAACGACCCCGGTCGCGAGATCGGTCCAGTGCCCGAAGCGCTGCGAGGTCTTGTGGAAGTCGAGTTCTTTGACGATGGTGGAGTTGACGATGACGTTTTTGCAGGTGGGGTCGACCGAAATGAGGCGATACAGACCGCGCGTCGCGTCGAACATGATGGACGTCGGGACGGCGAGGGGGTGGACGGGGAGCCATTGTTTGGACGGTGGTGACGGTGACGACTGTGACGAGTAGGTGAAGAGTTGGGCGTGTGAGAGGTAGATCGGCTGGATTTGGGTCTCCATTTCTTCTACAAGATAAGGTTGGACTTATCGATAAAATCGTCAAAATCTTCACATTTCTCCCCTCTGGGAACTTATTTTAAAATTCTGGACGACAAATTTGTAGTGGGTGAGTTGATTGATGGAATGGCGTCGAGTTTTTTGAGGGAGTTTTTAGACGAGGTCCAATTTTTCGGAAGGTTTCTTAAGCTTGATATCTCCTCCGGAAAGAAGTGGAAAAATTTGGAGGGTATATTTTTGAAAAAAGTTGGGAACGACTACAGCTCTGCAAATTTGTCGGGCAGAATTTTAAGATAAGTTCCCAGAGAGGAGAAATGACTAGAAATGTGTGGAGATTTTGACGATTTTGTCGATAAGTCGTCCAGTCCCACATTAAATAATTACATGCTCGGCAGTAATGATAAAATAAGCGAGGGTAAAATGATGGGAAATTTATTTGGAATAATAACAAGTAAACAAACAATTATTTAGTGAGGGGTTACTTTTCCATGGATTTTGAGACGCTGGTGTAAAATCTTCCGTGGTTACTTCCGGTCACTTTTATTTACGTGAGTTCAACCGTGTTGGTTTGGGCGTATTTTTTTCCGCATTTAATTAGAAAATTGATGAAAAAATTTATAAAATATTGGTCATAATTTTTTCCTCAGTTTGCAAATATTCTCATATTTGCAAATATGAAAATTTCCGTAGTATGCAAATCCAATTATGCAATCTTACTTTGCGTCAGTCAGGTAGATAGTTTATTAAATGTTGTGAATATATTTAGTGGATATTTTTTTGACTTATTCTTGGAAAAAAAATATTTATCAAGATTTTCACTTTGATGAAAAACTTTTAAACTTTGAAATTTGAAACTGTTAAAATTATCGATGGGAATTGGGGACCTAATTATTTATTAAAATGCCCAAATATAAAATAAATCATTTTTCGGTGTCAAAATCCTCCAAAAAAATTCGAAAATATAAGTTTTTGAGTGGTAAAAATGTATATAGTCATTGTTAAAAAAAGAAAGTCAATTCTGCCTCAAACTTCGGTCTCTCTCTTTTTCTCCCCTTTTATTCCATTATTACGTTCTCCTCTTCTGTGATGAATAGACCATTATTCGATCAAGTTCGACAAACTTGTCCCACAACTTCATACCGAATCTCATCATTTCCCCGTTTCTCGTTCAATAAATACATATATAATTTTGCCTGCATTCAGAATATGCAAATGTCGACAAGCGCATGTATTATGTATGTATATGTATCATAGGGAAGCCCATCATTTCCCAATTTCAGGAAACTTTTGCCTGCGTTCAGAATATGGAAATTGTGCGTACGTGCCACTGAATAAATAAATAGAAACATCCCAGCCAGGTTTCCGAACCACTAACTTAATCAACCCATCCACCCACCTCCTAACAATCAATTAATTAATTGTCTGCCTGCCAGCAAATACTAATGGATGCACAATTTAATTATTTCGTATCTTTCCTCTCCCATGTCCCAACCAAACCACCAAAAACTTATCTACACTCTTAGAAATACAGTTATTAAAATAATACCAAAGCGGTATTCATGTATGAATATGACTCTACCAACGTGGTATTGATAAGTAACACTGTGTAGTAATAGCTCCGTACTAAAGTTTTACCTTATTGGTAGCAAAAATTTTTAATACCAAGCGGTATTCAATTCATGCATTGATAAGTAATACCGCGTGTCATGTAGTAATAGCTTGGTATTTTAGTTTTATCTTATCGGTAATAAATTTTAATGGACGAGTATGGATAATTTTAATACCAAAGAGGTAGATCTTTAATACCGAGAAATTAATACCTGAATGATTTTTAACAATGAATGTACCTTTTTTCTCAAATGGATAATTTTAATACCAAGCGGTAGTACCTTTAATAAAATACCGAGAAATTAATGAATTCACCATATTTCTGACAGTGTATGTATATACCTTGTATTTCAGACCTCGTCAACTCAACCAAGAAATCCTTTGAACTTGAGGCATCATCACCATCTCATCGCCCCGAGAAAGAAAGAAAGAAAGCGAGAAATAATTACCTTTCCCCCGACCAAATCCCCCACGGTTCGTACTTCGTGTGCCTCCAACTTGACTTTATCAGTCAGTCGGTCTACAACGTGAGGCGAGTTGCGTTGCGTCCTGGCTGGATTTGGTGGTGGTGGTGAGAGTGAAAGTGTGAGAGTGAAAGCAAACTGGAAGAAATCAATACTCTCCCTGCTTTCTCTCTACATCGTCATTTATATAAATCCCATCAACTCAACTACTATTCAACTACTCCATCGAATCGACTCTACGTACGTACATAAGATATTTTATGCAGTCGGCTGCACACCACCGTCGCCGTCAAACGTGCTCCACTTTCTCCGTCTCGTCTACTTTCTCTTCTCCAGTTTTAAAGTAGGCTTTCTCTTCTCGTGTCGTGTGTGGAGTGAAATTCCCAGTTTTTTGTTACTCCAGCAGGATTTCTGAATATTGAAAACATTGGATTTCTGAATATCGAAAATATTGACAGAAAAGAAGCAGTCCAGTTTTAAACTAGTTTTCGTTCGTGGAGTGAAATTCTCAGTTTTTTTCTTATTTTACTCAAGTACTTGAACTAAGTTGAAGGATTTCTGAATATCGAACAAAATATTGACACAAGTGAAAACCAGGGCGTGCTGATATTTATTTAATAAAAAAGTGTTTTTCTGGAAATTCATATTTGTTTCCGGAATGAACAAATAAAAGGGAAATACATAGCTCTCTCTCTGGCAGGATCTTCTATTTCGACACAAATAGGAGCGAAATCTGTACCGATTTCGATTTGAAGGAATTGTGGTCTGGTTTTGGTTTCCCTTGTTGACTCAGAACTCAAGAGTTTCTTCTTGGTAATGATGATTGGAGTGGTTGTGCTTCCTCCTCGTTCGTAGCAAATTTAGTGCAATTTTAGCCAGAAGAGGAGAAAGTATATGGACCTTCGCAGATCACCTAAAACAGAATCTCATTCATCTTCAAGCAGCTTAAAACTAAGCAGGAAAATTACTCAAAGAGCCAATTTTCACACAACCAAAGTGATCAACAGTTGTGTTGTTTTTGTTAATAATCCTCGTAAGTAGGTTTCTTGGAAGAACAAGACCAAGAACAAGAACACGGAAACTTTTGGGACAAAAGAACACAAACTTAGGAGGGGAGCTTGCGAGGTTGATAATAACAGATCCTGATGCCCTTTGGATATGTGATAGGGTCCCATGAGTGTACTAAAACCCTGAAGTGGTTTGACTCCATGGCCACATTTGCGCCCGCCACACCCACTCAAAAATGTCCAAAAAACGCTTTCACCCCAGTTTTCACTCACTCAAATCCACGCCAAAAATCCAATTTTACTCGGATTTTGAAATTTCTTTCATCATTACACTCCCAGATAGTTGCATTTTTGAGTGGGTGTGGCGGGCGCAAATGTGGCCATGGAGTCAAACCACTTCAGGGTTTTAGTACACTCATGGGACCCTATCACATATCCAAAGGGCATCAGGATCTGTTATTATCAACCTCGCAAGCTCCCCTCCTTAGTTCAGTAGAAAGAAAGTGAAACTTGTCAGAAACTGAGTTTCTTTCTTCTCAAATTCCTCAATTTTGTTTTTGCTCTCGCAAAAAAGTAATCACTGTTCTACTCAAGGACTTTAAGATAGAAAACTTTACCATAATTTCTGAACAAAAAAGTGTGAATAAAATTTCCATAAATTTTTTTTTAAAAAGTGTCAAATTTACGTACATAAAAAATCATACATAATTCCACCTCAGTATTTTACGTGTTCCCCCGAAAAGTGGAAATAATTACATAGATAAAACTTTAAAGTGTGTCTAACGTTTCAGTAAAACTAAAAATAAACACGTGTCAAATTTACATAAAACAGATAAAATCATAATTTGGGACTACAGGCAATTTATATTTTAAGTGAACTGAACGGAAATAGATAATTTTTGGGGAGATAAATTTCCATAAATTTTCGAAAAGTGTTTCTCTTCTTGGGTGTGGCTGAACAGGATGCGGAAACCGTCGTCATTAACGTGGAGATCATCCTCCTCCCAGAAGTTAACTTTGTTCCTGGTGGGAATAGCGGTGGTGACCATGTTGTCCGTGCCAATCGGGGTGAACGGTACGTCAATCTAGTCCATTTAACAAGATAAATGTTTATTTACTCGGCAAACGCACGTTTCCGTGCTGTGCTGCCTGCGGGAGGGGTGATTATTCAATTCCTTGTCCCAACGACCGACTTGTCCTATGTTATGTATTACATGAAAAAGTATGTCGATCCATGTCATGGCATGTCTTCTTTTGGGAAAACTAATTACAATCCAATTAGTCCTCCGCAAACAAACAAAACGTCAAAATTCATTATGTCGTTGCTGGCTTCTTCTTCGCAAATTGCGGACTGGCACGCGACATACTTTTTCGGGAGATATATTTTTTTGGCATACATTTTTACGGAGAGGGTTTCGGGTGTAAGTAATGATTTGCAAGAAATAAGGGAAAGAAAGTGACTATATCTATATCTTGTTCCATGGAAAGTGATTTCTTGCAGTGGTTTATTTTGACCTGCAAGAAATACAGTGCAAAAAACAAGTTCCCGCCGCTGTAAATAGTTCATACGGCGCGTGGCTAGGTGGCGCTTATATTTCGTGCACCTTTTTGCAGTTTCTTGCACCTCGAATTTCTTGCGTTTCTTGATTTGCATTGCAAAAAAATTTTACAAAACTTATAACTTGCACGAAATTACATCAACAAAGTGTTTTTTGCAGCTATTTTGACCTGCGTGCAAGAAATGCAAGGTGCAATAAACTACGCCCCGCCGCTATTAATACTTAATACAGCGCGTGGCTAGATGGCGCATATTTCTCCCAGTTTCTTGCACCTCGCATTTTCTGCATTGCTTGATTTACAGCCCAAGAAATGCAACAAACCCGCAAGCAACGAAATACTGTTTTATAGTTTAGTTGTCTATTTGCATAATTTTTTGCACTGTCTGCAGGTCTGCAATGCTACGAGTGCCTTTCCCTGTACTGCAATTCGCTTGCGGTGTGCGAATCTGTAAAGAGAACGATGCTCTCCGTGTTCGTGCCGAAGGGTCACATCATCCATTTCAATCCCTTGGACCCCTGTCCGGAGGGGGAGGACCCGGCAAATTCCACAAAATGGGAAGAAATCAGCCGAGAATGCCAAAGGTTTTAAAATTTGAGAATTGTTATTATTTATGTATGAAAATCTCAGAAATGACAGATTTATATGCATGAAAAAATATGGAAATTCTATTTTCGAGGAATTTATTATCACAATTTTTAATTTCTTAATTGGGAATGTTTGTTGAAGAGTATTTTTGTGAGGTGTTGACGCCGTTAGAAGAAATAACAAAATATTGACAAAATTTGGATCATTTAGGTCATTGGTTCTTACTGCGTAAAATTTTCATATTTTTTTCAAGGATATATTGGCCAATCTGCGTTTCTAAAATTTTCCTATTTCATGATTTGGATCAAAATTTCCATTTGTTTGAAATCACGTTTGACCTTCTTCCAAACATTTTTCACGTCGTCTTCAGAAATTTACACCCAAATCAATAGACATGGAAAGTTACGGAAATTTTAAACTCGTAGAATTGATTGCTAACTGCCTAATTACATATTTTTAAACTTGAAAAATTACAACTTTACATTTGCAAGAAATCATGTCATTTTCTTTGCATAATTTAGTTTTACTTTTTCAATTTTAATTTCAATTACCAATTTACCAGGACCGTTACATTATAAAATAGTGGGATATATATTTTTCAAAAACTGCAAAAAACATTTTGCAAATTTTGCTCTAAATTTTTTCAAAAACCAATCTTCTCCTTCTTTCCCCACAGGTCCGACTCGGTCTGTATCGTCAATAATTGTACATATTTTTTTTTTCAAAAAATACTAAATATTAAAAAAATATATATTAAAATTTTGCTCCAGACCAACCAATAAGGCCAGACGTTTTAATTAGAATTTTTATCATGAATTTATGAAAATCCCAGAAATGACAGATATTTATGTATATTTATGAGAAAATACGACAATCTTATTTTCATCACAATTTTCAAAATTAAAAAAAAAATGTAGGGGAAATTACCAGCAAGTTCCAGAAAAAAATTATCAAAAACTGAAATTTTTTTCGAAAATTAATACAAATCAATCTCCTCCCCCTAGATCCGACTCGGTCTGTATCGTCTCCCCGATCGAGATAATCTCCATCATCGACGGGTCCAAAAACGGTAAAAAACTTGAATCCGAAACTTCTCTGACGACCACGGGCTACGTTCGGGGGTGCGCCTCGAGAAGAAAATTGCAAGAAAATGACCCCACCATCCGCGTCCATGTCAACCTCTTGTCGTCCTCGGGAAGTAAAAATAAGAATCGCTCGGCGTCGGCGTCAACGCCATCGTCGTCGTCATCCTCGTCATCGTCGTACGGCCAACCTTCTCAAGACCTCGAGATGGAGGAGGACTTATCAAAACTCAGCTTTAATGATGGTTATCAAATTAAGCGGGTCCATTCGCATGAATTTTTTATCGATCAGGGGACAGCAAATGCGACCAAGTGTTTTGAAGATAAGTGTAACACGAAGGTGAGGGCGAGATCGGGGTCGTCGCCAAGATTGCGACTTAGTTTTGGCGTCAGTGTCCTCCTTCTTATCAGTGGTGCGACGTTAAGTAGTAAATTATTGTTTGATCTGTAGCTGTAATGCAATACAAGTAATTAATTTAAGAAGTTAATTAATACAGTAATTAAGTATTTAAGAGGAAAAGTTATCCATGATAAGCAACAACTTCAAGAACAACCTATTCTGTAAGTGAACCATGAACCGCCGTATGTAATACGTTTAATTAAGTAAATTATTTAATTAATTACTGAAATGGTTAAATATTTAGACGCTAGTACATAAGTTATCAATACTTACAGATAAGCAACTACATACTTATCGTCTTCGTGAACCTGTTAAGTTTAGGGATGAAGAGACACTAATAAGTTATCAATATTTACAGATAAGCAATTATTCATGCAACTATGTGTTAAGTTATGTATGTGTATTAACTATGAACCCGTGATGATGATGTTTAGACGCTTAGTTATCCATATTTACAGTCTTACAGATAAGTAAGTACTACTTATCATCCTCGTTAAACTTAAGCTACATACGCATACATAATAACTACCTATGAACCCATGACTATGTATGATAAGCAGCAAAGTATTTTAAAATATTGTGCATTTTTTCGGAAATTTATGTATTCTAATTTCTGCTCAATCCTACGTCCTACCTTTTACGTGTACAGACATACATATTCGAATAAGTACGACTTGCTAGTTTCCCTTACTGCGAAAAATTCCTGAGAAAAAGTCAGACGGAATCGGACACCTTTCTTTTTTGGAGGTGTTCCAACAACCCGGACCAAGTTACCCGGGTGAACCAGGATGGAGCGTATGTCTTATGATGACATTTATTTGACTCTGTCAACCCGGAATTTCTGACATAATCAATTGTTCCAAATTAGATAAATGTCACATTTATTCGCCACGTGTTTCAGGCCAACTGCACGAAAATATGTTACGCAATGGGAGAAGATGAACCCATCTACCTAAAGAAGTACAGACATTTAATTTACGAGTGGGTGGGAGACAGTGGTGCTGTGGAACATTAAAGACAGTGGCCGCGGAAGCTGTGGGGACATGTGGGGACGTTAACATTGGACGGGTTTATATAAGATGGGGAGATGATGCGGACATCAGATAATCGTAGGGACATTGTCCCTCTGTCCAAACCCACGCTTCCGCGGCCACTGCATTAAAGCAAGTTATACTTGTGTAAGTAATCAGTGGCTGCGGAAGCCGTGGGGACATCGGGGTACATTGTCATTTGTAGGATAATGGAGGGATGGGTTTATATAAGATGGGCAGATGATGGGGACATCGAACAACCGTGGGGACATTGTCCCTCTGTCCCACACACGCTTCCGCGGCCACTGATTAAAGATACGTATATATAAAAAAGTGAGTAAGTAGTCCATTGTCCAGGAATCATAAAAAGAGAGAACCGAAAAGAAATAATAAAGACATATAAAATGCTTTGGGATCACTCTGGACGGATGGATTTATGATGTGTGCATTTAATTTTATTTGGGGCGTCGTTGACCCCTCGTCATTCGTATGTCCATACATAAAACACTTTATGACAAATAAAACCACCAAAGAATGTGACATCTGGGTGGATTTCATGATGGTTTTATTGACCACTATTTTTCATGGGAAATACACAGCTGGCTTTCGATAAGTTTTCATGAGGAGAATAACTTCGAAGGAACCTACCACAAAGGCAAAAATATTGAGGACATAAAGTCATCTTGTCCTGCTCAATCTTAAGTTGACCTTTGACCTTCATAACATATTTAGCTTTTCCATCTGGATTTCATGCCTATTTTATGACCACTAAATATTTTTCATAGAAATTTGGCCTTTGGCAAGTTCCATGAACCACTAATTTCCAAGGAACTTACGGTAAACAAAGGCAAAAATATTGAATATTAAAGTCATCTTGACCTGCTCAATCTTAAACTGACCTTTGACCTTCATATCATTTCCATCTGAATTTCATGACTATTTTGTGACCACTATTTTTCATGGAAAGTTGGCAAATTTTATGAATCTTCGACACTCAACGGCAAAAATATTGACTACATAAGTCATCTTGACCTGCTCAATCTCATCCAAGAAATTTGACCTCTGACCTTTCACAACATATTTCACTTTTCTCCATCCTATCTATCAATATGGCCCAAAAAGCGTCTAAACCTGAAGAGGAGAAAGAAGTACAAAATAAATTCGCACATTTAATTTGCACATGCAAAATTTAGCCCCATGTATTTTACTTTAGACGCCAGGCGCATTTTCTCGCCTCTTGGCCTTCGTCACGGAACCGAGCGATACAGAACTGCAGAACACCGAGCTGCAAAAATATCGCGAACAAGTCCTTGAAACACAGGAACTCGAAAAGATGAAGAAAGAGCGGAGAAAATCGCGCCGTAATAATATTTCAAATTTCAAAAAATCCCGCCCAAAAAATAACAATCCTCCCATTATATTTCTTCAGGTGAAAAAGTGAAGCATCGCCAGCAAGAAAAACTTGCAGAATTAACGGAGAAAAAACATCCTGCAGTTCATCCCATGTAAATAAATGCCAGAAATCTATCCCATTTTCTCATACCTGTTCACTTTCTTTCATTCGACTGATTATCATGATGAATGATGGTGAATGAAAATGAATTTCCTGTTTGAGTGAATTTGACCGAAGGATTCTGAATGAATTAGCGTGAATGATAGGATTTTTCACCAAATGCTTAACACATGAGGCAAAGTAGGAAATGAAGTCCGATGAAGTGAAATGAAATGAACTTGAACAAAAATTACTGAATATGAATGAAAATCTTCACTCAGAAATTGGGATGACTGACTTTTGAATGAAAACTAAATTTTTGAACAGGTATCCATTTTCTTGGAAATTTTGAAAAAAAAATTATTTAATTTTCAGTGACGCCGGGAAAGCACGGTCTCGCACGCAACTCTACCAATTCGACGCCACGGGAGCGTTCTACTCTTTGGAAGAAGATGACTCCAACAGTTCGTCGCCGTCGTCGTCAAAGTCGTCCATGACGAAAATGAGGGCGAGCGTGGGGTCCGCCAAGACTGCCGGGACGGGGTCGGATAGTCGCTCCTTGCATCAGAATTTTCTGGGACATTCGGTATCCTCACATTTTTACGCATAAAAATGCTGACTAAATCAGAGGTTAACGCCGGTCTATTAGGGAGATTTTGGAAATTTTGGAAGGCAATTTCGATCTGAAATTTAGCAATGTGGAACAAAAAAGGGTTTTGAGAGTTTTGGAAATTTTGATTACAAATTTAACAAACAGGGATTTTAAGAGTTTTGGAAATTTAGGGTGAAAATTTAGTTAAAATGGTGCTCTAAAACAAAATTGTGACAGGATTTTTGAAATTTTTGAAATTTTGGTTGGCGATTCAACTAGAATTTTAATCTAGAACAAAATTATGGGAAAGGTTTTGGAAATTTTGGAAATTTTAAGAGGAAATTTAACCGGAATTATGGGAAAAAAGGTCCGGGGTCGAATAAAATATGGGTGTTCAGCGGTGTTGACCTCTGTCCTCAAGCTTCCGCCGCCACTGATTTCACAAATATGTATGCAAATATGTCCCCTTTTAATCAGGTCGGACCCAGCCATTTCGCCGCTCAAGACACAGAGCAAGACCTCCTCAAAAAGTACAAGGAGAAGAGAAAACGCCGAATTTCGCAGTTGTACACGGGCGAGCTGATGTACCACCACGACCTCTCCTACGTCTGGGACCATTTGACCGACCACTCCAAATTTTACGATAAGCTCGACGAAATGACCCGAATGAAATACCCGATTACTCCAGAAATTCAGGAGAAACTGGACAAAATTCAGAAACGTATGGAAAAAGAGAAAGAGAAGAAACAGAGGATTAAAGACGGTCGGGGTAACGTCGTGATGCGCAGATTTCGAAAGGTGACGATAAATTTAACTAATTTGACAAAAATTTTGGGGTAAAATTGATATTTTTTGCAGATTGGGAAACGTCTTTTGCACATGTTTCAAAATACACATCTTGGCTACGTGTTCAAAGTGACGCCACGGTAGGTAGAAAAAATTTCCAAAAATCCTTCTCATAATTTTTTCGCGTTATAATTCGAGATAAATTTCCACTCAAAATTTCAGAAATTCCTAAAATCTTGTTACAACTTTGTTTACAACATAATTCCTCCACTAAAAATTTCCAAAACCCTGTCACAATTTTGTATCAGAATATATTCCAGCAAAGAAGGGTATCTGTTATGGTGATCGTTTTGGGCTAAATTTCGATGAGTTTTGAATTATTTTGATAAGAAATTAAGGCGATTTTTTGGGCTAATATATCTAATCAAAATTCGGTTGGTTGTCAGTGGTTTTTGATTAGTAAATGGCGCTCAATGATTCTTACCCCGATTTAAGGCTTGGGGAACCGTTTTGCCAGTCTGTCTGTTCGTATGTCTGTTCATTTTCAACTTTGTCAAATGAACCCCGATTTACTTCAAACTTGGCGCGTTGGCAAATTATACTATCAAACAATTATTCAGCATGTCTACTATAACTCCAAGGGTCCTATTTGAGTCACTTCCAACCCATGAATGTAACTAATGTTTTTTTTTCTTGTCGGGCTGTGGTTTATAAACATTGGAAATGTTATGCAAAATTGTAGCAACGCGCAACATGGTTACCATTTTATTAATACCTGTGGTAATTTTGCATGGTTTCCATTTCATTCCATGTTTTTTGATACATTTGAATTAATTTCTCGAAACCTAGAAATGTACCATCTTCAATTTTTTGATGAAAAATCACCAATAGTATGACCATCAACATATGCAAATATTTGCAAAATCGTTCGTGGTCTTCATATTTTTATCTGCGCTTTTGTTTTTGGCCTATCTAACTACGTGTTAAACATAGCCCAGGGGAATATTTCTTTCTCCACTTGTGGGCATGTACCATTCCTGAAATTTTCAGGAATGGTAGTTTGATAGTTGTTTGATATCATATAAAAAAATCAGAAAAATCGTTCATGGGCTTCATCGTTTTATAATTCATCGAAATTTAGCCCAATACGATCGTCTCAATAGATACCAAGCTTTCCACCCAAAACCTCCCAAAATCGTGTTACAACTTTTTTCACACAATTCCAGCTAAATTTCCAAACATAAAATTTCCAAAACTCCCAAATTCTTCACAATTTTGTTCCTCATTACAATTCTAGCCAAAATCTCCACCCAAAATTTCCAAAACTCTCACAATCTCAATTTTGTTCCAATAGTTCCAATCAAAATTTCCAAATTTCCTTCAAACTCACCCTTCACACAAATTTTGCTTCCATTTCCAGCTACTACCAAATGATCCCCGTCGTCCCGATTCACTGTCGGCGATGTCGAAACTTGTTGAAGGACACGTTGGAGGTGCATTGGACCCCGATCGGGATCGCTTTTGCGGTCCTCTTCCCACTCCTCGGCGTTCTCTGCTGTCTTTCCTACCGGGAATTCGTGTGCGTCGTGTGCCAAGAAATTTACATGTATGGCGACTACCCCTCCCGCTGCAGGCCCCTCGATAAGTCGCATCTTATCACAGAAACGAACGTCAAGTTTAAGAGACGCTCCTTCAAGAGGGCGTCCATGTAAATTTAGGACCGATTTTTGCATATTATTTTGCAATCAGAAATCTTTTAGAAAGTTTTTTAGTATGGATTTTTTCAAATAAAAAATATATTATTCATCTTCAGAAATATTTCATCTTCAGAATTAGTACATTTTATTACAGCCGGAAATCTCAAGTTTTTTCAATTAAAAATAATTGATTTTCAGAATTATATACATAAGTTTCTGAATTTATTTACATAACTATTTATTCAAATAATTCTGAACTTGCATGTCTCTCGAGCAGAATATGACGGGATTCGTATTAAATTCCCGTTTTTAGAAAAAAATACATTTCATTATTTACAACCGGAAATATCAACAAGTTTCGTTTTCAAGCGTTCTTTTTTAATTAAAAAGTAATTCATCCTCGGAAATATTCATTTTCAGAAATCCTCCATTTTCAAAACTATCATTCTGTGGCGTATATTCGCTCGCCGTATTCACATTTACCTCGTCGTCAAATAATTCTACGTGTCTCTCGACCAGAATTGTTGTCGGCATGGCGGGATGACCTCGTTCCGACGGTATGGCGCAGCTCAACAAGTAAATTCCCCCCGTGGTTAGGATAATGTAACAAAGGTCATGGGGTAACCCGAGGCAGCGTAGAAGGACTTTTGAAACCTACAATATTAACGTAGGAATTGAAGACTCATCATAAAAATCCACACATTTTTAGTCATTTCTCCGCTCTGGGAACATATTTTAAAATTCTGGGCAAAAAATTTCTAGTCAGTGAGTTGATTGATCGAATGACGCTGAGTTTTTGAGCCAGTTTCGATGAGGTCCAATTTTTCTGAAGGCTTCTTAAACTTGAGATCTCCTCCTTCAAAAAGTGTCAAAATCTGGAGTGTATATCTTTAAGAAATTGACAGAGACCTGAGACACAAATTTTCGTCAAGAAATTTGAAATAAATTCACACAGAAGTAATTACGATGTGCTGAGAAACGATAAGGCGAGGTATCAACATTGTAGAGCAGGTCGTTCCCAATGTTTTTAGAAATATACACTTCAAATTTTGACCCTTTTTGGCTGAGGAGATCTCAAGTTTAAGAAGCCTTCAGAAATATTGGAACTCATCAAAACTGGCTCAAAAAACTCGACGCCATTCCATTAATCAACTCACTGACGGCAAATTTGTCGTCCAGAATTTTAAAATAAATTCCCAGAGCGGAGAAATGATTTAAAAGGTGTGGATTTTGACGATTTTTGACAACGAGTCCAGGTTAATTAAGTGAAGATATCGACGTGGTGGTAGTGTTTAATAAGTACGTTAATAAATCTACCTTATCGGCAAGTTCAATGATTTGAGAGATGGCCACCGTCAAGAGGAAGATGATTAAGACGACGTGTGCAAGTCCCACGTGGTGAAGCTTTTTTGCAGGCGTTTCATCCGCTTTCACCAACACGAGATGAGTCGACATTTCTTAACGGGGGAAAGTTGGGACGAGAGATGCGAAGTTATGTGTGTATTTTCAGAATTATTTGAGAATTTCGAAATTTCAGAAATCATAAAACCTATCGGATGTATAATAATTCAAATATCCATACATAACGTTCAAGTATCTGAAAACCACTAAAATAATGTTTTCTTCTCAAAATTATTTCAAGTGGTGGAAAAATCATACAAATTATTTATGTGCTTTCCGAGTTGTCATGCAATAAAATTCCTTAAAAATACGTCTTATGACAATACGTATTTTCAGAATTTTTTGAATTTCTGAATTTCAAAATTTCAGAACTGTTGTTACTTAACCGGTAAATACATTTGACAACTACTCAAAATATCCAGTTTTCTTCTTAACATAATCTCAATTGGTGTCAAAATCATGCAAATTATTTGTCACGTTTCGAGTTGTGAGATGCAATATAATTCCTCAAAAGTTTCTTTAAAATTTTGTAAATAAAAAGTAGTATCATGTATTTTCGGAATTTAAAAATTTCCGAATTGGTTGAAATGCAGATCTGGCAATCTATTAATCATAATCATTTATCTTCTCAATAATCTCAAATGGTGTCAAAATCGCGCAAATTTTTTTCAAATTTACGTTTTATATTGGCATGAAATATGTACAATTTCGTCAATATTGTTTCCAAACTTGGCCAATTTTGTGTTGCCTATTTTCAAAATTATGTAAAAAATTCAAAATTTCCGAACTCATAGGCCAGTAAACAGAAGATATCTGGCAATCACCCGTAACCAGGTTTTTCTCCTCAATAATTGCGAATGGTGTCAAAATCAGGCAAAATTTGGCATGCAATACAATTCCTCAAAATTGTCTCTGAATTTGCTTTCTTCAGAATTATAGGAATTTCAGAATGATAGGAATTTCAGAATTTTAGAATTTCAGAATTTCAGAATTTCAGAATTTCCAGAAGAAGCTTCAACCAATCCATCTGATAATCACTCAGAATCTCATTTTCTCCTCAATAATCTCAAATGGTGTCAAAATCACGTCAATTTTCGAGCTCTCATGCAATCCAGTTTTCTCCCAAATTGTCTCCAAACTTGGGTCAATATTGTGCTTCACATTTTCAGAAATATTGTAATTTAAAAATTTCCGAATTCACAAGGGGTTACACCGGACCTATCTGACAACACTAAACTGCCAGTTCGCTTTTCAGAATAATCTCAAACGGTGTCAAAATCAAGGAGAGTTTCGAGTTTGAGATAATTTTTGGTAAAAATTGTCTCCAAACTTGCGCTGCCCAAGTTGTATTACGTATTTTTTAAATTATATGAATTTCAAAATTTCAGAAATTTCAGAATGAAAGAATTTTCAGAATTATAGGATTTTAGTGTCAAAATCTCTAAATTCATAATCCGTAACAGAGTATTCATCCGACAATCGGTTAATCATCAGTTTTCTTCTAAAAATAATCTTAACGCTGTCAAAATCATTTAAATTTCGAATCATCAAGCAATACAATTTTCGTCATTATTTTCAAAATTTGCACCAATGTTTTTTTAGTATGTACTTTCAGAATTATTGGAGTTTTAAAATTTCCGAATTGAACTCTATGCGACAGTGGACTCATCTGACGACCTAGTGTTGCCGGTGAGGTGAGTTGAGGTGAGGTGAGTTTTCTGAACAACTCACCTCACCTCATATTTAAGTGAGGTGAGTTGGGCTTGTGAACAACTCACCTCACCTCACCTCATCCTCACATTAAGTGAGGTGAGGTGAGGTGAGTTTGGGTGATCTCAACCCACCCTAACCCGTATGCTCCCTACACACGCTTCAACTCGTGAGTTGCCTCACAACTCACCTCACCTCACCTCACCACAATCTGAGCTAACTCACTTACAAGTGAGGTGAGTTATCCTCAACTCACTTCGTCCTCACCTCACAACTCATGTGAGTTGAGGTGAGTTATCCTCACCTCACCGGTAACACTATGACGACCACTCAATTACCAGTTTTCTTCTCAAAACAATCTTTAATGGTGTCAAAATCACTCAAATATTTATCGCATTTTAATATGTCGTGGCATGCAATATAATTTTTAAAAAACGGTCTGCAAATGTTGTATTATGTATTTTCAGAATTATTGGAATTTCAGAGTATCAAAATTTCCGAATTTTGAAGACCTAACATTCTTATTCATCTGATAAGCACTCAGTTTCTTCGCAATAATCTCAAACCGTGTCAGAGGTTTCGAGTTTGCAATACAATTTTCGTCAAAATTGCTTCCAAACTTGTGCCAATGTTGCCTCATGTATTTTCAAAATTTTCAGAATTTCAAAATTTCAGAATTTCAACCCAGCCCAGCATCACACTCACAGTTAAAATCCTATTTTTCCACAATAATCTCATATAGCGTCCAAATCACAAATTTTCAATTTGTCATGAAACAATACTCTCCTTAATATTTGTTTCCAAACTTGTGCTATATATTTTCAGAATTAATGGAATTTCAGAATTTCAAAATTTCCGAATTCACAAGACCCTTATGACAAATTCTCAACAATCACTTCCCAATAATCTCAAATGGTGTCAAAATCATGCAAATTATTTGTCATTTTTCGAGTTATGAGATGCAATACTGTCTCATTTGCCCGGACTCTGAAATCGAGGATAGAGTTTTACAATAGAACTGGCCAAGGTGTACAGCTGCTCCTCCCATAATGGACGAATCCGGGATTACATTACCCGAACAGCCGAATTATTTTATTATTTCACACCACTTATTTTTATTTTGGCGTTCAAATTATTCAACTTACGAGGGAACCTCTTATAGTGCCCGGAGCTCCCAGCATAACCACCATGTACATTCGACGTAGATTTTAATACTAGTCCGATGATGTGACAAAATTTCCGTGTCAAAATGACATTTCGTCAAGTGGTGACGACTTTAGTGACGCGCCGAACGGTCACTTTCGCCCATGCTTTCAAAAGAGGAAGGCTTTTCACCACTCGCTCCTCACTCATCTCACTTAAATCTCAACCCATTTTTTCGACATAATTTCGGATACGATGGATGGATTTATAATCACGAACTTTACTATACCTACGCCTTGTCTTTTCTAATTTATTTTTTTTTGGCACGATTGTAGAAGTTAAGAATATTCACCACACTCTTAGAAATTCATACTTTATATGACGTAAAATATAACTCGATATAACTTCCAAAGTGCCACTACCCCACTTATAGCGAATCGCTCTCTCTCGACCACAAAGTAAACCGTTTTACCCTGTAACAATATTCCTACAGGGTAACTGAGCGCCCAATAGGGTAACGACCGTAACCCCGAATCGAGTGGATTATGATTTTACTTTCTTGCTTTGATGACCCCAAAAAAAGTTACTCAAGCGTACTCGCAGTATTTAGTATTTTAATAATATATTTTTCACATACAACATCACATATAAAAATGAAAACACCTTTAGTATAAGTGATCAACTATGAAAACATTAATTTATAATTAATTTACTAACTAGTTACAGCACAACATTAAGTTACAACCGAAATTACTGAAATATTCAAATTATAATTAATTCATTTAAATAAAGAATTATTAAATTCGTGGCATAATTTGTCCAATGAGTGCTTGAACAAGAGGAAGAGGGTTATCGGCCGGCTTTCCAGCAATTCCATGCTGCATGAACATCCAGTGATTATAAGATTCGATCGGTGGGGGTATATAAAGAACGGTTGTACTTTTTAGACAAGTATCCAGAGCCACCATGAAGCTTGGTCCGCATGGCACCACCGTCTTGTTGATAATTACGAAGAACTCTTCTATCTTGACGTCATAAATTGTTCCAAAACCCACAATATGAGGTGCCGGCTGCTTGCTTTCTGCTAAGATGCTTGCGACACTAGTGTTTTTCTAAAAATAACACCATCAGTAAATAAATAAATATGCAGAAATTTCATATATGGATAAGCAAAACCAGTACACTTACAGGCCGGAACAGAATAAGACTCTCCGAGCAATCCAACTGCGACGCCTTCATTGTTAGTGGTTTGTTTCGAGCCTTTTTTGTTCTCGCTATAGATTTCTTACGCTTCTTGGGCTGCGGATCATTATCACTCGAATCAGAATGGTCATCTTCCGTTCTTAATTTTCTTGAATAGAATGGAAGAATATAAGGCAGGAGACAGTAGGCAAGAATTAAAATATCATCTGAAAAATTTACAATGTGAAATAACATTATTAACGTTGACTTAGTTGACTGTGACGTCACAGGTCTAAAAATCTGCACATTTTTACTCATTTCTTGGCTCTGGGGATGTATTTTTAAATTCGATCTGGTCATTTTGTAGACCAGATCAGTACCAATTTATTAAAAATATGCACTCTAGATTTTGAAAAGTTTTGAAGGCATTCACTCTTTTGGGGTCTCTTTCTACAAAACTTTTCACAATCTAGAGTGCATATTTTTCATAAATTGGTACTGATCTGGTCTACAAACTGACCAGATCGAATTTAAAAATACATTCCCAGAGCCAAGAAATGAGTAAAAATGTGCAGATTTTTAGACCTGTGACGTCACAGTCACCTAAGTCAACGTTAAGGCAATTCATGAATTCCTGATACGACAATATTATGTTTAATGAGGCGACATTCTTACCATCTGTTAAATCATATCGTGGTTTAGACACGCCAAGTATCTTTGCAAAATTTATATCACTTTCAACTGCATACTGGAACAATAACTTTGAGGCTTTGGGCCATCTTTCATACACGATCAATGCCAAATTGGGGTGACGAATATTGAAATCCTGCACTATCTATGAATTATTAAATAAATAAATAAATTATTAGAAATTTTTGATCATAACAATGTAAATAAACAAATACACCTTTTATCATTACGATATAATATAAATAAAGTAGGGCCTTTATATACTTACATTTCCTTCTGTGTCAAAAAGTCGTGGCATCAATCCAGGGCTTTTATTAGATCCTTCCTTCCGTTCCAAAATATTTTCTACCCAAGACAAGCGACGGATAATTGTTCGCCGCTGGAACACGGTATTTTTCATGATTGACTTTGTATCCTCCCCAGAATTATGCTTAAGGTATTCGAGCACCTTTTCATCCGGTTCAGGATCGTCTAACATAACGCGAAACATTTCATTTCATACACATACATTTCATATGTAATTGAAACCAAGTTAATGTAAATTCATCAAACGGGTTGCCATACCTTCATCATTATCAGAGTCCCAATTCACAACATATTGAGCAGATTCATCATCAAAGCTGTTGATAACTTTCTTCTTTGCTAGTCGCTTGCGTTGATTTTTAAGACGCTCTTCCAAGAAACCGGAAGCGGCGCTGGCATGGATTGAATGATTAAACCACATCCTCCATCCTTTTCCCCCTTTCATAGGATCCCCAAATGAAGGATAAGTATTAACAAGGTTTTTAGCAAGTTGTTCCATCGCTAGTTTACTTGGGCTGTAATTAACAAATTCATTGTTACGAACAATTTTGGCACGAAAACAATCTTTCCATACCATGTTCCTAAATTTTCGATGAGGGCTTCCACCAGCACGTTCGCGACTGCTTGACGGTCTGCTTTAAGAATCATCGCTCCGCATGAAATTTTTCTTTCAATAATCGAAGAAACAATATTGTCGGATTTTAGGACGGATTCCAAGTTCTGTAGCAAATACATATAATTTTAGCCAATGCACAGGCAGATAAATTATAATCTTATTCATAAAATTCGACTAACTTACAAATCCATAAATCGGTTTGGTTTGAGGGCGCGGCACAGAATCCTCTGGGGTGGTAGAGAGTTGCTCTTCGACCTAAATGTACAATATTAATACAGAATAATATTTTGTTTTTAATAAACACCAAATTTAAAAGTTGTAACTTGTTAATGTGAACTTGCAATAGATAGACGATTGAAGGTTCCGTCCGCCTGTTGAAGAGCGAGGGTTCGTCCTAATGTTTCAGAGGGTGGATCGATCATAACATAGTTCTCAGATTGAGTAGCAAGCGAAATATCTTCGCCCGTAGGGTTGTGATTTTTGGGAATGGTCTTAAAATTAATCAGAATTAAGCAATTAATTAAATCAATTTAATTCGAAGCAAAAATAAAATACAATTTATTTCACCTCAAGTGTCGCTGGGCTACGCGGTGTTAGTTGCGATTCTGCAACTGGTGCTGGTGGACTGCCAATTTCTTTCAACAATGCTGAATTCCTTAGAGTACTAACTGGGTTGCGGCATGGTGTTACTTGTTTCTGATTTTTCAGCAGAGATGGATTAATATTTAGTCCACGATCTTTCATTTCACGCTCCGACAACATCGAAAAACTGAATTCGGAATCTGATCTTTCTTCTCTCTGCTTAATTATTTATAGAATATGGTACAATGAAACATAATTCTTGTAAATATAAAAATGATTACATAATCCGGAAAATAGAAAATATGTTAGACAGATTTTAATGGGAATACAATATAATTCTTTGGGTCGTTATTTGCAAACGATTTTGAGGAGTAAACTGGTTGATAATAATTTATATCGTTTAAATTTACAATTTGTCTTGTTTTTGTTTGGATTAATTTAAAACATGAGTAATGTTGAACAAACTCCGACTCAAAGATTTCAACTAAAAAATTACAGTCCTCGTTTTCCAATATTATAATTTCAACACAACCAAATACAGGGAATTGTGAACATTGCTCAATTAATAAAAAACAACCCTGCCTAAACTCTGCTCCATTAAATTTAACTTTTGTCGTCACATCAATTACTGCGTTTTGTATAATACCTAACTTTTCCCGTATAAATTCACAATGCTCCAGGTCCTCAACATTTGCACTTTCACTTTTAAGAAATTCGAACCGATTTGGACAATAATTATCGCTCTCAATTAAATTGAAACATCTTGCTAACTGAAACCTGTAAGCTAATGACTTGGGATATTCTTAAAATTGCAAATTACATGAGCAGCTGTTTTAAAAAATTTGTGCCTTGCCTCGAAAGTCATGGCCCAAAAATTTCCCAAAGGCCCTATAGCTTGAATTGCGGAGGCATAATGTGTTAAATGATGGTGCTTGGGTTTTAATTTACGACCAAAAACTATTTGATATTGGGAAAGGAATTCGGAAATTAAAGAATTTAAATACTCTCTCCCACCTTCAGATATTTCATGCGACAATAATATATTTAAAATTTCGATGAATGAAAGATAAAATTCCCAAACCTTATCTAAATAAGGAATCAAATCTCCAATAATTAACGGTAAGAACAATAAAAGACACAAGCTCTGAGATGCATTCTGCCCAGTTAGTGTCTCCCCTTTCAAATAATTAACTTAGATTTCTGAGGGCCGGCTTTTCGAATAGTACCTACCATAATTAAATGATTCAATTCGGTAGTTTAATTTTTCTAATTTGATTATTTTTCGAGAGATTAAACTATTCAACGTGCATAATAATAAATCCGGACCTACTCCCTCCAAAATGTCGTGCATTATGTCAAATACAAAATTATTCGTTGCATGAAAATAGGGCAGTTGATTTAAAACTGTTGCAAAATTAATTCCTGTGAGACTGAAGTTATTCATGTTAACATCAATATTATAATTTTGAATATTCCGAATTCTGATGGAATCTTCTCCAGTTGCCACCTGACACTCAGTCCTATGCAGTTTACATTTACGACATGGAAAATTCGCCGTGAAACCCTCAGAAAACCCTAAAATAGAGTGCAACCCTAAATTGTCGCCACAAATTTGAGCCAGAGCTACTTTTAACTCAATTTCCTCGCCATTGTGGGTGATTTGAATGCCTTTTGTCCATAGCTCTATAAACTCATCCACAATTATTTGCATTACTGAATTAGATGTGCAAAGTTTCATATCCTCACTTTTTAAACATGCCAATAAAATGGTATTTTCTAAAGAAGATAACATTTGCGTTGGCATGTCTAGAATTGTAAAATAAAAATTTGCCAGCTTATGTTTGCCTTTTTTGGAACCAAAAGGATTCGCAACTTCCGCGTCGTCAAAGTAAATTGAAATAAAGATCACATCCCGTAAATTTGAGCCTAAACCATCACAATACTGACCGTTTCTAAAATCTGAATACCTTTCGCCATTGTATCTCTTTCTGTTTTGCAAGGTTGAATAAAACCCTGGTTTGTCTAAAAGTTGAGTAACTGAACTCCTTAGCGAAACATATTGCATGGTAATCGGTCTATACCGTTGCCTCCGTGTCCCGTCTTTAGAACGAAAAAATTCTAAGTCAGTGTCCAGAACGATTTCCTTTGGACCAATCATCATTCCATTTTCTAAGAAATATTTATCTAACTTGTGTTTGCTATTTAGATTATCAAATACTTTCAAGTAGGAATCTAATTGATTAAGTTTCCTCAATTTGCAATCTTTTTCCATGCTGCTCTGAATGATTTTAGTTGCAAAACTCTTACAATTTAATACGACATTCGTAATAATTTCTTTAAAAGTTTTCATGATTTGATTGCTTGTACTCATGGGAACTTTTCCTGATTTTAGTAAACTAGCAAACAATTTTAAAATCTGTTCATCCACATTCACTACTTCTATTTTCTCCTCAAGATTTGGTGAAGTTGACAATCTTTCCCCTGCCGCATTGTCATTTTCAACAAAATTTGTTGCTACTATTTGTAATTGAGGAGATATTTTCCAATAAATTTCTGTGAATTTTGTAAATATTACGAAAGTGATTCAAGTATGACTTTCTCTGGTACAAACCACTACAGTGAGGACATTTATAAACACTGGACCCTGTTAACTTATGATAATTTTTTAAATGTTCTGACAACTCTACTAAAGTCTTAAAATTAGTATTGCACTTAAAACAAAGATATACCAGCCCATTTCTCAAATTCTGCACAGCATTCCAAAGCCGAGCTAAATGTCCAACTACAGGAACAAGCGACGATAATTCTTCTTTGGAAATTATTAACAGAGTCTCGTCCGTAATATCGTTGTCTGTTTAAAATAAATCAAATAAAATTTAAGCTCAATTAGAAATTAAATTTGTGTACAAATTATTCAAATTCATCAAACAAATAATAATGTAAATTCTTACCCTTAAAAGCATCCCAGTAGCATTCCAATCCACATTGTTGCAATAATCTCCTCGTTTCCTCCATTATTGGCTTAGAAGTTAACTTTGCAATTAATTAATTATCAATTTAACTAACCAGCACTGCCACTGCTGAACTGGGAGTTCTTGTGAGAGAGAGGGAAAAATCAATTTGAGCGCGGCTGACTTGGCCAGGAATACCCCAAATGGGATTTGCTCACTCTAAATGATGTAATAGCTTACTTTGTGGTTTAGAAAATAGTGGTTTTACTTCAAATTTGGTAACCTTTGTCATGACTTCAAATCAAGTTGGCAATTTTACTTAGAATCAAGTGACGTTTACTTTAAACCGCATAAAGTTTCTTTTTACTTCATGAAAAGATGTGGCAATTTTTATGAGTGCAGGTAAAATTTACACCGTCGACATCTTCTTCCTCCCATTCCTGTGAGGTTCGTTGCGACAGACTTGCAGAAGCTTCCTCGACGTCTTGCTCATCTTCAGAATCCTCATGAAATTCATTTATTGTATCACTATCACTAATTAAATCGTATGCCTCGACATAAGTGTCAATATCACAATCATAATCAAATTCTAAAGTAATAGAAGATTCAAAGTCCGTATTTGAACTATCAACTAAATTTTCCACAAAACGCAAAACCCGGTCAACAATTTCAACATTGTTAACTAGAATTGATGAAGCGTTCGAATCTCCCGAATACCTGTCCTTGGCGATTTTAAGAACATACTCACAAATTGATACAATTATAGACATTCTATAATTTTTAAACTCAACGACTATTTCAAGGTAAAAAATTATATTAAAAGGCTTCAAATAGTAAACAAGGATCATATTGTCAAAACATTTAAATTGGATTTAAATCTCAACCCATTTACTCAATGAGTAAATGGGTTGAGATTTAAGTGAGATGAGTGAGGAGCGAGTGGTGAAAAGCGTTCCTCTTTTGAAAGCATGGGCGAAAGTGACCGTTCGGCGCGTCACTAAAGTCGTCACCAGTTGAGGAAATGTCATTTTGACACGGAAATTTTGTCACATCATCGGACTAGTATTAAAATCTACGTCGAATGTACATGGTGGTTATGCTGGGAGCTCCGGGCACTATAAGAGGTTCCCTCGTAAGTTGAATAATTTGAACGCCAAAATAAAAATAAGTGGTGTGAAATAATAAAGTAATTCGGCTGTTCGGGTAATGTAATTCTGGATCCATTCATTATGGGAGGAGCAGCTGTACACCTTGGCCAGTTCCCTTGTAAAACTCTATCCTCGATTTCAGAGTCCGGGCAAATGAGACAGTATAGATAATTCCTCAAAAGTGTCTTTAAAATTGTGCCAATGTGCTAAAAAGCAGTATAATGTACTTTTAGAATTACAGGAATTTCAGAATTTCCGTGACATTTTGATCTTGCAATCTTTCAACCCTAATCATTTATCTTCTCAATAATCTCAAATGGTGTCAAAATTACACAAATTCGTATATTTAGGTTGTCAATTGTCCTGAAATATGTACAATCTCCTCAATATTGTTTCCAAACTTGGGCCAATTTTGTATTGCGTATTTTGAAAATTGTATACATTTTCATAAATTTCCGAATTCATACACTATTACCCCAAACACATCAAGCAATTAACCAGTTTTCTTTTCAAAATAATCTCAAACGGTGTCAAAATCAAGAAAATGTTTCGAGCAGTCATGCAACACAATTTTCGTCATTTTTTTCTCCAAATTTGCGACAATGTTGTAATAAACTTGAACTTTCAAAATTATAAGAATTTTAAAATTCAAAATTATATAAAAAAAATCCAAAATTTCCGAACCCATAAGCAGCTATCCGGATATCTGGCAATCACCCGTAACCAGGTTTTTCTCGTCAATAATTGCGAATGGTGTCAAAATCAGGCAAAATTTGGCATGCAATACAATTCCTTAAAATTGTCTCTGAATTGACTATCTTCAGAATTATAGAAATTTCATAATTTCATAATTTCATAACTTCATAATTTCATAATTTCTACAGATCCCAATATACATCTGATAATCGTTTAAAATCTCATTTTCTCCACAATAATCTCAAATGGTGTCAAAACCACGTCAATTTTCGAGCTGTAATGCAATCCAATTTTCTCCCAAATTATCTCCAAACTTGGGTCAATGTTGTGCTACAGATTTTCAGAATTCACAAGAGGTTACACCGGACCTATCTGACAACCACTAAACTGCCAGTTCTCTTTTCAAAATAATCTCAAACGGTGTCAAAATCAAGGAAAGTTTCGAGTTTGCAATAGATTTTTTTTGTAAAAATTGTCTCCAAACTTGCACTAATGTTGTGTTAACTATTTGAAGAATTATACTAATTTCAGAACTTCAGAATTTCAAAACTACCGAATTCATAAAACGCAACACTTATCAATCTGATAACCACTCAGTGATAACCAGTTTCTTCTCAATAATCTGAAACAGTGTCAAAATCTTTTCCAAAATCTCGTAAAATCTCGTAGAGTTCGCAATACATTTTTCGTCAAAATTGTCCCCAAACTTGCGCCGCCAAAGTTGTATTACGTATTTTAATATTATGGGAATTTCAAAATTTCAGAATTTCAGAATTTTCAGAATTTCCGAATTATAGGATTTTAGAATTTCAAAATTTCCTAATTCATGCGCCTATACTAATATGCTACACCCATCTGGCAACCATTAAATCACCCATTTCTTTTCTCAAAATAATCTCAAACGGTGTCAAAATCACGCAAACTTTCGAGTTTGTGATACATTTTTCCTCAAAACTGTCTCCAAACTTGCGCCAATGTTGTCTCATGTATTTTCAGAATTGTAGGAATTTCAGAATTTCAGAATTCCAAAATTTGAGAACTCTTATTAGTAAGTACATCTGGCAACTAACTACTCAATTACCAGTTTTCCTCTCAAAATAATCTCAAATGGTGTCAAATTCACCAAAAATTATTATGCAATACAATTCCTTAAAAAAAATATGCTTCCAAACTTGGGCCAATGTTGTATTTGGTATTTTCAGAAATGGAGGACTTTCAAAATTTCCGAATTCATAAATACTTACAAGGAACGGACCAATCTGATAACATTCAAAATCACATTTTTCTCTACAAAAATCTCAAACGCTGTCAAAATCACGCAAAGTTTCTAGTTTGCAATACAATTTTCGTCAAAATTGTCTCCAAACTTGCGCCAATGTTGTAGTACGTATTTTCAAAATTATAGGAATTTTAGAATTATAGAAATTTCAGAATTAAAACATTTTCAGAATTTCAGAATTTCAGAATTTCCGAATTCATCATTTCATTCATGTGTTCGCTCGGTCACATCTGGCAACCACTCAATTCCCATTTTTCTCAAAATAATCTCAAATGGTGTCAAAACCACGAGAAGTTTAGAGTTGTAATATATGCTATTTTCATCAAAATTGTTTTCAAACTTGCGTCAACGTCAATGTTGTCCCGTGTATTTTCAAAATTATAGGAATTTCCGAATTTCCGAATTTCCGAATTTCAGAATTTCAGAATTTCAATCCAGCCTCCCATCCCATCACATCGATCTGATACCCATTTAAAATCCTATTTTCTCCACAATAATCTCAATCGATGTCAAAATGCAACAAAAGTTTCCTCAAAATCGTGCCTCCAAACTTGCTCCGCCAATATTGTAAAAATAGCTCAACTATAAAATAGAGGGTGTTCCGGAAGTAATGCAACTTTGGTCAAATGCACATATAAACTCAACGAATGAATTTTTTAAAGCGAAATTTTGGTCAGAAAGGGACAAAGGTTAAAGCTAATTAAGTTTTGCTTCCAATGGTCCGTACACCCCTTCCGCCAAATTTGGAGACGTTTTTGTTGGGCGCTCACAATTAGTGCTTCGCCACTGTTTTTGGTCACCTTTTTTGAGATTTTTGACCACATGTGTTGAAATAAGTTCAAATTTTTGACTGAAGTTTTTCGATTACAATATTTTTTCTAGGATAGGAACTAAAATTTTTCAATAGGTCTTGTATTTGGCAAATTTGGGAACGTCCCACCTCTCCCATGTTAATTGCATTTGATCCGTTTTAAGGCGGAGCGTGATACTTTGGCTTATATTTAATTTCCAGTTTTGCATAAATGGTTTTCTTGAAGGTGGGAGAGTTGTACTATGTGCAAATAAAAGCATTTTGATAATCTGAGCAGTAAATCGTCTTGTACATGACGATCAATTTTGGTTAATTTTAATTACTTCAGGTCAAGGATTTTTTCTGCCCTCCTGCTTGCTACTTTTATTTTACTCTTGACTATATTTATAAGCTTCTAGAACCTTCTAGGATTTGATGTCCAACTTCTAAGCTTTCAAATAATGTATGGTGTTCGGTGAGAACTTCAAGTACTTCAGCGAATTTCGCTCCGACATAACAAATTTCTATCTACACGAAGTTTATTACTTTCGGGGCTGCCACACGAATGTACCGACCAGATATTTTTTGCGATTAGTCGTTTTTTGCAGCTCATACCTTAGTATAACACAACAAATCGTCACTTTTGGAATTTCTTATTTTTTAAAGTGAACACAGCTCAATTTCTTGGAGCGCGTAACCACTTTTTCGAGGTAGTGGCAGACGATGGTTGCGAGTTGCTTGGTGGTATTTGACCTCATTTTGGAACGGATAGAGATATCGACTTCTGGTTTTCAGATTCTACTAGATAAATGTGTGGACTACAATATTCACCCAATTTCGAATTTGGGGCAAATTGATACCCTTGCATATATGCATTTTACCAAAGTTGCATTACTTACGGAACACCCTCTATTCGCAATTTTCTACACAGCGAACTTTTCCCATCAACATTTTTCACCCCATTTCCACTCACATCCAATCCAATCCATCCTCGTCTACATAATTCTCTCTCCGAGAATGAGACAAAAGGAGGCAGAGGAGGAACAGAACTTTCCCCGAATTTCGGGAAATCTCTGATCATTACATTATTGATTTCCTCCTCCTCCGTCCGTCCGCCGTATCACGAGAAATTCAAGGCCACCCTAAAAACCGAAGCATGCACAATTTCTCATGCATGCACAGTGGCCGCGGAAGCTGTGGGGACATCGGGGGACATTAACATTGCAGGATAGGGGAAGGGACGGGTTTATATAAGATGGGAAGATGATGCCGACATCGAACAACCGTGGGGACATTGCCCCTCTGTCCCCATCCTTCCGCGGCGCCTGATTTTTCTGCACAATCTCAACCTACCAGAACAATACTTATATTCCATTCAAAATTGCCAATTCAAGGGCAACCTAAAAACCGAACTCTTTTCTCATGCACAATCCGAACCTACCAGAAAACAATACTTGCTTATTTCCCATTCAAAACTGCAAATAAGTTGTATTCATAAAACTAAGAATGGAGGTTTCCCAGCGTATGTTCTCCCATTTTGAGTAAATTAGTCTCAATCTGTGACAAAGATATGAAATTAGCAAACAACCTGATCTCCCAATGGGCACGTTTGGCAGAGATATTTGCATCCGAAGAGGAAAAAAAGTGGATTAAAGTTGATAAATTTTGCACTTTTCAACTTTACTGCGCGTTTTCTCCTCTTCGGATGCAAATATCTCTGCCAAACGTGCCCATTGGGAGATTGCGTCTTTCGCAAATTTCATCCTAATTAAATTCGCAATCACTTGACACTGATTTGTTCAAAACCGAAGATTCGCACACGCTGGGAGACCTTGATTTTTAGTTATTTTGATGTCGTCTCAGCTATTCCCATAAAAAATTTACAACAATTTAAAAACACTATAAAACACTACTAACCGCATTATTCATTCCTTCGAAACATTTTTTTTTGCGTCAACATGTTTATTTGTGTCTCGAATTCTCGATGACGGTATTTCAATTTTGACCTTGGCACAGTAACTCACTACACATTTTTTGTTCCTCTTTGCCTTTTAAAAACAAACGCTCCGAAATATTAATCGCTTTTTTATTTCGAAATGAAAAAAATACTGGTACGATTCCTCTCGTAAAAAAATTCAACTCGTAAATTACAATAGTAATTATTATCACGCTAAATGCGTCACTCGTTCCTTCAACCTGAACAAAGTGCTTAATAAACACTGTCCCAATCCCAATAATAAGAATAATAATTGTCCCATTATCCAGAAAAATTGTCACGAAAAAATGCCGCCACCCAACCCCAAAAAAATTCCATGTTTGCTTACTTTTACTCAAAAACTATTCTTTATTTGACCTACATACATTGTCGTAAAATCAAATATTTAAAATCGTGTCGGTCAAATTGATGAAAATATTTGTCACAAAGTTCGAGAATATTGATCTCCGTCTGGATGCAAAAGTACCTGAATTATGTACACACTCTACTTCAATATCATGTTATCAATGTATTTATTATAGGTGATGATTTCACCATATTTCACGTCTTCTTCTCACTCCACTTGATTGTGTGAATCATGTTGTTCCGAACTGATTATTGGACTTTTGTCCCTAATAACAGAAAAATATTCGCCCAAAAACTGTTACAAACAACAATCCCATCGTATTTAATAAACAGCAAGCAATAAGATAATCAACATCGCCACCACCAGACCACCACCATCACTGTATTTTAACCGATACCAGTTCGCCTTGCCAGGCAGGTCAAGCGAGCGAAAAAAATATTCCAAAAAGTTTCCATTACGATTATTATCAATAATTGCAAAACAATAGTTGCCAGCTAGCAGACCAGTAAACAATGAAAAATCATTTCGACAAGCATATGACCGACCACCCATTAAAAAACATACCTGTCTGACCAGAAAGTGTTTGTACACTAATTAAACGAGCATGTGCAAATTGCATGCAAAATTAAATAGTTAATCTCACTTAATCCGTGTTAATGGAGGGATTAAGCCTGCCAATAAAAATGCCATGCAAAATCATACCTGAAAAATCATATGCAAAAAAACATACCTGTCTGACGCTAATTAAAAAAGCATGAGCAAATTGCATGCAAAATATAAATACATAAATACATTACAAAACTCACTTAATCCCTGGATTAAGGCTTCCCAATAAAAATGTCATTCCTCCCAAAATTAGCAACTTATTTAGTCTATCGTCCATTCACTTCTGTCCTAAACCCAAACAATTAGGTACCTACACACATTTTATTATGTAGTACAAATTCAATATTGTTTTTCTCAAAGAGTAGAAATCTCTGCATGAAAATGTGTGCATAAAAAAATTGTGTTGTGGAAAAGAGTTGCAGGCAATTTCCATTGCAAGAATCACGGCAAGAACGCGTGTCTCGTTTCATTCAGCATCAAAACAAGTTCACTGGTTCTTCTCCCCACAAAAAATAAGCCTTGCTGGTTGTTGACAATAATTTGCTATTGGTGAGAAGAGAGGACGCGATATATGGTGTCCATCGTACCGTATAAATGATATGATGCAGTTCATTCCGCTTTGTTTTGTCAAACTTTATGTATACAGAGAGACAATCTTGCATAGGAAAATAACGCTGGATCTTCTTCTCTTTTGTAAAAACATGTTTTCATCAAAATTGAAATTTGTTTCGAGGGGATTTGACCAAAAAATGGAGAAATGATTGATAAGAAATAAATTCCTGAAAGTTTTTACATCTTCTCACGAAGCTTGTCGCACCACGAGACTTTAATAAAATGCCAGATCTATTTATCATGCCTAAGGTGACATATTTGATGCATTTTGTGTATGCACACAATGTCAATTTAGTCACATATTTCATGTATTTTATTATATTGTATGCACACGGTGTCAATTTAACGATTAGTAATAAATAAAAATGCGGATGAGTAAAGAAATCATTTAAAAACATGTACGGCTCCATTCATGTCATCTCCGAATCATCCAGACTAACCAGACTAACAAAATCATACACATCTTGCCCTGTTTGACCAATAAACACTAAATAAACAACAAAATAAAATAACGAGGAATTATTGTTTTTCGTAAATAATGCCCTTTAACCAATCCTGTTATTAGCATAACCTTCCGTTATTAAATGAGCAAAAAAAAGCAATGGAAAATTATCACTATTGTGATTATACGTCTGCCCAGTAATAAACTCGCTGTTACTGACGCAGCTCTTAATAACAGCCTCTTAATACCATTACACACACACATTATTCCCGTCTCGTTGAGGTGGATTGGATTGGATTGGCTTTTGGTATAAAAAGGAGACAGCTCACCATGCCAAACTCAACAGTCTCATTCTAACCGAATCCGAGCTACTACTACATTCAACTTCCTCCTCCTTTAAACAAGCAACTCAAACATTCTCGCAATTTTTTTTGCAAAAACACAAACATTTTCGAACAATAATATTCCATTTTTTTTAACGACACTTTTTGAAAAAATCTAAACAGCAACAAAATGGTTCTCATCAAAGTTAACAGTTCCAAGGTCACTTATGGAGAAGACATCATCCGGTCGGAGTACTCCTATGAGTCCTCCCAAGTCCAGGAAGGGCCGGACGGCTCGTTTACCGTGAGTTTTCAAAATTTTAAGGCATAATTTTGACCATTTTTTTTTACTTTGGAATTTGTTCAAGTTTGCCGTCATATTTGGAATTTTGGGAAATTTCATAATTTCAAGTTGCACACAGATCCACACTTGAAACAGATTGAGTACTAACTTAAAAATAGGGCATGATTGTTTTTACGAGTTATTTTTCTCATTTTCGAAATTTCGAAATTTCTTTTTCCTACTAATGTCAGTCACACACGTCCAAATTCAAATCGATACTTGTAACTTGTAGTTTGCTTACGTAAAGAGCGTGGTGGCAGGTTTTGCCCGGGTGGGAGCTTACGTGGGTATCGAACCAGCCCGAACCGCACCCGGAAAACCCGTCGTTTTTCTTCTCCAGGTTCTCATCTCGCAAAAAATACGACACAGAATTTCATACCATGTACGGTAATAATCTTTCCAAAATGCAAATGAGGTAGAAAAATGCAGTACAAAAATTTAGCAATTTGACACCAATGCAAACTCATACGTAACTTGAGACCATCTTCTCACACAGAATTTTTACAAGTTACATAACATCACGCCACCCCGAATACTTTTTCATGCATGGCGTGATATTTTATTGTGCACGTAGACTTATTTACATATGTAATTGGAAGATTAGTTATATTATATTGCCTGTCGGATTATCAAATTATGCACACAATTCATCATTCGACGTGCTGGATTATCCAGTTTTTTACGCTGATCTATCTGCACACAATTCATCATTCGACACCTGTCTGTTCATTCACATCCACTTAAAAAATTTATTAACGAGTCGTGGTCGTGTCGTTAGGTACAAATTCATATGTATGTACATAATTTGTGCGTATAATTCGTGGTTAAATAAATCCGCAATTACATAATTCTGGCTGATCCATTCAACCATGACATTCAACTTTTTTTTATTAAATACAATGTGTTAACCCACGTCAGACGAAAGGAGTAAGGATTTAAATGCACATGACCGTCACTCTGTGAGTCAGAGATAACTAGACAAAGTTCAGACATGGGTTTTTTGGTTGTAATCAAATTGTCAATACACGACTTACTCGTTCAGTTCTAATAAAAGTGAGATAACACGAACTTGGCTGCAGCTACATATTTACTGATTTCTCATACACATCCTCACTCAACAGATTAATTTAATACATAAATATGCATATGAGATGAGATGACTCATGTCTGCAAACACGTGATAATTTTTATATTGAATGAAGTTAATAAAAAATATGCATTCTTTTTGTTCCCATAGGTGACCCCTTACAATGTGGAAATGAAGGTCAAAACTGGAGCCAAAGTTCCCAAAACTGGGCTCATGTTTGTCGGCTGGGGTGGCAATAATGGGACCACTTTCACCGGTGAGATGCAGAAAATTTTATAATTTTTCGGGCTGAATTTTGTACCAAAATTCTAATAGCTTAACTAATTTGAACCCCACAGGAATGTGTCTCGCCAATAAGAACAAGTTATCCTGGGAGTCGAAGCGTGGCCACCATACGGCCGACTTCCTCGGCTCGGTCTCGCAAATCGGGACCTTTCCCCTCGGTCTTAATGCCGCTGGGGAGGAAGTCTTCGTCCCCGTGAGGCACTTGGTAAGAAGAATTGAAATTTCTGGATTTTACACACTTTTTGGAGAAATAAGAATTATCTAATTACACAATTTTTTGACCAATAAGAATTACAGTTTCTGCACAATTTTGCACAATTTTCTTTTACAAACTACCATTTCAGTAATTGTACAATTGTGCACACGTTTTTGAGAAATAGAATAACAATTTCTGCCAAATATTGCACAATTCTTTTATAAATAAGAGTTTCAATTTCTGCCAAATTCTCTACACTTACTTAATTAAAAGAGAATTACAATTTCTGCACAATTTTGCACACTATTTTGACAAATAACAATTTAAATTTCTGACAAATTTTGCACACTATTTTGCCAAATAATGGTTACAGTTTTCTCCCAAATTTTGCACACTTTACACCCAACTAATTTGCATTCTTTTTACTAATGCACAGCTCCCCCTTTTGGACCCCACCTCCATGGAAATCGACGGCTGGGACATTTCCTCCATGAACTTGGCGGACGGTATGAAACGCGCCGGCGTGTTCGAGTGGTCCCTTCAAGAACAACTTCGCCCCATGATGGCCTCCCTCGTTCCGCGAAAGGCCGTCTTTTTCCAAGACTTTGTCGCCGCCAATCAAGCCGATCGCGTCGACAATGTCATTCCGGGGACAAAATGGGAACAATTGGAACAACTTCGTCGTGACATTCGCGACTTTAAGGCGAAGAAAAGCCTGGAAAAGGTCATCATCATGTGGGTCGGGAACACGGAACGGTTCGCCGAACTCGCCAAGGGACTTAATGACACGTGGGCCAATTTGGAAATGGCAATTAAAGCGGGAGCACATGAAATCTCGCCGTCCACGTTGTACGCAGTAGCGGGCATTTTGGAAAATGTAAGGAAATATTTTAGATTTCAAAATTTTCAAAATTAGCACAGTTTTTAATAATTTTTGCCCTCTGGGAATTTATTTCAAAAGTACCTGAGTCAATATTTAGACTATTTTATTTCCAGTATTTCATAAATCGACTTCAAAATTCATCGCTAAAATCAGCTCATTTTTAATAATTTTTCTCCTCTGGGAATTTATTTTAAAATTCTGGACGACTTATTTGTAGTCGGTAGGAAGTGTGGGAATTTTAACCCCTAACAATTTATGACTTTTCTCTAGCTACCTAACTAAATATTTCTGATTTTTACAAGTTTCCGAATTCAAAATTTCTCATAATTTTTCTTCCCCTGTATCTAAACACGATGAATGGAAATTTTGTAACTCCTAGTAATTTATGGCTTTTCTCTAGCTAACTAAATATTTCTGATTTTTAAAAGTTCCCGAATGCAAAATTTTTCATAATTTATCTTCTTTCAGTGCGCCTTCATCAACGGTTCCCCGCAGAACGCCCTGGTCCCCGGCGTGCTGGAACTCGCCGCGGAGAAAAAGGTCTTCATTGCTGGCGACGACTTAAAAACGGGTCAAACCAAGTTGAAATCCGTTCTGATGGATTTCCTCGTGGGCGCCGGGCTCAAACCGGAGTCCGTCGTGTCGTACAACCATTTGGGAAATAACGATGGAAAGAACCTCTCCGCCCCACAGACATTCCGCTCAAAGGAGATTTCCAAGCGGGGCGTTATCGGTGAGTAGATGACCTCTTATCAATCTTTCGTTTCTTTCTGGTGGTTTGCAATTTTTTTTTGCAAAAAATGTGAGGTGCAAAAAACTGCAAGAAAGAGCAAGAAATACTTCTAGCCACGCTCCTTCTGAAACTGCAAAAAATTTCATGCCAATTTTGCAAAAATTCGTCAAAAAGTGCAAAAAGAGATGCAAAAATATGTACACGACATGCAAAAGTTAGATCAAGTTTAAAACGTGTACATAAGTACATCTGCATGAAAATTGGCATGATTTTTTGCAATAATTTCTCCATCCGTATAATTTCATGTAAAATTTTCATGCAATTACATGCATTTTTTGCACAGCAAAACAGGAGAAATTCGAGCGATATTCGAGCGTGCAAGGAATATGCGCAATTTTTAGTTTCTCCCGTGCATTTTTTGCAGGTCAAAATACCCGCAAAAAAACACCATTTCTTGCAATTTGTAAGTTTGTACTCGAAACTATTTGCTAATTTTCCTCTTCTTTTTCCTCCAAGATGACATGGTCCTCTCCAACAAAGAGTTATTCCAATCCGGTCTCGGCGGACCGAAACCCGACCACCTCGTCGTCATCAAGTACGTTCCCTACGTCGGTGACAGCAAACGAGCCATGGACGAGTACACCTCCGCCATCGCGATGGGTGGTCTCAACACCCTCGTGATCCACAACACGTGTGAGGATTCCCTCCTCGCCGCCCCCATCATGCTCGACTTGGTCGTTTTCATGGAACTCTTTCAACGCATGCAAATCTCTGTGCGAGATTCAGGTACAAAAAATCGAAATATGCAAAAGTAATAAGGGACGTGTCCCAGCGGATGCTCTCTGATTTTGAGGAATTGGTGCCAATATATCGCAAATTTAATTAGGATGGAATTTGCGAAAGACGCGATTTCACGTTTGGCAGAGATATTTGCATCCGCAGAGGAAAAAATTCGCCATAAAGTTGAAAAATTTTACCCTTTGCAAATTTTCTTCACGTTTTCTCCTCTTCGGATGCAAATATCTCGGCCAAACATGCCCATTGGGAGATTGTCTTATGCAAATTTCACCCTAATTAAATTTCTGATCAATTCGCACAAATTTCCTCAAAATCCGAGAGCATCCCTCCTGAAATTTCCCTTGTACAAAAAAAATCATAACTAATTTCCCCCCTTATTTTTCCCCCTCAGCCGGAATTTCCCACCACGTCGAAATGGAGATGGGTCAGCTTTTAGGCTACTGGCTCAAAGCGCCTCTCAGCACGATGACCAACTCGCTCTTCCGGCAACGCGCCGGTCTCGAGAACCTGATGCGCGCCGCGCTTTCGCTTCCCCCCTCGAACAACTTGTTCCTCGTGAAGGGCGCGCTGCAAAAGGAGGTCATGAAAAACCAGACCTCCGTCGTTACCAACAAGTCTGAAATCATTTCCACAAACAACGCTCTCAATAAGAAGATTGCTGGCCACGTGTTCGCCACGAATAACGGCGTCCCAGCCAAGAAGGAACTTTATGCGGCGTAGAAATTTAGAAAAAAAATGTAGAAATATATATTTCAAAATTTCGGGAACTTTTAAAAAAAATCAGAAATATTTAGTTAAAGAAAAGTCATAAATTTCTATATTCCCATGAATTATGTATCCATATAGTTCCTGTTTAGATTTTTTTGAAATTTAGAATGGAAATATATATTTCGAAATTCGAAGGAATTTTAAAAATAAGTATTTAGAGTCGTAGATTTCTAGGGGGTAACATTCCCATTATGAATTATGTCGACTTCCTGTTTAGATACAGCTAATTTTTTAAAAATGTTTAGGGTATATTTCAAAATTCGGGGAACTTTCAAAAATAAGCAATATATAGAGTCATAAATTTCTAGGGATTAATATTCACTTGAATAATTTTTACTTCCTGTTTATTTGACGCAGCTAATTTTTTCAAAATCAAAAAGGCCATTGTTAACGTATGAAATATTTAGATTGCCGTATAAAATTATGCACCATTTTTTTTCTTTGTTTATACATATTTACACAACTGTTGAAATAAAGTGTTTTTTTATTATGAAATTTTTAAGTGAGAATTTTACTCTAAATTTTATGCAGCCACAGAACTGAAAAACGTAATGCAACTCTCTGTACCTAAAAAAATAGACTCGAACACAATTTGTCAACCTCTTGTAATAATATTTAATGTGCGAATAAACTTGCAAATAAATAAAAGTATGATGTTTTTAAAAATTAAAATTTTGTCGTCTATGAATTTTTTAAATCAGAAATTCACTCCAAATTTTGTGAAGCACATAACAAAAATAAATAAAAAATAATTACGGACAATCAGAACTATAAAATTGCATAAGAATTTCAAAAAAAATTTCATACAAATTGCTAAAAAAATTCATACAAATTGCTATAAAAAATTGCATAAAAACTGCGTAAAAATTAGCTCATTCAATTGCAATTGTGATCCAGGTATCTATAACCCAACTTTAAAATCATTTCTCACATTGCATTTATTCTTGACGTCGAACTGATACATTTCCGAATCGAGAAATATTTAGCAACGTCAATCAAATTCCATAAATGGATTCTAAAATTGAACCAGAGGCGGATTCTGTATCCTCCTCAGAAACAAAAAATTTGCATTCTATTTTATGTACCCAGCAGAAAATCAAAATTTCATAAAAATTGCGTAACAATTGATCTTCTAACGTTGGTTAAGCAGATATATGTAACAAACAACTTTGTAACTTTAAAAAAATTGCATTCTATTTTATTTATCCAGCAGAAAATCAAAATCGCATAAGAATTAGCATTCAAATTTTAAGTCATGATCAAGCTAAGAGATCTTTAAACTAATCATTAAACCTGTTGTTTCATTTCACAGATCCATTTTTGATGTAATACATTTCCAAATCGAGAAATATTTAGCAATGTGGATCACATTAGAAATTATGCGTCCTAAATTAAACCAGATACGGATGCTGCTTCGTCTCAGAAATAAAATTGCATTGTATTTGATTTAGCAAAATCAAAATTGCATAAAAATTGTATAAAAATTACACAAATTTCATAAAAAGTGCATTGAACTTCTAACGTTGGTTAAACAGATATCTTTTTAACAACTTTATAACTTTATTTTTTACATGCACCCACATTTTTCATAAAAACTGATACATTCCCAAGGATCCGGACCCGGCTTCCTTCCAGAAATAGAATTGCATTTTGTGTTATTTGTCCAGCAGAAAATCAAAATTGCATAAAAATATCGCTCAGATTTTAACTGATGATTGGGCAAGAAATTTGGAGCATCTGTAAACCAATTTTTACACACTTTTCACATAAACATTTATTTTTGACGCCGAACTGAGACATTTCCAAATCTAGAAATATTTAGTAACGTGAGTCAATTACGAATTGAAAAAGTTTAGAAAATGGATCGTATTTGTAAATTTGATTATAATAATTTCAGAAAGTAAATAATTTCAGAAAGCTAATATATAATATACATACTACAAGATATATATATTTTACTGATCATCATAACGATAATTAATTCTAGATAAATTTAATAACATATTTAATAATGGAATCTCAAAACATGATCTAAATAACCAAATATCTACAAAATCTTCATCAAGCTACAAAATGTATTTATAAAAATATTGTGTCGCATGATTATTTTCTTCCGTCTTTTTTTCCATCTTAACATCTTTTTGATTCCAAGAACGAATTAAGTACGGCTGCAAAATTAAGTAATTATTGATAATTAATTATTAGCAAGTAGTTATTGATAAATCCATTTTTAAATCTTGGCTACGTTTATTTACAAGTTTAGTTACCTGCGTTTCTGTTCATTACAGAAATTATGCCGGTAATCTGGGTTTGCAGACGGTCCATTTCCTGTCGCATCTCTTTGCGAAAATTCTCGTTTTGAGTTTCAATGTTTTTTAGAAGTAAGGCCGTCTCAGACGAAGAAAATACTAAATTACAATAATTTTCGTGATGAATTATAATACAATTAGTTAACTAGATTTTTATACATGCAATTTAAGAAATATGTTTGGGAATCGAGGAATAACAATAGATACAAGATTTAAAAAAATAGATTTATTAGTCTGAAGACTTTTTAACCTTGCTCGGTGCTGCGAAAATTCCAAAATTTGAGAAGAAAAGATATGAAAACGAATCCATCTTCTACCATTGAGTTTTCCACAAAATACCGAATAAATATTTTTGAGAAATTTTGGTGTCGGCGTAATCGTAATTTATACAGTACACAGATTTTTACATTTGTAAATTTTTACATTTGATCTGAGCGGAAAATAAAATACTGCACAAATATGTTTACTTTGTCCTCAAGGGAGATCAAATTATTACACGAATGTGTGTCCATAAGAGGTTAATGCATGCTAAATAAATAAATTTATTTCCGACTTACATTTGGAAATGCTCTTTTCAATTAAAACATCAATCGCTTTTCGATCAACCTCCTCGGTCCAGGATCCAAAGTGGTTGTATTTATGTTATATACCTAGTTCCAGAATTTTAAGATACCACCAATTGTCTCCAAACTACTATCGTACATTTTCGCAGTCAATTTCTTAATTGTTTTTAAAATGTTTTCCTCCTCTTTACTTTCGTCACAATTTCCCATAACAAGCAAAAACACGAGAAAACAGATTATCACCCTTATTTTGTACCCTCGCGATGGATAAGTCAAAATTTTAATGATGGTTCTACCAGGTTAAAATGAATACTGAATTGTTCTTAACTTACTTGGGCGTTTCATGATATCCGGATCATTCATTAGTTTATTTAACTCGATCAATGTTCTGTCCTTCCTTCTCTCAGCTTTACCCATACTCAGAACACTGAGCAGGAACACGATAATAAAATATCTTGATTTCATTATGCCTTGTTATCAAGTAATGTACAAATCTAATTTGAATTATTTAATTTAATTTCTAATTTTATGGAAACTAAGCTTGTTTAAAGGTGATAACAGACTTCGGAATTTGGAATGGAATGAAATGAATGATTCCGGAATGAATGGATTGACCGAGTCAAATACCTGTATGGAAATGGATTATGATTCTAATAATAAAATTCCATCAAACCTTTTGCCCAGATAACGGCGACATTTTAAAACCACTAACCCAGCATTATAATGAAGTATGCATTTAGAAGAAAGGTTGAAACTCCAAAATTATCATACACTCATGCTCGTTATCGTAAGTCACCCTTTTTTACATACAAGTTCATTCTTAACGTGGAACTGATACATACATTTCCAAATGGAGAAATATTTAGCAACGTGGATCAAATTAGAAATTAGAAAGTGTAGAAAATCGATAACATAAAACTGGACCACCAGATCCGGCGTTTTCACAAAAATACAATTTGCATTCTATTTTATTTATCCAGAAGAAAATCAAAATAGCATAAAATTAGGATCCATAAATTAAATCGTGATCGAGTCACTTCATGAGATCTTTTAACCAACCTTTAAACCTGTTTTACATACACATCCATTTTTGATGTGGAACTGATACATTTCCAAATCGAAGAATATATTTCGATGAAATTGTAAATTAAAAAGGTTCGAAAATCCATCCTAATATTTATCCAGATTCGAATGTTATGTCCTACCAAGAAACAAAATTGCATAAATATATGCATATATGTTCTAATAATAATTGAGTTTTTGTTTTGAAGGCTTTAATTTAAGGATTTTTCAGTTGGTAAAATCTTTTAATGAAGTTTACAACCCCTTTTTTTATACGCATCCATTTTTACCGTCGCATTATAAATCAAGAAATATTTTAATCCAATTCGGCAAATGAATCCCAACATTCGGATTAAAATTCGGATCAGGTGCCCTCCAATCTGTTTTTTGCTATCAAATTGTCTTTACTGTCCGGACGATAAAAACAATTTTCCTTACCTATATTAGATAGTCTTTAATTTGACAACATTTAAAAACATTTTTTTTGCCCGTGACGTCGCAAAATTAATGCTACCATGTGGTTTCCAAAATTTCCATCTTACAAGCTTCACCAGCAGTAACTAATTTTAAAACCGGTTGCGGATACTTATAATGCAGCAAATCAAGAATCTGAATAACAACCTAACTAATTAAGTTTTTTACATTTTTTATTTCGATTTTGTAGCTTTACACTATTTTCTTTAACCGAAACTCGTCTAAATCCGGGTAAAACATGGCTGGAAATAATTTCTAAAATTATTTTAGACTAATATTTGTCGGCCAGTTTTGCAAATAGTTGAATTTTACAAAATGTTGAACCTTCAGTTTAATTAATAAAGATTCATACAATGATATTATGAAATTATTAAGGAAGGACACGATGATGATTTTAAGTTTTTGAGACCAGAGGAATTGAATATAGGTAAATATTTTTCGAATTTTTTTAAATATTGCTATAAAAATTGAGAATTATTTATAAATTCCAGATTACACTTTGTTTCGTCAGATTTTGAAAAGATAATCCCTACGATAATACAGTGTTTTTCTTAATGATTTAATAAAATAATTTTATAAAAAACTTTTTTGTAATTGCCAACTAGATTTTCTAATTCCTTGCAAATTAATCCTTACATAAATCATTTCAATTGTGTACATAGCTTTACACTAATTTTCTTCTCATCAAATATCGATGTAAATGATCAACTTTTTGAGACCAAGGTCAAGGAATTTGATTATAAATCTGTGTAAGTATTTTTTATAAATATTTTACTACTCTGTACTACTTTAATAAAAATTGAGCATATTATTATCAAAACTCTGATTACACTTTGCTTTGTCAGATTTTAAAATGATTGGACATTTCCAAATAGAGAATTTTTTAGCAATTTGCGAAGCAAAATTTAGAAAACTGGTCTTAAAATTGGACCTGATTCGTATGCACTAGTTTAAGGAGTTGGTCCGTTTAAAATTTTTCGAAATAGCTGGTTTAAGGAGTTGGTCCCTTTAAAATTTTTCGAGATAGCTGGTTTAAGGAGTTGGTCCCTTTAAAATTTTTCGAGATAGCTGGTTTAATGAGTTGGTCCGTTTAAAATTTTTCAAAATAGCTGGTTTAAGGAGTTGGTCCCTTTAAAATTTTTCGAGATAGCTGGTTTAAGGAGTTGGTCCGTTTAAAATTTTTCAAAATAGCTGGTTTAAGGAGTTGGTCCGTTTAAAATTTTTCGAGATAGCTGGTTTAAGGAGTTGGTCCCTTTAAAATTTTTCGAGATAGCTGGTTTAAGGAGTTGGTCCGTTTAAAATTTTTCGAGATAGCTGGTTTAAGGAGTTGGTCCCTTTAAAATTTTTCGAGATAGCTGGTTTAAGGAGTTGGTCCCTTTAAAATTTTTCGAGATAGCTGGTTTAAGGAGTTGGTCCCTTTAAAATTTTTCGAAATAGCTGGTTTAAGGAGTTGGTGATGCAGTGTCTGAGACAGAAGGTAAGTTTCTACAAATAAAGAAAATATTTGAAAATTCCCAGCAATATACAAAAATTCACAGAAATATTCGACAATTTCCCGAAATATTCAAGAGTTTATCGGTAATATTCGAAAAATTCCCACGACACAATGATAACGTGACATTGTGAAGGTCACCCTGATAGTCTGCAATTTTAATCTACCTAATTATAAATCTATATATGTAAATATTTTTCAAAAATAAAGATGTTTTCGACTTTGGACTTGCAACAAATTTAGCATTATCTTGATTACAACATTGTTTCAGTCCGATTTTGAAATGATTCAAACTTTTGGATTGGATTTTATACTCAAACTCAAACAAACCCAAATTTCATAATTTGCATTTGAAAATTTTGCTATTTTTCATGTTTTGAAGAATCTGAATAAAAATCTAACGAATTAATTTTTCTGCATGATTTATTTTCGATCATGCAGCTTTACACTATTTATTTTACAAAAACTAAATTAGGTCAAACATTTCTGGAAATAATTTGCAAATAATGGAATTTTGCAAAATGTAGAATTCTGAAATTTTGAAGGTTATCATGAAAATTTTATTTTGAACCGAAATAATGAAATCTAGTTTTATATCTGCGTAAATATGTTTTTCATAAATATTTTTTCGACTTTGGAATATTGCTACAAAAATTGAGCATTATTTATAAAATCGTGATTACATCTCTTCAGATTTTGAAATGATTCGACAAATTATCTGAATAACAAGTTTGCTAATTAATTTTCTTGCATGAATTCTTTTCGACTTTATAATTTTACTCGATTTAACTGTCGCATTGCAATTTCAAAACTCATCCGTTTCTAAAATTTGGGTTTAAAAATATTTCATACATATTCGGTTCAAATTTTTCTGAAAAATTTCGATCATTTTTTGAAAAATATTCAAATTTTTAACCCGATTATAAGGATGCCTGAATATCTACTCGATAACCTCGTGATCTCAAATCATGCCGATTAATTAATTTTTTTATAAAATTTATTTCGACTTTGGAGCCTTCGATATCAGAATTCTTGAGGTTGAGAAAAATCAAGTTTTACATAAGGAAACTTGTTTCTCACGAAATTTGGCGACTACACGATGACGAAGATTAAATCTAATGATGACTTTTTAACCAGGTTTTTGACTAAATTTGAATATGAAATGATTAATATTTTCGAAAATATTTTTGATTAGATTTTAGTAAAAGTTTCTGACAGAGAAGAGAATAACATCTTTTTAACAACGATTCCAATTTATTTCTTGCCAAAATTCGATAAGTTTTAGAATTCAGTCGCTTTAGAAAACTAGGTTTGACACATTTGCATAAAATTTTCACAAAATTTTGAAATCGACAAAAAGGACTATTCAATCTACTTCTCATTTTTTAATCAGATTTTAGAAAAATTTGTATTTCTACTTTGAAGTGATTAAAATTTTTGTAAACAAATTGGTTCAGATTTACTTAAATTTTTTGTGACTGAAAATAAGAACATCTATTTAACAACCGTTCGTCGTACTAATTCATAAAAGACCTAAGTGCAGGCGATGCTAAATTCAGAAAAGACCTAAGTGCAGTCGGTGTTTAATTCAGAAACGACCGAAGTGCAGTCGATTCTCAATTCAGAAAAGACCTAAGTGCACAGAAAAAAAGTAAAAAAAGATCTATGTGCAAGTATGTATTTACTTATGGCTAAATCGCGCGATATATATGAAAAATCATTTTGGCAAGATTTAGCCATATGTAAATACATACTTGCATATAGGTCTTTTTTTACTTTTTTCTGTGCACTTAGGTCTTTTCTGAATTGAGCATCGACTGCACTTTGGTCGTTTCTGAATTAAATACCCGCCCTTACTTAGGTCTTTTCTGAATTTAGCATCGCCTGCACTTAGGTCTTTTATGAATTAGTACGACGCGTTCCTACTTATTTAAGTATTCCCAAAATTCGATCAGTTTTAGAATTCACTCGGCTTAGAAAAGTAGGTTTGACACATTTGCATAAATTTTGAAACTGGTCGAGGCTACGATAAAAACTTTGCATAATTTTGACAATTATGATTTTCACGCAAATTCTACTTCGACTAATATTTTTATGAATTCAAATACATGCGTCCTTGCTAAATTTGTTGCAAATTGCAATTTGTAACACCAGAAACAACTGCAATTCTGATCTACCTTCAAATTTTAGAGAACATTTTTTTCTACCTCGAAGTATTTAGAAAACAAGGGTTTGAGATTTGACTCTCGCATTGCAATTTCAAAACTCATCCGTTTTCAAGATTTTTATTAAAAAATATTTAACCACTTCAACCCTAGGAGACGAGTTTTTTCATACCTTTCACCCCTAGTAACCGCGAATTTTTACCTCCCTTGAGCCCGAAATTTTTATCTACTGCATGACGTTAATTCCTGGGCCATGAATTAAAAAATGGTGTTCCCACCGGAATTATTCTGGACACTTTTTTATGAAAATTGATGTGAATAACCTTTCAAGAAAGGATTTTGAGTTATAATTTGCATTTTTGAGTTGTGGCGAACCACCAATGTTTATAGCCGAAAATAGCCAACACGCCGAATTTTAAAAATGATTGTAATTGCATGAAAAGTTAGACAAGCATGGAGTAATACTTGCATAATAGTACGTAAACTCGCAAATATTGATTATAGCGCCTAAAGCGCCTTAGGAGCCGATTTTGGGCGGGAAAACCAAAAATCCTTACAATGACTTTAAATAGACAGCAATGGCAATGAATAATTATCCCGTGAGAGGAAATTGCTCGAAAATAGACTATGGCGCATCTGGTGAATAGAAATCAATTTAAAGCGGGAAAATTAAATTCTACTAATTCCTGCAATCTCTTAATTTTTAATTTTCCCGCCCAAAAGATATTTCAGCGGCACCCGATACGTAATCATTAATTTTGACGTAGTTTACCCTACTGGCAAGATTATTTGTGGCCTATAATTAAATCCATGCAATGATGGAATTCAACCAACTTTTAGTTTTCTCGCCCAAAACGCCCGTTTGTGCTACATGCGAGCAAAACAATTTCTCTAATCTTATCGTAAAGCGTTGTTGAAATAAATCGGTGTCGAAATTTCCTTGCAAAAAACAGTTTTCACAACTCGGCGTGTTGGCTAGATATAGCCACTTGGCTATAAATTTATTTTGCATCCCTTTCCAATGTTATTTCCTAAGAGACAATTTATCTTCCCGCCTAAAGGGCGGGTTGTTGACTCATAACTCCTGCTTTGCTTTGCTTGGAGAGGCAATGACCTAATTTTTTCCGCATACGACACATAGTCGTAGGCCGGTGTGAACGGAAAATACGCCACATAGTCGTATCCGTTGTCAAGGGTCAATACGACACATCGTCGTATTCCGGTGCCAAGGGAACTTACGCCACATGGTCGTACTCGGCGTAAAGGTCAAATACGCCACATAGTCGTTATAGGGGCGAAGTGGTTAATACAATTTCAGTCGAAATTTCTCCGAAAATTCCCAAGCATAAAAAAATTGTTTCGACATATCGAAATTTTAAGTTCTGATGAAAATTACATCTAACAGCCCTTTCAACTAATCGAGTCCCCACAAAATTTGTTTCCACCTTAAGAGCCTGACCAGCATTTTGTTTATTTATTAATTTATAGTATTTTGTTTAATTTATTCGCTGAGGATGAGATGAGAGGAAGTATTCGGGAAAAAAGTATTAATTATGACAGGAAAATGTAAATTAAACGTAATTAAATTATGTATGCTCATCCTCAGTTAAACATACCTCGTTCCGAAATTATTATTTTTTTGTCACTTAAACCTGTAATGGCACTCACTTATTTATTTCTGGTTTTCAAAACTTACAGTATTAATCAAATAAACTGCTTAGCTGCCATCAAACAACTTCGTCTAACGTATGACAGCTGTTTTCAGCTTTTAGAATATAGTTTTAAGCTGAAAAACAGTTAAAACCCATTAAAACCCAAATAAAACCCATTTAACATGGTAAAACTCAATGGGTTTTATTCGTTAACAACCCATTAAATCCCATTAAAACCCAAAAAACCCAACCCAATAAAACCCTGGGTCGGAATACCCTGATGACAATAAATTTGCAAATAAAATTATTTTGTACATTTAACAATTATCTTTTATTATTCATTTCAATCGCATTTTTGAAAATTTTCAAAAAACCACGCATGACATTAAATATGTGCGAATAAATTTGCAAACAAAATTATTTTGTACACATTTAACAATTATCTTTTATTATTTATTTCAATCACATTTTTGAAAATTTTCAAAAAACCACATACATAATAATATTCAGTTATTACGTAACATTTACATCTTCTGTAATTAAAGTTCTGGTTCAAAATTTGCAATCGCTTCCAGAAACAATCCTTTTTCTAGTTAAGTTTTTATTTTTCATTTTGCGATTACAATTTCGAAATATCGTTCTCCTTTTATTTACAATTTTTAAATTTTTAATCACATTTTTTTATTTTTTTATTTTTTAAATTTTGAACATTTTTTTTTGTATTTTGTAAGTAATACTGAACTTTGGCTCTGTGAAGTTTCTAAAAAAAATGGTAACTTTTTAAATAATTGAGGGACATCCACTTCACAGCCAAGTCTCCTTACTCTCAGGCTTGATCAATGGTCAGAGCGAGGTGAAGGGGTCCGACTTGTTGAAATCCGCCTCCCCCGCAGTGATATTCGAGCTGGCGTGGGGTTTCAGATGCGGGTTATTTTTGCACATGGCGTAAGATTTGAGTCGTTCCATTTGCGTCGCCATTTTTGTTAATTCCTCCTGCAAAAAAAACATCAGGTTAAGTAAAAGATTTAGGAAATTTATGCCTGAATTAATTTGCATAAAGAAAAAAAATATATATTATTTTGCAGGTTTTAATGTGAGAGACCTTTAGTTGCTGATTTTCCTCTGCGAGATCGAGCGTTTCATGACCGAAGCCGTTGGCCGAGGTTGGAATGTCTTTCATGGCTTTGGGATCCCCTCGTAAAACTGCCAGGAGCTGTGATACAAAAAAAGGTGCAGGTTTTAGCATAAAATTTTATGCTAACATAAAAACATAAAATATTGAAAAAATACATAAAATTTTATGTATTTTTTCAATAATTTAAAGTTAACAAAAAATTGGACACACAAATCAAAATTGTAGTTAAAAATCGTATCAAAAGCGAAAATTTATTTTAAAATTTGATTAAAAATCGTAAAAACAAAGTGAAAATTCAAATAAATTTTGTTTAGTAAAATCATATCTTTATGAATGATGCGACAAAAAAATGGAAGATTCAAACTCTAATTGTAAGCAAGAGGAGCATATCAATGGGAATTTACTTAGGAATTTTTGCAAATATTTGATGTAAAAAAGTGGAAATATAATTTAAATATATATTAAAATTATGTAATTATGTCGAATTCCCACTGTCCACGCACCTTGCTGCCAAAGACCAACGCGATCGTGACGGTGGTGCTGAGCTGGGTCCGGATAAAAGCCAACAGATATTTCGCATCCGGACCGGCTTGCGGTACTATAAACAAACTGGAACAAGGGAACAATTCCGTATTTTTAGCTACATATATATTTCCCAAAATTCGAAATATTTTTTTTTAAACAGAAAACTTACTGGAACGTTACCATCACCACATTTGTCAGCGCAATGTTGTAGATCGAATAAGAGATGAATTGTGCATCTGGATTTTCTCGAATTCTCCAACATATCCAAACCCCGTACAAGAGGAAGATCACTTCCCCAATGGCCAGCGAGTGATCCCACCTGAAAACCACAGAAAATTGGTTATTAGAAACTAGCGTGTAAACCCGTCTCCCGCCGGGTGATAAGCTTCACACCTTGAATAACTGTCCGCAACGGAAATTGGATAACCACTCCCAGATAACCACCATCAAGCATTTAATTTTTTAAATTTAATTTATTTGAATTTTCGCGCCGTTCGAAACTTCACTTTCTACGCTTTCACTTCCGTTTCGGAAATTTACTTTCACTTCCGTTGCACACAAACATTTCCAGCTTATAATATAGATTAACGCAGGCCTTCGTAATTTCGTAAATTTGCAAAGTTTTAGAAATATTTATAAGAAAAAAATAGTTTATTTGCAAGTTAATGTGAAGGTTTAAATACGTATTGAGGTAATTCGCGCAGTCCTTCATAACTTTGTAAAATCCGTAAACTTTGCAATTAACACAATCCTTGGTAAATTCGTAACTTTGCAAAGGTTTTTTTGCCAAGTTTTAGAAATATTTACAAGATAAATTAGTTTACTTGCAAGTTAAATGTGCAGGTAAATATTGAGGCAATTCACACAGCCCTTGATAACTTTGTAAAATCCGTAAACTTACAAAATTTTAGAAATATAGTTACAAGGAAAATCAGCTCACAAATTTTTACAACTTTACTCATCCTCAGATCAAGGACATCTTTTTAATTTGTCAAAGTTTGTACAATTATTTTACAAAATTTTTGGGTTTTGTAAAGTTATCGAGGACGGCGTGAATAGAATAGAAAGGTGATTTTGCTGTGTAATAATCCGTAATTTTTAGTAGATAAATAATTTGTGGAAATATTTGCAGTTTTTGGCAATTTTTTTTTACCAAAACACGTCTCATAAATTGGGTCAGACATTTCTGCAAATAATTTGTATAATTATTTTAGACAAGTGTTTTTATGGTCAGGTTTGCAATTATTTAACAAAATTACAAAATATTGCTTATTCTGCCTTATTAATATAGACATATAAAATGATAAACTGAAATTTTTAATGTCCCCATGAAGGTTTTTTGGGACCCAATACAGTAGAACAATCTAATTGTAAAACTGCGTAAATATTTCTTTTGTCAACAATATTATTTCGACTTTTAAATATTTCAATAAAATTATGCATGATTTATGAAATCCCAATTACAATTTATTCCCTCAAATTTTGAAAATGTAGGTAATTTCAGATGAGACTTTATTAAACCTAGATACAAAAGTTAATATTTTGTTTTTGAAAATTTCGCTGCTTTTAATTTTTGAAATAAAACTAATTTCCAAACCTTGTAGCTTTACACTTTTCATGTTTTTTTAAACAAAAACTCGTCTAAACATGGCTGGAAATAATTTCCAAAATTATTCTAGACTAGTATTTTCTAAAATGTTTACATAGGTAATATTGTTTGGCCATTTTTGCAAACATTTTGCAATTTTGCAAAATCTTGCCTTTTCTACCTTATATATTAATACAACGAAACAATTTTGAAATTTTTAAGGTCACGATGAAGGTTTTGAGCCAAGACTTATGCATTTAATCTCCATACAAATCTTGGTGATTATTTTTTCCCTAAATATTTTTTCGACTTTGGAATATTGCAAAAATAAAATAAGAAATGATTGCTAATTTTGGGTTGGATTATTAAACCTGGATAAATTTCATATTTTTGTTTGAAAACATGCCGCTTTTCCTGTTTTTAATAAAACTAATTTTCAAACCATTACCGCGAAAGAAGGATCTGAACAGCAAACTAACCAATTAATTTTTCTGCATAATTTATTTCGACTTCGTAGTTTTACACTATTTTTTATTTACAAAATTTGTCCAAAAACATGACTGGAAATAATTTCTATAATTATTCTAGACCAGTATTTTTTTAGCGGTTTAAATATTTTTTTAGTTTTGCAAGTATTTTGCGAAATTTTGCCTTTTCGCAAAAATTTCACCGTACGGTAAAATTTTTGCGTTTATTGAAGGTTTAAAGATTTTGGGCAGAATCTGATTCTAAATCGGCTTGAATAGTTTTTTCATAAATATTTTTTCGCCTTTGGAATATTGCAAAATAAGTTTTGCAATTTCATGATTATACTTTGTTTGATCAGATTTTGATTTGATAAACGATTGATATAATAATTTCGGATTTTGAATTTTTTTAAACCTAGATATAAATTTGAAATTTTATTTTTAAATATTGCTCGCTTATCAATAACTTATCATGTTTTTAATAAAAGTAATTTCAAACCAGAATCGTTCCGGTATGCAAAATGACTATCTGGATAATAATTAATTTTCCTGCATAACTTTATTTCGACTTCGAGCATTTTTTAAAAACAAAATTCGTCTAGATTAAGTCAAAAATCGGTGGAAATCATTCCTAAAATTATTTGAGGCTTGTATGTTTTTTTGCTGCTAATACTTTCAGGCTAGTTTTGTAACTATTTGCAAAACGTAAGAAAATATTGCAATACAAAAGATTAAGCATTATTTACAAAAATTCTAATTTCAACTTTGTTTCGTCAGATTTTTAAAGGTTGATTGGTCATTTCGGGTTGGATGTTTGAATATAATTGTCAAATTTTGTTTTTGAAAATTGACACCGTTTCACATTTTTATGATAATAGTTTTCTTTCTCGAATTAACTTATTAGTATTTTATAAATTTTATGTTTTATTTTACAAAAAAACCGCATCGATCTTATTACAAGATTCGTTCCGAAAAATCTGTACAACAATTTACTTCATTAGTTTTCCTGCATAATTTACTTTCAGCTTTGCAGCTTGGCATTATTTTTTTTACCAAAACTCGTCAAAACCCGAGGAAAAATTGGTGGAGTTAAATTTCAAATTATTTTAGACTCGTACTTTAGTCTTGTTTTTTTTAAATTACTTGAATTTTGCAAAACGTTGCAATTTTCGGCCTTATCAATGCATACCTGTTCAAAAATTTAGTATCCATTCAAAAGTCAGTCATCCCGATTTCTGACTGAACATTTTCATTCACATTCAGTCATTTTGGTTCAAATTCATTGCATTTCACTTCATCGGACTTCATTTCTTACTTCGCCGCATGTATTAAGCGTAGGATGAAAAATGAAATGAGTGAAAAATCCTTCATTCACTGTCATTCATCTGAAATGACGGAATCCTTCAATCATTTTCATTGAAATTACAGTGGTTTCATTTTCATTCACTATCATAATCAGAGAAATGAACGAAAGTGAACAGGTATATATCAATGTAGGCATGTACAATGATAAGGTGAAATTTTTAACGTCACGGTGAACGCTTTCATTACGAAGTTTGATTCTAAATCTATGCAAAATTTTTTTGCATTAATACTTTTTTGACATGGGAACATCAAAATAAAAATTTAAATAATTTATGAAATCCTGGTTAGACTTTGTTTCGTCAGATTTTGAAACTATTGGTACATTTTTTAGTATAAACTTCAAAGTTTGTTTTTGAAAAGCTTAATTTATTTTCAGCCTTGCAGTTTTACACTGTTGTAATTTCAAAACTCCTCCGTTTTCAAGATTTGTAATTAAAAATATTTGATACAATTTCAGTCCAAAAATGCTAAGCATAAAAAAATCGTTTCGAAATATCGAAATTTTAAGCCGGATTACCTGTGATTAAAATTACATCTAATAGCACTATCAACTAATTAATTCCTCACAAAATTTATTTCACCTTTGAAACCTTACAAAATGTCTAAAAAAAACAACTAAATTTTATGTAAAATCACTTTTCACCAAATTTTGACTTCAACGAAACCACTTGTTGATCATGTTTCTCACAAAATTTGAATTTCACTTTTGAATTCAGGAATATTTGCGAAAGATTTTGGTTTAGCTTAAAAAAGGTGGCGTTGTAAGTTAAGAAATACTGCAGGAAGAAATATTAGAAATACCATCTGAACAATTAGCTACCTAACTAATTCTTCTAAATAATTTATTTCGATTTTGTAGTTCTACGTTAATGTTTTTTATGAAAATTCGCTCAAACATGGCTATAAAAAATTATGCTAGATAGATTAGTATTTTATTTATTTCATAGGTCATCGTGAAGGTTTTTTCGAATCAAAGTGATGACATCTGATTATAAATTTGTGTAAATATTTTTTTCATAAATATTTTTTCGACTTTGGAATATTACAAGGAAAATTGAGCATCATTTATAAAATCCTAAGTACGCTTTGTTTCATCAGATTTTGAAATGATTCATAGGTTTGGATTGGATTTCATAAACTATAAAATTTCATAACTTGTTTTTGAAAATGTGAGATTTTTCATGTTTTTAATAATTAAAATTTGAAAATTAATAATTTATTAATTTTCAAACTTTCAGTTTCGTAACTCATAATTCGGCAGGTCAGCCTTGAATATGAATAATATTCAGGCATGAATATTCAGTCATGAATAATTTAATTTAACTGGATAATTTATTTTCGACTTTGCAGCTCTGCACTCGATTAAACTGCCGCATTGAAATTTCTAAACTTATCTCTTTTCAAAAGATTGTTAAGGGACAAAGGTGTTGCTGTGGCCTTAATTTTGACCATGTTGCCAGCATGGAGGATTTGTGAAATCTCTTTTAAAAAATCGTACAAGTCTTCTTCTTCATTTTTATATATGTCTCAGAAATCCTCCATGTTGGCATCGATGTGAAAATCACATCCGAAGTGGGTAGGTTTTAACAAAATCTGCAGTACTCAAGCCCAAAAATCCCAATTTATGGTAACTATATTAACATATTTGAATTTTATTTTATTATCGTGACGATAAAATTAGCCCGAGCCAGGACTTTTGGAACCGTCGTGTCCGTCCTTCTGTCTGTATGTCAGGTTTATGATAACTCTCGTAACCTTTTCCTATCGACTTGAAATTTGGTACACATGTAGTATGGGGGCAGATAGTGAGTTCAAGTTCGAAGATGAGCAAATCGGTTAACTGGTTGACCGGTGGGGGTCATCCGAGTGGGTGGGGTATTATGCACCAAAATTTCAAAG